ATATTACCAAATTGACATAAATAATTTAACTAAAATGGATATTGGCTGATCCGAATTTTCTCTATTTTTCCTAAATTTTTAGGATAATTTAGTTATTTTTATATGCTTCCTATATTTAAAGTTTTCTTATTTTCACATATGGTAAAGTTGTCACATAAAAATACAAAATGATATAAAAACAAAAAGTTTTGATCGTTTACTAATAGAGAAAATTTTTGGCTCAAATCTGTACTTAGACTGGAAGTTTTTAAAAGCTAACATAATTGTAGTTTGTTTGGAAAATCATATTTATTGGATGTATTTTAAAACTTTAGTCCCTATTTTTTAATTTAACTAACATTTCAAAATTTCTTTAATTCTTTGATTATGTAAAAATTATAACTAAATTCATTGTTCTAAAATAATTTTGAGAGGTAGAAAAGAAGATATTTTCATACGCCGCCATTCCGCCAAAAATATAGTCCCTGCTAGATTTCAAACTCAATTTACCATTTCTATTTAAAGTTATACAATTATGATGAGGAAAGAAAATACGATCTTTTAAATCCCTTACATCTAAATATATAAGACATACAAGCAAATATACTTTGAATACTTCATCTAGTCAGAAACCAGACAAGAATCCCTCCTTAATATATCTTTCATCAAGAGGTTTTGTGGCAAGTTTGATTGACATTACCCAGTGGTACTGGAGAAGATGACTTAAGTTTCCAGTTTACGGATGATACAGGTAGACTAGATAGACTGCATACCTTCGGCACATTTTTGGTACAAAAATATACAAAATCTAAGAGTTGTACAGGACAGATTCAAGCGTGCGTCAATACTTACTATATATGTATTAGGTATCATGTCAAGGAGTTTATTCGAAGAAACACCCGAGAAAAGTTTGTTTTCACCAATGAACTAGGTCTGCAAACCATCAAAAATGGCCTCTTGAAAACTTAATGAAATTTCATTATATATAGTTAAAGACAATAGTTTTTAGAAACATATTTTTATTTCTAGATATCATTTATGCTTTTCAATAAGCGATTTTGCTGTACGACATTGTTGCATGTATAAATGTCATTTTTTCTTTACTTTGTAACTTTACATCGTAGGGCAATAAAAATTCCCAATGAAATTATACGAGCACATAACTTACCTTAATAACGTGATGATTAATGTTCATCTGAAAGTGCATTCTACGCCAACTGGAGATTAGTTGATGGCATCACGGTGGCGGATTGTCAAAGTAAGCGTAAATCATAGTTTCGTCGAGAAAATGTAAAAATGTCTACTCGGTAGACCTCATTTTTACCCTACAAAATCTCTAGAATCCAGGAGCTTCAGGAGGATTCGCCCCCTGGCCCCCACCAGGGCTTCGCCCTGGATCCACTGGGGCCTTAATGCGGCCCCCAGACCCCCTGCCTATTTTCGGCGCCCCCTCTAAATTCAATTCCTTGATCCGCGCCTGCACCATACATTCATAGGTGCTTGAGGACAGGACCCCCTCCCAATATAGACCCCCCCCCCCGGTCCTGTTCGACTTTTTTCTCATAAATCATATATGGATGACACTTTTGTAATATAATCTGTATCATCAATTCGGAAAGTTAGCTTAAACAAACATTTTATAAAAATTACTACTCCACTCTATATATATATAAGATTTATATGTAGAGAGCGGGGTAGATTTTATAAATTGTTTGTTTTAGGTAATTCTTCGAATTGTTGGTATAGATTATATCACAAATATGTCATTGAAAGATAATTTATGAGAAAAACGTCGAAAACGCCCTGGGGTCTATATCGGAGGGGGGGGGGGGTTCCTGTCCTCAAGCACCTGTGCATACATTGGTTCACGCTTGAGAACAGTACAACAACGACATTTATATGATGAAATCTGAATTGGTCAATTTTTTAAACTACTACTTTTCATTTAAATTTTCTTCTATGATTAAATGCCTAATTTGACATGCTTTCCAACGCGGGGATTTTATATCCCTTAAAAACTTAAGCAGATCAAGAAATATATCTGAGTCTAATCTGCTGAGAAGTGAATAACATCGGGCTACTGGGCTATTTTAGAATTCAAACAGTTTATTCAGAAGTCCTGTCTACCTTTCCTATAACCAGCATATACACACCTATTAAAATAGAAACTGAAACTCTGCACAAACTTTATAGAGCACAAGCATGCAAGAACTTTCTGATGGGACACATCCAGTGTAATACTCCACGTTTGCATGGCGAATCTCAGTTTGTTTTCCTTAGAGAGGGGTTTATTCTATTTCATTTCTTTAATTTTTTTCTTTCTTTTGATGAACTATGTTTGCATTGCAAGGGTAAGGACATATGTAAAGTTAGACATTTTTGATAATGTGTTGAAGGTAAGTGTGCAAAGAGAGAAACATATTAAACAATTTCTACCGAAAGATTAATATCATGCGTAAGTATTGCATAAATTCCATCTTTTCAATTACAAGATGACTTTGTTTCTTTAAAACACCAAATCAGTCCGGATGTTTTAATATGCATTTTACTATAATTAGAAATCAACATTTACTTATATTCTTACTCAGCACAGGGTTTGATCTGATAAATGTTTGAATGACCCACAAGAGGCATTAAAGTAGCGGATGAGATCCCCTGTTTTATACATGTATGTCACATGACATTTTTTCAAACACACTATTATGAGGTACATTCTACTTTTATTCTATTCTTCATTTTATAAATGATTTTATAAATCTATAACAATCAAATCCATGTCAGTCTCATGCTCTTTGAAATATTCATATTGGGGATGGTCTATGATTCGAGGGGGTAGGGGTCTCTATATAGAACTAATAAAATTGTAAATCAGAGATGACAAAATCGTATGACGGGTATGTCAAGAAAATGTTTCATCTTCCCTTCTTAAGCATATTTAAAAAAAAAAAAAAAAAAAAAAAAATGTTGTTTTAAGCGTCACACGTGCATCTTGGCATTTCATTTTACAAAACATTTATAGAAAATAACTGTGTTGTTTATTAAAGGGGACGGGACACATTTGCATTGTTTATACTATTCAATGTCTATTTTTAATAATAATATTAAAAAAAAACAACTTCAGTTTAATGATTTGAACTTACATGAAAATTCTAGGAATTCAATGCCAAAGACATTCTTCATAATATCGCGTATATCAGGTCAAACAACTGTTGTTAAAAAAAAAGGGGGGGGGGGACACGAGCTCTGTTATTGTTAGTGTTTACGATTTACCGGATGTGTTCAATGTGTTTAGTCTGCACACATCACTGAGCACAGACTGACAATACTGGTGAGTTGGTTATGTTTTCTCGGATTTCTACTCTGAACTTTCTCTTTTATAGTTGTCATATTTTAAACATATTTCAATGTGAAATGATGTAGCAGCATATAAGTCATGATATATTTTTTTTTTAAAGAAAATATGAGCTTCAAAACTGTGTCCCAGCCCCTTGAACAATTAGACTATACTACCCATCTTGAATTATTGAATCAAAACTTTAATTCTATGTTAAAATCAAAGCCAAATATGTACGTTTGCGAATCTAGCTATACGTCAAATGCCATAGACGTGACGTCACAAACAATATATACCTATTTATGAGGACAATAGCAAGTTTATTGTCTCCCAAGGCACAGCCAATGGAAATAGTTGCTGTCCAGGGGGACAATAAACTTGCTATTGTCCGAATAATCAGTAAATAAGTGTTTTATAATATTGAAGCAGACTTTACTCGCATTGAGTCACGATCTGAATAAAACAAGACGAGTTCCGAAATGAAGCGCGATGAAAATGGAATGCTGCCGGTGAATAGTCCGATGACTATTTCACCATGGGCCAATAGTACAAAAACTTTCTACGGTCGAGGCTGTTTAGAAAAAAATTGGTTTATTCGTCATATTTTTATATAGAAAAAAAATTACAAATTAATAATAATGTTTTCTGTTATATATGCATGCAACGTCATTGGTATAATTTTCAGATTTCTTGAAACGTTAATATCATATTCAACGGAAATAGGTCTCCTACCGGGAAACCGGAGGGACTATAGGTTTCCTTTTTGTCTGCCTGTCTTTCTGTCTAGCTGTTTCTCTGTCTGTCGTCAGTCTGTCTTAGTTGATTTTCCAGACTTCTTCTACAAGCTCGCATATATTGAGCTAATTTTTGGTACGTGAGTATACCTTGATGCACAAAAGTTGCATTCATTCCGCTTTAAAGATTTTTGATGGCCAATGGGAACTAGAATACTTATGCCGATATGGGACTAGTATTGCTATACTCTCAGAATGCTTATTTTAATTTTATCTTAATGGAAACAAAAATAAACTCTAAAGTGTCTTCTAATTATTGCAGGTCCTCATCAATCTTTTTTTTTTCTTTTTTATAGTGACATTTTGTTTCATTGATGGTTAATTGTTGATGGTTACTTCAAAAGTGAGCAGTCTGCAAATTTCGATTTGAAAGATTTTTTTTTTTCTGCATACTCATACATATATTTATCATAAAAACATTTCATTTCGCGCATCGCATTACAAAAAAGGAAAAGGTGATTAGATAGTCAAGTTAAGTCACTAAGTGTATATACTTACATTATTTCCCTAACAAGGAAGATAAAATACAAATGACATGCCTTCTGTTTTCTGAAAGTATACCGTACCTCTTAAATGTACAAGTACGTAAAATTTGGCATTTATATATTACACACATTTTTATTTAGATTTCTCAGAAACACAATACTCCGTCAGTTTGGATACAGCACGAGGTAAGTGATTTCAGGTAAGGCTTTTAATTAAAAAAAACCTTTTGTTAGCTAATCAAAAATTTCAAACATGCTTATCAAACATACATGAATTATAAACACTATATGTATATCAATCTTCAGCTTTTTTTTAATCTAAATTATATTTCGGTGATAATAACGGACTATTGTTATATAATAATGATGTTTGCCAGTGAATGTAGAGCATCCTAAGGTAATGTGGTAATGGCTACAGACGGTGGTTACAACTTTGTTACTATAGAAAATCTCAGAGTCCGCATTATCAAGGGAAACCTTTGTGACCAACAGGTAAATTTTCGAGCTTATTATTTAATTTTCAGTGCCTTCCTTGTCAATCTATCGATCGATCGATCTTATCTCTCTCTCTCTCTCTCATATTTCAAGGATAACTACTTCCAACCCATCCTCGAGCTTAACTCTCTCAACCTACGGAACCTGGTCTCCCACCAGTGCAGACCACAGCATGCTGGACCTCTCGATCATCTACACACCTACCTTTCAATGTCGCTGCGAGAATTCCATCGCCATCGAAAGCGAGTTTCTTATAACCTGCGCTGTTCCTGCACTGCTATGAAACAGGTTCCGCTGGTCGAGATCTCAACCCCGGGTTAGGACGAAAGTGGATATCCACATATCCATAATTTCTCTGTGCTTAATATATATATATATATATATATATATATATATATATATATATATATATATATATATATATATATATATATATATATATATAAGCAATAAAAATGACCAACGACACGAACAATAATAATTGTCAAATTTTCGGGACGACCTGTCCCTTCCTCAGGACAAAGAAAAAAGGTTAAGAATTCATAAATACAAAGGAAATAGAGAAACAAAAACAACTAGCACTACTACTAAACTACTAAACACTAAATATTTTCAGTGTTGCATATTTAATTTGAAGTTTATAAACAGTTGTGAACAAAGAAATCCGGAGCGCTATGAATTGCGTCCGTTCTATCGGGTGTACTCTGGTGAAGATACCTTGTATCTACTTAGTAGATCCGACACTTAGGATATACAGTGTTGTTGGTTTTTAGTGCTTTATATATATATATATATATATATATATATATATATATATATATATATATATATATATATATATATATATATATATATATATATAATTACCTGACGTTTATCGCAAAAGGATTTGACCACCAACAGGTTTCTTTACTGCCCCAATTTTTCGTCTTCGTGAAAAATACGAGTCTAAAAACTTCAACTGTAATCTGAATACATGTTTACTGTTTGTAACGAAGTCATCCGTAGGTTTGATCGTAATACAATACTCGGCCGAAAAACTGAGATTTTTCCCTCCGATTACCCAATACATATATTCTGTTGAAATATAATTTATATCCACAATACTTTAAAACCTACATTTTACATTCGGAAACTCTGTCCTCTTAACTATTGATATCATAATGAATAGTCCTTTTACATCTAAATTTGAATATTCAGCTTTTGAGAGGTATCGGTACTCCTTATACAATGTATATCAGGCCCGTAGGAAGCAATTTCAGTTTGGGGGGGGGGGGGGAGGCACAGCCAAACATTTTTCAGTTGACAGTTGAATAAAAGGTCGTCAAGTACCATAAATTCCTAGACAAGCAAAAGAAAAAAAATAAAAATAAATATAGAATAAAATAAAATAAAGGTTATCAGACGTTTTTATTGAGGGGGCACAAGCATATAGTATCTATATTTACTATAGTAATATATATATCGGCAAAATTATTGGGGGGGAGGGGGCACGGTCCCCCCGTGCCCCCCCCCCCCCGGTTCCTACGGCCATGTATATCGTTCCGTTTGTCAAAGCCTGATACATTTTACCTTGACCTTTGACCTGCATATCAATCAGCTTCTTTTACTGATCATCTAGCATACATGTACCTGCACGAATTAAGCATGGCTTGAACGTCCAAACAGTGATATTAAAACTGGATTCACAACATATTCAAAACCTTCATTCATTACTTTTTGAGTCGAATATTGAATTTGAAAGTTTTAGTATTTCTTGAAACATTTAGAGAATGTCATCATAAACACTGAACATCATTCAACTGTGTCAAAAATAGTGACACAAAGTAGCGCAAAAATTGGGAAATCAGATGTTGATGTCATTGTTGCAATTGGTACTCTGAACGTACACGTAGGTAAACACGGACATTTCGAATCTTTGTAGTACAAAGAAACCTTTAAAAATGAGCCCTTAAGCAGAATTATAACAATCTCAATACTCTAGTGTAAAAATATCGATCAAAAATGAAAGAAATGACTTCTGGTATCATGAAAATTTTTTGTTTAATGGAACAGGCAGATGTGTTAGTGTGTAGTGGACCAAAAGACTTGCAACTCAGCAATGGAGGATTGTCTAAAGCTTTGTTGAGAGTAGCTGGACGAGAAATGCAAGATGAATTGAACCAGAATTATTATAATGGCGTTGAATACGGAGATATTGCAGTCAGTGAAGGTCATAAGCTTCAATGCAAATTTGTGTACCACGGGGCCCTACCAAAATGGGGAACCAGTCAACCAGATCCGTGTTCAGTAATTAGAATTATAATTGTTATTGTTTATATTAATAAGATACATTATAAAATAATTACATTTAAAATCTAGCAGTAGTTATATTTAACTTCTAGATTTTTATATTGTGAAATTTATCCCTTTAAAGATTTTTTTCTGTAGTAAATTGCTTTAATTGAATTGGTATTCATGACAGTATTTTAATAATTGTAGACATTAGAGAAATTTATGATGAAGTGTCTGGAAACAGCAAACATTCATTGTAGAAGTTCCATTGCTTTTCCAACGCTTGGAGTTGGGTTTTTACATTATCCTAGTGATCAAACAGCAAAATTGATGATAAAAGCAATACGAGACTTTAGTTCCAAACAATCTTCTATGAATATCAAAACAATTATCATTGTAGTGTATAGTGGAAGTAATGACTGGTCCAGTGTTAAGAATGTAAGTGTGATAATTATTTCTGTTATCTCTTTCAATTGCAAAGTATCGATTAGAGTTGCAGACAAAAAATGTAACCTTGTTTCCTTAACATTGAATTGAAGCATATTGTAACCTATTTGGGATAAACAAGAATACGAAATATAGATAAAAAATGTTTCAAAACCGAAAAAAAAATTAAAAGTTATTTTAAATACTAGGTATTTATGAACGAATTAAGAAGAGGAAGGGGATATCTTGGGGCCCAAGTTGCCATAGGTTTGGAAAATTCATTTTTTTATAACAAATTTTGAACAACTTTGTGAGAAACTATTTTCCTTCTAGTAACTCTCTTCCACTTTATATGACGCAAATCTTTCGTTGGTTCATGCACACTTTCCATCCGTTTTTATTTATTTATAATTTTAAAGCAATATGAGCTGCAACTTTGATGTCAGAAATTTTTGTTGCATTATTTTGATTACATGTAACTATTTCAATGGCAGATAAAAAAAAAAAGAACGTTTATAAACTTCTGTTGTTTATAAATTTCTGTTCTTCTGTTTGCGCTGGAAGAACTATTTTCAAGCTTTGATTGAAGCAAAATTACATTATTGTCATCCTGTACAATATGGATTTCTTATATAAATCTATACATTGTATAGAAATCTTTCTTTAAAAAAAAAACTTTATTTCAATCTAATTGATCATAAAGGATTAAATTACGTACAGATTTATCATTATAGCATATTGTATCAGCAAAATAAAATTCTCAAAAATGCAGCTCATATTGCTTTAATGTAAATGGCTTAAAAGTATTGAATGCTTGGTCTTTCACCATTAAATATGTACAAGTCATGTTCTGAACCTTACATTTTATGTTATATCTTAGCTCGGAGCTCTGTTTCCCGACATTCATGTTCTGGTCAAGTTGGAGGTATCCCTGTCAGAGTGTTGGTTGGGAGTATAGTTGAAGAAAGGGTGACAAACAAATTCAATGACATTGTAATTGCTAGTATCGATCACATTTTTACTTCAGAGAAAATGATGTGTTGATTCGATATACTGTGATTCTTTAAACAGGTTGATGTCATTGTCAACAGTGTTGCTCACAATCTTGAGATGACGCAAGGGGCAGCCGCTGCCATATTGGCGGCAGCTGGGCATGGACTAGAGACTGAGCTTTCTCAAAATTATCCCAACGGAATTAATCATGGGGACATCGCTGTATCAGATGGTCACAATCTGAAGTGCGACAAAGTGTATCATGGTGTTCTACTACCATGGTACTCGAAACGTTCTGAGTATTCCAAACTTCCTCATGAGGTAATGAAACTTGCATGGATATTGTATTTATTTAACTTCCATATTAATGATTAGCACTTTACCAATTTCCTGAAAGTATTTTATATGTTATGGAAGTCAATAGCTATGCATTGCAGGTGTTAGAGGATTTCGTCTTTGCTTGTCTGCAGATGGCAAATATTCATGGTTACAGTTCTGTTGCCATTCCAGCCTTAGGTACGGGGTTTCATAAATTTCCTATAGATGTGGCTGTTGCATGCATTGCTTCTGGTATAGAAAAGTTCTCAAACCAAGGACAGCAGCATAACATTACAGATTTACGGATAGTGTTGTATGAAGGAAATAGTGATCTGCCTGTACTGGAATCAGTAAGTATACTCATTGTCCATATCATGACAGTTATCAATTTCATACTACCCTTGAGTACATGTACGATACATTAAGAATCCCCCAAGTTCTGTGATTGGATGTTCCTTTTATCCAATGAATTGTATGTTTCTATCCTCGAGACTGGCGAATCGATAGAAAACACACAAGTAGTAAGATAAAGATCGTATCCAATCCCAAAACATGAACGATTCTTTTTAATGTTTTACTCCCTTTTAATGGTTGTAAACGCTCACAAAATATATATAATACATAGTGTAAAAAGCTTTTGATATCATTGCAGGACGTCACAGAACCCTTTTATTTTTATATCATGCTAATTAGCATTCTAAGGCAAGATTAAAGGAAAATCGATTTCTTTAAAAATATATTTGTTTTTGTACTTTTATGGGGTATAAAAAGTCATCCTTTCACAAGACCGTTTTTAAGACCTCAAGGAATTTGAATCATATTGAGAGGTATTAAATGAAATATGTTGAATGAATTTTAAATTCAAGCTTCATTCTGAGACTTTTCAAATTAAAAATAATTTTGAGAGTTATCGTTTCTAGCTGAAGAGTGGATTTCCTTAAAATGCATAAAGAATTTAACAATTCACTGAAAATAGTGTGCACTGAAACAAATGAAAATACCCTTTTAAGAATCAGGCAGTATTTATTACCTGAATGTGCAAAGTGTGGTGGGGCAGAGAGTTTGGGGCTTTCAGTATGGTGGGACAAACAATAGTTTTACAACAATGATGTACATGGGACATTCATACTTTTCCTCTAGAAAACTGTTGCAAAAGTTATCACTTAAATTACTTAAATTAAATAAGTAAATTATACAATATTCAGTATTTTAATATACCAATATTAACAATATAATGCCTTTCTATGGGACTTGTATTCTAAAATGAAATGAAACAACACTTTACAGTCATATATAAAAAGTAATCTATTACCCTGAAATAAACCTTCAAAGTCCAGGTTCCTCCCCTTTTTCAACGATTTGACCTGGCCTTTAGTGCAAAATTAATTTCTGCCACCTTTAACATTTCCATAGTGTCTGAAAGTTAATGCATCATTTTAGAATTTTTAAAAATTCGTTTAAAAAGAATCATGTCATTGCCATATTTTTTTTCATATTTCAATGACTTTTTTCAGCAAAATGAGGATGGGATATATATTCTTTTTTCATTCTGTAAGTAATTTGACAAAGGCTTTTTTTTTTTAAAATTGCACCGGTCCTGTCATGGTGATAAATATTGCCTGATTTCTTACAGTAATATTTTTAATTCCCTTGTTTTAATAATAAAATTATGAATTCTCTCTGGATATTCCGTTATTCCATATTTGTTTACATGACATCACGAGATGCTGGAATGCAAAGTGTTGGATATAAAAACAATTATCCATTGGCTGATGTGTCCTGGTGAAATGGATAAGCATCTTATAAAATGTCGTATCTTGGAAAGCACTGTTTATTAAACATAATACGTAGGGAAAATCTGTAAAGCATGTACTTTTGATAATTTGCAGGCATTTCAGAACAAAATAAAACGGAGAAAATCTTCAGGTAAGGTTTTATTTAGGCTCAATAAATCTGCACTTCTCCAAAGTGTATTAATTAATTAATTAATTACCGAAAGACAAATAAACGAGGGATAACTCTACTTTGCATCTAAAAGTTTGGAGAACAAATTCTTGAGATGATAATTGCATATATGTAAATATTAACTTATGTACAAAAGGTACTCAATCAATCATAATATATATCCATAATATGCATACCCTTGTATTTATGATATATATATATATGTGTGTATTCTTACGTTCATTCATCCAGCGTCAGTTGGATTCAGAAACATACAGACAGTTCCACGAAGAGGCACAATGGAGTACCTAGAATATAAATATAAAGAAACACTTAGAACACCCTCCTACTGGACCAAATTTACATCGACTCAAGAATTAAAGGATTGGAATTTGCAAGATAAATCAAAATCATTTCATTTAGAAAATGTTGACCAGATAACATACGACTCCATAGCAAATGCTTTGAAAAAGTCTTTGCCTAACGCAAAGGATATAAGTATCCAGAGACTTGAAAATGCTGAATTGTTTCTTAATTATGGAGAAGAGTGTCATAGGTTATTCCGTAAGGCAAAGAAAGAAAATTTCCCAACACTGGACAAAATTCCATCGTTCTTGAGTCCTGTACAAATAATGCATGCACTGGATCCGTCTATGACAAAAGAAATTCATTCCGAAATCAACGAATATTATTTTTTTCACGGTACAAAGGCCGTGAATGTTGATGTCATTTGCGGTCAAGGATTGGATAGCCGCCTGGCAGCCTCCGGAAGACTAGGACCAGGAATTTACGGTGCTGAAGTTGCCTCCAAGTCACATAAATATGCAGGTATTTTGCAATCATTATGTTTTTATTCCCTTGAAAATTAGCAAAATAAAAGAGCTTTAAAAAGTGTATTGATTACAAGCCTTATAATTACACATAGGATTATCTTATCAATATTTACAACATATTTAATTTATCATGAGTTACCAAAATGCAACTCAATACGTGTTTAAAAGAGTTTTTTTCTTTTAATACTATAGTATACAAGTATAATATACCATTCATCATAAATTTGCGTGTATTTTCCAAACAAGTGTTAATTAATAAGAATTGTCTCATACGTTATCATTGATTTAAACAGTAACTTTATTTACGAATTCAGACAAACAAATTTTTATATTGATTTAATGTTATCAACTTGATACATTGCATTTAACATTAAGCATTTTTTTGCATCTAGAATGTAACAGTCGGAACTACTTTCCAATGTTTCTGGTAAGAATGTGTCTTGGTGATATCTATCTGACCGATACTGAAGAAAAATATGTGAGACCACCTTGTAAAAAATGTAACAATTCTGTGTGCACTGTTCATCAAGAAATTCATGACAGTGTAGTTGCCAATGGTGGAGACTTTGTAGACTGCGAGTTTGTGGTTTATGATAGACACCAATCCTACCCTGAATATCTCATTTGGTACAGTCGTTAAAGAAGCAATGGACGGAAATTTCTTATAAGAAATAATATTTTAAAGAAGTTTAGTATACTAGTGGTCATCAGAATATAAAGTATTGACACTATAAACTTGATATATCAAATTCATATCATTGTATTTCACTTCTGCTTTATCTTTAAAATTTAACTCATATATATTATATTATTACCCCCCTTTTCTCTCTCTCTCTTAAAGAGTTTCATACTGTTTATCACGTGTTTGTCATTTTACAGTAGTTCAACGTGTGTTAAATAATCTTTGCATTATTTATTTCAATGTGAAGTGGAATATACATATCTTCCTTATTGTCATATGCTTAGAAAGGCAACTTTTCGACTCTTCTTTATATTGAAAATCTGCTGCCGTGTGCAATAAAATAAATCATGCATAATCAGATCGTGTCTTCTAATGTGTGTGTAAAGCTGTTCGAGGGTGTGTGGAAATACATTAGATATGAAATAATCATATGTTCTCATAAATTTCACAGCTTTTTTAAAAAACTTATTTCGATTACTTTTAATGAACTAAAATCTTCAAAAATATTTGAAATTGAATTTTAAATACATGTATTATACAATTATGTACTTCATAATATTGACCGTTCACTGAAGTTCATAATAGTTATATAGTCACTTAAAGTGAATAATCTTTAATTCTAGCTGAACAGACTTGGCTTCATTACGTCACATGGTAAACACATGCTTATTTTATTATGACGTCACTTTCTACGGTGAGTCGTGCGATATCATATTCAGCGGACGCGCTTTCGCGTCAATATAACAAAAGGACGAATATCACGTGACATCCTTTCAGCCAATGAAAATTACGAAAATAATCTTCTTATATAATATTGTACGGTATCGTAGGATAAAGTGAAGGCTACATCCAACTTTGATTTTTACTCAGTAGTTTTCTGAAGAATTAACACGACTTCGGTCGTATTGTGGCGATCTTCATTCATACATTAACACTAATACCTACTGGAATCCTAACAATGCTTGTACGTATTCATAGAAAAGATGCTTACATTCATTGATAGAGTTTAAGAATTTTTTGCCACTTAAAGTAATAATGATACAAATTTTGTAACTCAAAAAAGTCTTCAAGTGTGAATAGATGGATAGCCATATTTTGTTGTTGTAGAATGTTACCACCAACTACATGTACCTTCAATAAATATAATATTAACTGAAATATAAACACCCTTCTTAAATGATTATTGTTAATCTTATCGATTTGAGCAGATGAATCTACAGGTATATCTCAGATTATTCTTAAGATTATTATTTCTTTGTAAAATTAAGCTTGATGTTATTGTGAATAGCAATGGCTCTAACCTTGATCTGAGTAAAGGTCGTGCCTCTTAGGCTCTGTTAAGTGCTGCTGGTTCTGGAATTCAGATGGAATGTCAACAGAAATATCCAAATGGAGTACAGGACGGTGAAATTGCCATTACCACTGGTGGACAATTATCTTGTCAGGCTATTTACCATGGAGCCCTCTCAAAATACTCTTCTGGTCAGGATAAACAGGTATAATTTACATAAACCGATCACCGTGAACTATTGTATTCCAAAAGATGTATTTAGAAATTTAGAACTTTGAACAGATATACTTTATAAATTCACAGCAAAATACATGTAGAATATCAAGAAACATCTTGACCTTTGACCATCTGACATTTGCCTATCCAAATTATGTATAATGTTTGCTAATTATCTATCAATGACCTGAAAACTAGAGTAGACAAGTATTTTTCATTGTTACTCTATTTATCAAGCTAACATTTCTTTTAATATTGTTTTAATATTTGATATCGACTAGGTACATTGCCAAAATTAAGTAAAATCAGATCAATTGACCTTAAAATGAGAGAATTACCTTTGGTGTTTATCAGGTAAAAAGGTTTTCAATATCTTGGTTGCAGATATGTTTTCAAACTGTAAAGATTTGTGAGTATCAAGTGAAATGGGTTTTGAAAAACTTAATATTGAATGGAAATCATTGGGTTTGCTAACCAACCTAAGTATGGACCAACCAGTGTTATGCAGTCTTCTTTGATAAACAGTACTTCCAAAGTAACTACAACCATGCTAGTATACTTCTAGGCTTTGAAAAACCTTATAAATGCCTCACTGGATAAGGCAGAATCAGATGGTGATCAGACGACCGCTTTTCCCGCGTTTGGTGCAGGAAGCTTGAATTCCCGGCCCAAAGAGTAGCAGAAATCATGTTCACTTGTATAAAGAACACCACACCACAATTACTGCAGGAGGTCTTCGTTGTTATCTTCGAGAAAGATCGCTATCTCTTTAATGTAATTTATTTGAAGGAATTTACATCAAATTTTATAAAACGCTGAATGTTTTGTAATTAAGTCATAATGTTCCAAAAGCAGTTTACTTCTTAGATATTTTTTTAAAGAAACCATTAAATGTTTACCAAAAAAATGTGATAGTGGAATTTGCGATCGTTTTTTTACCTTTCAGAAATAGTTCGTCCATAAAATAACTTTCTTTTGAGCCATTTGAGCCATTTTTTCTAAAAAAAAAAAATTCGATAAAAGGTAGGTTATGAAATCATACACTCATAAAACTTTGATAAAAAAAAATTTCATATGCTAGTACGAGGGGTTATCAAAAAGTTCATGGACTGAGGCGATAAAATTAGTACTATGTAGTCTGTGCTCTCAAAATTTATAAGAAACATAAAACAACAAAAGTTTTTACTCCATATAAAATTTACAATAAAATTTCATAGAACTCAATGAATGAGGAAAAATTGCACATTTTACGGAATAATTGTTTCCCACCACATGCCTGAATTAAGGGGATTTTTGGGTGACACATGCTCATATCAAAAGAGTTTTTCTCAGTTACACTCACGTCGAAAAAAGAATGTTCGAGGTTGCGCATCCTGGACGTACCATTGCTTACAAAGACATTACCAATTTATTAAAAAAAATAAAACTTATGATTTGTGGTTTATTCTATAGATAGAAAAGATGATGCTAACTAAAATCCGTGTATTTTCAAATTCATTGATGTACTTAAAGCGGTTTGAATTTTATGGCGCTAGTCCACGAACTTTTAGATAACCCCTCGTATCAACGGTATTTGAAATTGTACAAGTATTTTTCTTTTAAAATATTGTATTGTACAACCTTAATTTGGCAATCTCAAATCAGAAAGCTGGGATTCCAAATAATTCCTTCCAATGACAAGGTTAACGAAATGATAATCACAAGAACTCCAGGAACAATAAATGTCAATATAAAAAAGTTGACGCCCTGCAAGATACTCAGGTAAACTTTAATCTATGTTAATGATAGTGTAAACCTCCTGAAATAAAGTATGTTTTTCATCTTCTTGAAATGAGGGACCCTTGATCTTTGTGTAATAAAATAATTCTTTAATCCAACATCCGAAATATACCAAAAAAAAAAAAACAAATCATCATGGTTAAAATGATTCAAAAATTTAAAAGGCAGATGTATTGGTATATAACGGACCGAAAAGCTAACAACTCACCGACAGAGTGTTGTCTGATGTTCTCCTGAGAGTAGCTGGACAGGAAAAGCAACAGGAATTGAATAGAAAGTATGCAAATGACATAGAGTACGGAGACTTTGCAGTCAACATTGGTTATGGACTTCTTTTCAAGATTGTATACCACGGAGCCTTGCCAGTATGGGAAACTCACCAACCCGACCCTTCTTTAATGTAGATCATAAGTGGCTTTTCCTTAATTGTGTGGATTTTTTTTTACCTATATGTTTAATAATTTATTTATCATTTATAAATCTATCACTATTTTAGACCCTTGAAAAATTGATAACCATTGCTTTTCCTTCACTGGGAGGGGATAACTAAAAATACCGTCGCCTGCGTGACGCAGTGGTTAGAGCGTTTGCTCTAGACTCCCGATGTAAGTAGTTGATCCTTACGTCGCGGGTTTGAATCCACTGCGGGACGTGGAGACCGGTCCTTTGGATGAGACCGTCTAAACCGAGGTCCCGTGTCGCAATAGGTGCTGGCGCGAAAAAGATTCCTCACTGCTAGATGTCTCTGAGTGCGGAGTATAGATAAAAATTTGCAGCCCTACACCGGTAGGTGCTGGCGTTTCCAAAATGAGTGAAAAATTCTCAAGGGGACGTTAAACAACAAACAAACAAAAAACTTAAAATAGCTGTTGGATCAGCCAGCTCAATGAAATATGAAGATAACGAACAGTATTCAATCTCGAAAGTTCTTTCGACCTCTATATTTTGAGGAAATCGTTCTTTGGAGTTTTTAAGTATCCACATCTGATTTACACCACTTCTTGAATATACTGTTGAACAGTACTCCTTAAGTTTCTCCTTCATTACAGTAAATATTTTAGTGACGAGTAAAGAAAGAGGCTTGGTAGAACATTTACTGGAACCCGCTATGTATCTTTGTTTGTAAGGATTTTTATGAAGTTTAGGAATCCAGTAAAGGTATCGTAATTCAAATTCATTTTGATTGTTGGGAATATTAAAATTATCTAAAACGGACACATGATTTTGAAGAATTTCCTTTTTAATAAGGGAGGTATGGGTATAATTTGGATTTCCACCCGCAGAATTAAATCCTAGTTCCTCTAAAATACAATTAAAATAATGAGCCTTACAAACAAAGACTATGTTGTTACTATGAAGCTAAGTGATTGTCAAAGCCATACGAAATTTTTTCAATCAACTTTATGATGTAAAAATCAAAGGTTTAACCATCGTTGCTTTTATGAGCTAAGATCAGCATAACGTTCAAAGTGCAAGAGCAAAAAGGTCAAGACTGGACATCTTTATCATTCACTGCATTTGAAAAGTAGTCTGTTTATATGACAAATTTGTCTTGATCTTGAAAGACAAAACAAATATGCCAGTCTCTATTACTTTCTCCAGAAAAATACATTAATTAATTTTAATTCACCTCATTTTGATGTGTTAATGACATATCATCGATAGAAAACGTACCTGATATATCTAAGCAGTTTGTAGGATAGATTCATTTTATTATATTTTACAGCCTAAAATTCTCATTTGTATGTTGAAAATAAAACTTAATGTACAGGGATGGGTGTTTGATCTGGATTGTATCGTCAGGTTGAAAAAAGTTCTTGTCCTCTTTTTTCAGGCAATTTAAAGTGTTAAATCTAAAAATTCTGTCATAATGTCAGTATATTTCAATAGAAAGAAAATAGAGCAGTTCAAATTCATTAAGATGTCTACATTTAGATTTTAAGTTATAAAAATCCAATAAATGAAAATGTGGAACACCCTGCCCTGTAATATAGCTGTTATTCTGGTCTTCATATCTTATCAGAGTCAAGCAAGGATTGTCAATGCATTTCTGCTAAAATTCGAATCTAAAAACCAGGTCTGGGAGCAAAAGTGCAAAGTTTTGGACCATACATGTAGGCAACAGGAAATAGCTTAAATCAAGACTCAGAACTCAGACAAATCAAAGAAAATTAATTTTATTATATGATTAAATTATTCCCAGCTTTCTGATCGGCTGATTCCAACATTGCAGAAAAAACCTATGTTATTTTCATCTGCACGTGACCTTCCAGGTGAATAAAAGAACTTATTTTTCCTACATTGGACTAAAATCATTTGACTGAAAAAAGACTAAGAACTTCTAAATTGATACACAGGTTATTTCACCTGCATCCGTCTTTCACTCAGGTGAACATAACATTCGATAGTCAATTACCTCATATTTCCATGGACACTAACCCTCATCCTCACACCAAGCCCCAAATAAGATTTTGGACTTTGGAGATTCCTCCTCTTTAATTATTTTGGTTTGTCAGAGATTTTTTTCAAGTCACTTGTCGATTTTTCATCCCCTCTCCACTTCAATGCTTAATGCCTGACATCTATTTTAAAATCGATTAAAAATTTCCAAATTAATACAATTGATTACAGTGTATGTTTATTTTCACCATTCCTTTTCTCATTGCGTTTTGCTAGGAGGTCAAAAAATTTAAACAACCAAGAAAATATTGTGGTTTGCTAAATGTGGTTGTTTCATTCAATCATAAAATCACAAATAAAACAATTATTGCCTTTTTCAGTCAATACTTCGAAAAATGCAATAAGTGTTGATGCGTTCGTTTTTTTCAATATAGAAGCCAGTGAGGAAAACAGGAAAGTAAGGAAATCATATCTACTTTATTCCTGGTGGAACCAATATAATATATTATACTGTTCAAAATGGGAGGGAAAAAAATAAATAAATAAATAAATTTTTTTTCAAGAATCATGATTATTCAAGAGCTTTTTTTTTATAACAGAATTGTGCATATATAGAATTACAAAGAGAGAGATAGAGAGTTACGAAAATAGTTGGTTCCACCTGTTCCACTGAGTGTCAAATTTCTTTTTTTTTTTCACCATTTTTATGTAATATAATATAAATATTACATAAAAATGGTGAAAATTAGAAATTTGACACTCGGTGGAACGGATGGAACCTACTATTTTTGTAATATTATATATATATATATATATATATATATATATATATATATATATATATATATATATATATATATATATATATATATATATATGAAAGAATACTATTTTAATCCAAGTTCCTAATGCACTTTCTTTCTTCCTAGTCCATTGCATAATCACGGAAGAAATGCCACTTTGCGTAAGAGAAAGTCGAAGGGAAATGTTTTGAGACAGACAAGGAAGGATACAGTATGTAAATGTTGAACTAGAGTAGGAATATGCTATTTTGACGTGTGATTTCCATTTGTTGTCCCCAGCTAAAATATCTAAAAAGTCAAAATGGCTAGCTACAGATACAGATACAGATCTCGTAGATTGTTTGATGATTCGGATTCCTCGTCGTCTGAAACCTCTGATTCCGAGAGTGTCGACGACGAAGGTAGGTTAGCAAGCAATGATTATAGTAACGTGCACTTGGACGTGAAAAAGTATATGTTTAGTGTTTTTAAGTGACATACAAGCTTAGTAAAATCTTGGAGATTCCGTGTACAAGAAAAAAAAATTCTTTACAGTGCTTAATTTTGTCAAATTTTATGACTGACATTATGCGGCAGGGTTTCAAATTTGGTAAAAGTGAGCCGACTCAGATAAATATTATCAATTGTGGCTTCAAGGCATCCGTTTCAAATTTATACTGTGAAAATTTTTTATACGGATCTTTTTAAATCATACAAAAGTTAAGATTTTTATTTCAAAATAAAATTGTTTTTAAAAACTTTATTTCACTTTCTTTCAGAATCATCTGAGGATTCAGAGGAGGATCTAAGAGGGGCCACGTATTTACCCAAACACAGGCCTCGGGGTTCAGGTTTTAAGGCCAAGTCAGGTTATCAGATTGGTAATGCAACGGTTACTGTTGTTGGAGGGGAAATTACCAGACAAAAAGTAAGAAATAATCTAACAGATAAATTAATAAATAAAGGTTTCAGTAACCTTGTCATATGGATTTATGTCCAAAATTAATCGATCTTTAAGAAACTGAATGTTTGTGTTTATTTGATCTTCACATTTCATTAATAAAGTTAATAAAGTAGCATGTGAAGAAATGTTGATGAAATATAAGTTCTGCTTCTTACGTCATGGAATATGGATGATTCCTTCATTTACATAAAAACATGTCAGCAAGTGTTCAGAAAATCTGAGAAAAAAATTAGACGGAATATCTTTTTTTTCTAATTATAACTGGAGTAGAATCATATGCATTATATAATTATATAACATATAATTATATAACATTACAAAAGACTGAAATGTTTGTCTTGATTGCTTATAATCATTCGATTAAGGTTGACGTAATAGTCAACGGTACAAATCCTCGTCTCGATCTGAGCCAAGGGAGAGCTTCGAGTTCCCTCCTAGCCGCGGCAGGGAGGGGCATTCAGAGAGAGTGTCGTCAGAACTATCCTGAAAGGTTAGATCCAGGAGAAATAGCTGTCACAACAGGGGGAAACCTCGCCTGTAAGGCTATATATCATGGAGTTCTGACCAAATATTCATCTAAGAAAGACGAACGGGTATCATTATGGTTCTTTTTTTTTATTTAAAAGTTGGACCCATGATTTCTGTGGGTATTAGGTGAATTAATGAGCAAAATTACATGATTGCCTTTTGTGGTGTTTCTTACTCTTTATGTGAGTAAAAAAAATGAATATTCATAACACAAGACATCCTAGTTTATCCCAAAAAAAATCCCAACATTTATTTTTTTTTTTAAATGTTATGAAATTGTATGATAAAATCCGTATATTGGTTTTTGTCTTCATTTCTCTCAATAGCATTTTTAAATACTTTTTGAAGCGGCATCAAATTATAATCAATGTGCATTGTTTTTTGAAAATTTGAATGCAGTGCTTGCCAGAATAAGATGAACAATTTTACGAATTAAAACTTTTAAATTACCACCACTCATTAAAGTAATTTTTTCTTAGTAATAGCATATGTTGAACATTGTTTTTCAAAACATTTTCTTGCAAGAAATACGGAGGAACCAAGGTTTCAAATACGATATTTATCACTTCTATGTCATGTCCCAGCAACAAATATATCGCTACTATTTTTCAAAATGACTATATTTGTCCATAATTAAAAAAAAAAGAAGACAATATTCCCAAATATTAAAATTATGAAATGTTTATCAAATTGGAATATGTAATAATCTTTTGGTGTTATTAAATGTATAATTGATTTATGTGTACAACGAATTGGGCTAAGAATTTCCTGCAAGTCAAACCGTTTTCAAGATCTCTGTTCCTTTGTCTTGGGCTATTTTTTCAAAACTTTTTTCCTGCAAGAAATACAGAAAAACTGAGTGTACAAATGAGATATTTGTCACTTCTGTGTCATGTCCAAGTAATAAATATATATCGCTACTATTTTTCAAAATTACTATATTTGTCCCCCCCCCCCCAAAAAAAAAAAGCATGACAATTCCCCAATATTAAAATTATGAAATATTCTTCAAATGTATTTACCTCTTGGGGTTAATAAATATATAACTGAGTTATCTGAACAACGAATCTTGCTTAGAATTTCCTGCAAGTCGAATTGTTTTCAAGATCCCTGGGGCTATTTAAACATTTGCCTTGGGCTATTTTTTCAAAACATTTTTCTTCCAAGAAATACAGAGGAAATAAGGGTACAAATGAGATATTTGTCAACAATAAAAATAAGGGTTGTAAGGAAAACAGATAAAATTTCCATGCAAATATATTAAACAGTTGAAGAAGCTCAATTTTGGACTCAAAGAAAAGGTTTTGTTGATATAAAAATGAGACTTTTGATTGGAATTTTTTTTCAGATTTTAGCAGACTTGGTGACAGAATGTCTGGATCAGGCTGATGCTGACGGTTACAGGTCTATTGCCTTCCCACCGATTGGGACTGGGAACCTGTCATACAATCCAGCAAGAGTTGCTGAAATAATGTTGGAATGTATTGAAGACTGCACTTCACGAACAGTAACATCTGTGTCCATTGTTATATACTCACAAGAAAGTAGTTGTTTTCAGGTAATCGCTAACGAATGTTTCAACAATACTGGTTAATGTTACATTATGAAAGACTTATTATCAGTTAGTTATTTTTTTCTCTAAATTTTGTCTTAACATTTTTTACCTTATTTTCCCCTCATGATCTTTTTTATCTTTTTCCCTTCTTGATCTATTTTGAATCAAAATCAAATTATGCATTCATACATCAATTTTTTTTGAGAAAATGAAAAGTAAAAAAAAAATACCTTTTATATATATATATATATATAAATTTCCATTATTTAAAGCTTCCAGGATGGTCTAAGAGACACAAAAAACTGTCCATATGGTTATATAGAATGGTTAAAGTTTGACAATTTCGGTATTATAGATATGTCGAATGGAAATTTTGACAGTGTATTTGTATTTAACAGTTACGGAATTCAATTTATGGCTTGTAGCGCAGTTGTTTTTCATAAGACACTTTTTATATAAAAATGAAATTGTTCGTTCGATCCATAAGAAAATAATGGATTTTGGATATTTTTTACTTTGCTTCGTTTCAGCCATATTTCTGTTACTGTCTTTCTTGCAGAATAAGTAAATAAGTAATGTAAGGAATAACTTTTAAACATTTATCGTGATGTGAATACGGACTGGCAAGTGATCAAATCTACCATAAAATCCTTTGGGCTTTATATAATATGATCACGTGATCATCCGTATTTACATCCTTATAAAAGTTAAGAAATTATATATTATTTAAAATAAAAATTGCTATCAATACTTTGTCTGGATTGAATCATTTCCCGTATATTTCTTTTAAAGGACTTTTTAAACGCAGCTATGAGATATTCGTCATCAACCTCAAAACTGAGTAAGTTTTTTAAAAATAATAATTGTAAAATAAGCTCGGAAATGGTCACAGTTTTAGGGTTCATTTCTTTTCAGAATAATACGAGTTCTGAACTCTTTATATGAAACATTTAGGTAAAGATTCTTTTTTCATGTTGTCAAAACTTTCTTTCAAACAAAAAAAAATTAATATAACTCTTTTCAACATTCCAAAACACGTTTTCAAATTTTTTCAGGCTTGAGTTCCAATAAAAAGCGAGGATCTAAAGCTTCGCCTGGAATTTCGATCTCAAACTTTAGTAATAATATTGGCGGAATCAATGTGAATGTCTCAGTTGGTAGTCTTCAAGATCAAAATGTAAGACTTCTCAATGTGGCAATGCTACAATACTTAAGACAAGTTTTTGCGATAGTCAAGAGCACTTATGAAACAAAAGAATTTTACACGATGTTGATCATTTTCCTATTCGGAGAACTGTACAGGAATCATAAGCAAAAATATATTGGTTAATTTTTGTATTTAATGACCGATATATAAATACCAGGTAGATGTTGTCGTCAATAGCATTGGGCAGGACCTCAGCATGGATTCCGCCTTGTCCTCCGCCCTAGTGTCTGCTGCTGGACCAAATCTCATGCAAGAGCTTCATCAGACATGTCTTGGTAAAATTCCTTTTGGATTTGTTGCTGTTACTAAGGGTTACAACTTAAATTGTAAAGAAGTATTTCATGGTGCCTTATCTTCATGGAGCTCAAAAACAACAGGCAGTAAACACCAACCAGATATTGTAAGTTCTTCTTAAAATATGTCTTTAAGGGTTCAGGATTTTCAAAGATTAACTTCTCCTTAAACATATTATAGGTCCTAGAAGAGTTCGTCTATAAATGTCTGAAAACGGCCAATTCACGTGGACACAAGTCCATTGCGTTTCCAGCATTAGGAACAGGACAGTTAAAGTTCCCACCAGATGTGGCTGCTGCTTGTACTGTCGCAGGAATTAAAAAGTTTTCAGCCAAATATAGCATTTCCGAAATACGAATTTTACTGTATAGTGGGAGTCCAGACTTGAATCAGCTTAAGAAGGTTTTATACTATCATGACTTCCTTTTTCATACAAAAACAACAAACACATTTTAACTCTCTCAAATATAAAGATGGAAATGTTATCTTGAAAAAATATATAGCTTTATGACATTATCTCTTCGCAGGCCTTTAAGGATGAAATGACCACTCCTGGACACAGAGGTAGAGGATTTTTTTTTCAATGTCTCTTTCACCATCGAAGCTTTGTAATGAAAGAATAAACTGTGAAAGCATTTATTTTCATGAGCATTAATTCTCGTTGTTTTCATGGTATAAAGAAAATCACGAATACATGTCTTCCATGAAAGGTTAAAATTTTAATCTACAGTGTCATGTCTACCAACTTACCACGAAATGAAATCAATATTTGTTTTTCAAACCTCGTGAAAAGTTGGGTCCCATGAAAATAAGTGCATTTAGAGTTACCATATTCATGCAAAGAATTGTGTTTAGGTTAAATTGTGAATAAAACTTACAATAAATTACATTTACTTGGATTTTCATATATTGTGTTTTTTAGTGAGCAAAGCAGGAAAATCAGCTTCTGTCGAACACTTTTCTCAATACAGCGAACCAAAGCGAGGCACAGAAGCCTGGTTGGCATGGAAGTACAGGGAAGATCTCAGGACGCCGAAATATTGGACAAAATACACCGACACCAAAAAACTAAAACATTGGAATTTGGGGGGTAGCTCTTTTGAAAAGGTGGATCAAGTTACCAAAAGTTCCATAAGCAATGCCCTTAAAAAATCTGTACAAGTCAAAACGATTGTCAGTATACAACGGCTTGAAAATGTTGGTTTGTTCCAAAAGTACGGCGATGAATGCCAGAGATTATTTCGCAAAGCTAGTATGGCAGGGAATTTTACTCCTTTGGATAAAGTACAGAACTCGCTGGGCCCGGTGAGGGTAATGAAGTATCTTGACCAATCCTTAACGAAGCACACTTATCCAGAAATAAACGAGTATTTCTTTTTCCACGGTACGAAACCAAATGCTGTGAATTTGATCTGTGAACAGGGGCTAGATAGTAGGCTAGGGGGCGGACGGCTTGGTGTCGGAGTCTATGGAGCAGAAATGGCATCAAAGTCTCACGGTTACACAGGTACATTGTATGTTTGTAGCGGGTATTCCCGGCAATGATGGAAAACACACTTGTAGCTTTTTTAAATTTTACATTTTATTATGGTGACATGTCTAGTTGATGATAAATGGATAATGGAAAATGGAACTAATGGAATATATGGAATAATGGAAAATGGATATGTCCTGCAATATACAAATTGCGTCATAAAAATATGTACAAACAATATATCAATTATCTAATATTCTGATCATAAAAATATAACAAATTATCTGTCTTCCCTTTAACAATTATTTATCATATTTATAAATTTCACTCGATATGATAAAATAGAGAAATTCTATATAAGGGAGTTAACTCTTACAACATAATTACTCTTAACAGTCTTGTGAAGAGTTATCTTTCTTTTATGTTTCTGTACAAATCATAAAAAATATATATACAGATAGACATACCAATTTATGGAATTGAACTTTCTCCAAAGCAATAATTTAATTCTTTACTTATGGTGTTACCTATGTACAATAAATAAAATAATCAGGATTTGTTCTTTACAAATACCTTTCTCATAATAAATAGATATTCAAATTAGTTTGATTATCAAAATATTCACATAAAAATATTTCTAGGTATATATACAAATTAATTAATAAGAAAACTCCATCAGATTTATCTACATCTGATTATACAGACAGATAATTCAATATGTTAACATTTAAAAGTGAAATATTATGTTTTCCACCTATTTCACATAAATTATGGAAAACATATCTTAAGGCATAAAAAAGGGTAAAACTTACATTTTCAGGAACTGTCTTAGGTCTTTGAATAAATAAAGTCAGCAGCTATATAACTATGTCTTCTCCATTCTAAACCTTGAGCTAATTCTGAATAAAACTCAGTACCCCACAAAGACTAAACTTTCAACCAATGAAATCTATCCGTTTCAAAATCTGACCAATAGATATGTGTGGTCATGTAAAAGTATATGTACAGGTGTGGATCCAAAGGGGTGTATATCTATGTCACTAAATACCCATGTTAGTAAAGAATGAACAGAATGAAACTTTAATAGAAAACTTATCATTTATGCATTTATAACATATTTAATAGTTTATTTAGTTTATTTAATTTATATTTAATATTTATTTTATTTCATTTAAAATCATTTCAACTTTTATAATTCTTAATAAAAGTACCTCTACTACATGTTGTCTTTATATAACAGCCTAGCTTTTGTGTAGAGGTTAAAATCTGCATGTTTCCATCCCCCATGCTTCGCGTAAAACGTAAACCAGGCCCGTAGAACGCGGGGTGGGGGGCCAGTGGGCTCCCCCCACTTTTTTCTGAGTATAGATTTTGCTATGGTAGTATTTTAGATGCTAGTCCCCCCCCCCCCCAACTTTTTGATGTTGATAGGTCAAGCACAGGCAAATTTCAGGATTTGAACAGTAAATTTGCTTTTTAGTCCCCTACCGGTGAAACCGAAGGGGACTATACGTTTCCTCTTAGTCTGTCCGTCCGTCTGTCTGTCTGTCTGTCTGACCCTCTGTCTGTCTGTCAGTGTGTCCCACTTGCTTTTCCGCACTTTTTTTCTAAACGCTTGCAAATATTGAGCTGATTTTTGGTATGTGACTTTACCTTGATGAGTTATAGATCAAGTTTGCATTTCATTCCACTTTATTGATTTTTGACCGAAATATGGCATTTTCAATTTTTAACGGGAACCAGATTGCACTTGCCGGTAGAGGACTAGTATTGCTAATGCAATACTCTCAGAATGCTTGTTTTTTTTTTTTTCGTTTTTTCTTTGCAGATAATTTAGGGAAGTTGCCCCCCCCCCTTTTGGTCAGTTTAGTTTTTTTTTTCATTTTTGGGGGGAGGGGGAAGTTGCCCCCCTCCCACTTTTGAAATCGTTGCTACAGACATGTAAACTGGCCCAAACCAGGTAATACTCGAGTAACTTGGCAAGAATGAGAGTCATTCCTAAAATATTCTTAAGGTATGAAAATTTAATTGAACATACAAAATATCTTATTTTATTTTTTAAATTGTGATTTTATTAAAACTATGCACATCTTAATCTTTGATGCCTGGTTCGACAGGCGAACAAAATTATAGTAAATATACTACTATTGGTGATTCAGAATAATAAAACAGCATTCTAGAAGTTAACTTTCGTTTATGACAAGAAAGACAAACAACGAATTAATTGCTATGGGAGACATGATGACTTGTAGAGTTATACAATGAGTATATCGGTATGTTTTACACAGAAATATTTTGTTTTGTTCATAGGAACGAATAGCAAAGGTGAAAGACCCATGTTCTTGGTCAGGATGTGCCTCGGAGATGTCTTTTTGACAAATGTAGACACTAACTTTAGGAGGGCCCCGTGCAAAAAATGCAGTAATGCTCAGTGTACAAGTCATCAAGAGATGTATGACAGTGTAGTGGCCAATGGTGGAGCATTTTCCGATCGCGAGTTCGTGGTTTATGACAGAAATCAGTCTTATCCCGAATTTCTTATTTGGTATATCTGATGAACGACATATGCATGGGGGTAAAAGGATTATTTTTTACCTTTAACTTCACTGGAGAAATGCGATTTAAAGGTCAGGAAAAAGTACCTTGTAATTTGAAGGATATTAAATGAATTGAAAATAATTGTGTGTGTGTGTGTGTTCTTTTTAAATTTGGCATGCATGAGTGGTAACGTATCAATCATATATTATAATACTTATACTTTGCTTCCAATTTATGCAATTTATGCGGGGTCCATTCCACTACATTTTACTTGGACCAGTTTTAAAACAGATTTTCACTGAAGTTTGTGCAAAATATTTTGCTGGCATTTATCAGCAAAAACAATAAATAAGATATATAATATAATATATATACATATAATTTTAACACCTTGTGGGGGTCATACATTCGTCGTTCTCATCATACCCAAAACAAGGAAGATTATACACCTCAAAAATTAGTGAATTCACAGTATCTTTTGTCAGTTCCTGAATTTAATCTATGGTGTAAAATATTTTCAAAACGTACACTGTCTAGAAAGAAGCAGTGACTTATAACTGAATTTGACCTACCGGAAATAAGCTATGTTACTAAAGATAATCATAGATATCAAAAAATACTAGTAGCAAATAATGCAGAGAACGGCATCGCTTATAATACTATATTGTGTGTGGCTGACCTGGGACCTGATTCAAAAGATTCTGATAATATAATTGAAATATAACATTACTTATCTCTTAGTTGCATATAGCTTTATTTTTCCTATTCATGCACTTTTAATTTTGCTGCTTTGATAGTACAGCAAAGTCGTAAAGTAATATAAAATAATATATCATAGGTAATGTGTATTTTTGTATCAGATGAATAAAGATCTTGGGCAAAAACACAAGGTTTATTATGAAAATACAATTATAACAAAATTAATTTTAATACAATAATCAGATATATTTTTATCAATCAGCCTCTTCAATACTTGAAACAACTTCCTGGTTCCACGAGATGCTCGAGGAAGAAAATCCAGAATTGAATAAAAATAGTAAAATATATGAGGAAGGATACCAAAGAATTATAAAAATTCCTCTATTATAAAAGATTATAAATATATGCAATTTTATCCTATTGTTATGTAAAATTGCTGTAATTATTTGACACGCATAGAAAGTTAAGATGGCTGGTTACAGAAATCGCAGGTTACTGGACGATTCTGATTCTTCGTTGTCGGAATCCTCAGAATCCTCAGAATCTGATGAAGAAGGTAAGAAAATAGTTTCGTTGCTTTAAGGATAAATAACACAAGTAAACTTTTATCAAAAATCAGCGATTTTCCTCATAGATTTATATTCAAATAGGTGATTTGATTAATGTTTGCCAGGTAAAGTGGGAGGATTTTGTAAGATTTTGTTAAGACAATGTTAAAAATGTGCCCAGAATTTTATATAGAATTACATAGAAAGCAAAACAGACTCGCATATTTAATCAGCAAAGAAAACGTACGGTTTCTTTATATTTTAGGGATTTATTACTTATGTCATTTCTATTCAAAACCAGTCAGAAAATATATGTATATATCAACCCATGCGTCATTTTTTTTGTTTGCGTTATGTATCCTTAAATGAAACTTTTGGGATAATTCTATTTAAAAAATTTAAGATGAAAGCTAAAAGTAAACGTTCTCCTTACTAATGAAGAGACCTGTTTTGATCTAGAGCAATATGACATTGTGCTGCTTTATTCTTCTTCTATGTGCAATAAGTGTATTCTCTCCGTAGAATCTACTGACGATTCCGACGAGTTGGTAGGGGCCACTTATTTACCCAAACACAGTTCCCGAGGATCAAGTTTTCAAGTCAAGTCGGGTTTCCAGATTGGTAATATTACAGTCGATATTGTTGGAGGAGATATTACCAGACAACAGGTAAGGAAAGGAATGATTGGATTCTTCAAAATTCGAAGAAATAGCATGAAAGATTATTTTAACTTTTCTATACAAGCATTTTAATTTACCTGATAATTCTATTTTGCTAATGAAAGCTAGAATTCTAGAAAAGATTTACCATCATACTAGCCCACCACTGAGTACACCTTTCCGTAGACACCGAGAAGAATACTGTATTAGAAAACTAGGCACGGCCTCTCCATATGGTAGCAATGACATTGTCGATAGTGATGGGAATCTTTCAAGCCCATAGTGTAGCAATATGAATATGATGGGACATTTTAACAGTACACAGAGACATAAGCGTAGTCATGGACATCGGTCTGACCTATTAAACACGATGTCTCTTTTGATTCACTACTGCTACCGAAAATACTGCTCAAAAAACCCGTTTGTTCTTTAAACTTCAAGATGCCAACAAAGGAATTGACGCAGTTAATATGAGTAATATTCTTAATCACACAAAGGTCCAGTCTTGTATTCCACCATATTTCAATTTGAAGTCCACACTATGTATTTCTTACAAATATACATCGACAATTGCTCCCAAACTTTTTGATGATAAAAAAACTCTACAGTGCCTAGATATCGAGCATCTGAAACATAAACCTCCATCGTGCTCATGTTCTTCTTCACCCTGCAACTATAGTCCTGCTGGACACGTCATTACTGGTGACGTAAATATAGTTAATAATGAGGACCTTAAATCACTTATTATAAGAGGGCCAAAGTTTAGGGAACCCCGATCTTCCACCTGGCGTCATAATTTCATAAATATTATGAATTCTATAGAAGATTACGCCAGACGATGGGCCAAATATGAATAAGAAGACTTGACACTTTGTCAGAATGAATTAAATGTATCAGATGGGTGTTGAAATCGCGCAGTATAAATATTTCGGATTTCAAATGTTTCGTTATGAGCATCGCTGAATAGACATAATTTGTCGAAATGCGCATCTGGTGCATCAAAATTGGTACCGTATAAGCTTTACATGAAAACATCTATACTTATGTCTTCGACAATGCAGAAGTGAAACTAGAATTACATGTAGATAGATTACACGATCAGTATGTACCGGTCCCCGCTGACAAAGCAGTAATAGCATTGTCTTTGTTTGTAAGGCTCATTATTAGAATTGAATTTTAGAGGAACTAGGATTAAATTCTGCAAGTGGTAATCCAATTTATACCCATAGCTCCCTTTCTAAGGAGGAAATTCTTCAAAACCATACGTCAGTTTTAAATATTTTTAATATTCCAAACAATCAAAATGAATTTGAATTAACATACCCATACCTATACTGGATTCCAAAACTTCATAAATATCCTTACAAACAAAGATACATAACGGGTTCAAGTAAATGTTCTAACAAGCCTCTTTCTTTACTCGTCACTAAAATATTTCTAGCAGTGAAGGAGAAACTTTAGGAGTACTGTACAACAGTATATTCGAGAAGTGGTGTAAATCAGATGTGGATACTTAAAAACTTCAAGGAACTTTTAGTAAAATTTTAACAAAATCAATAACATCAAAACATACGACTTTTCAACACTTTATACAACCATTCCCCACGATAAATTAAAGTCTAGGCTTTTTGACATCATTAACAGCTGCGTTTTCAATAAAAATAGAACTCGTAAATATACTCACATGTACCTTGTCATTGGTCATCTGCAAAATTATTTTGCTAAAAAACATTCTGATTGTACACAGAATTACTCTAAAGTTGATATTAAAAAGAAGTTTGAGTTTCTGATTGACAATATCAGAAATATATGTATATAAATATATATGAAAATCAGGTCTTCCAACAATCTGTTGGAATACCCAAGGGTACCAATTGCGCCCCCCTATTAGCAAACCATTTTGTGTTCAGATGAAACAGAATTGATTCAAAAAATTCTACATGAGGAGAATAAAACACTTGCTGTGGCCTTCAACGCGACATTTAGATATATCGACGACATATTATCAATTAACAATAGTTACTTTCATTCATATGTCGACTCAATATATCCCACGGAGCTTGAAATAAAAAAATATCACAAAGTCTGACACATCTGTTTCATATTTGGATATTTTACTATAAAAAGACTTTAATGGTAACCTACAACCAAGCTTTATGATAAACGTGATAACTTTAATTTTTCAATCGTCAACTTCCCTTACCTATGTAGCACCTATGCAATATACCCTTATCACCCGCTTATGGGGGTTTTATCTCCCAGTTGATTCGATACGCAAGAGCATGCTCTACGTATGAAGAATTTCTGAAACGGGGCAAACTATTGACTAACAAACAGGATATCAACAGTCTCGTTTGAAGTCATCATTTCGCAAGTTTTATGGTCGATACAATGACCTTGTCAGCAATTACAACCTTTCATTAACAAATGCTGACTGACGTTTTTCATACTAATTGTTAGGCCATTATTTACACACTGAATTGTCGACGGATTTTACTGAATTGTCGACGGATTTTTTTCGTTATTTCCCGATCATGACAAGGAGCTCACGGCGGGTGTGACCGGTCTGTAGAGGATGCTCACTCCTCAATGGCACCCGATCCCACCTTTGAATTTATTTTATTTTATTTTTTTTTTGCTCTGTTCCCGATTTGTATTGTTTAAATGGACTTTGAGCTTGAATACTGTTCGTTATCTCCATATTTTATTTTGATGGTTTCTTTTTTAATTTAGGTTGACGTAATAGTTCACAGTGCAAATCCTAGTCTTGATCTGAGTCAAGGGAGAGCGTCCAGTTCCCTCCTATCTGCAGCAGGGAGGGGCATTCAGAGAGAGTGTCGTCAGAACTATCCTGGCACGTTATCAACAGGGGAAATAGCTGTCACAACAGGAGGAAATCTCGCCTGTAAGGCAATATATCATGGAGTTCTGGCAAAATATTCATCTAAAAAAGACGAACAGGTATTAATTAACATTACAAATTCATTAATTTATAAGGAGTCTTCCAATTTCAGGATTCTGGGTCGAGTAGTGAATAATTCAGCAAAAAGCATTTCATTTGTTGGTGCTTTCTATACGAGTTTAAGTTCCATTGAGCACATTTAAAGAGTTAGAGTGTCCTTCCCTCTATCAATGAAGCCTGTTACCTTATGTCCGATTCAACTAAGATTTGCTCATGTTCACAGATCTTAGCAGACTTAGTGACAGAATGTCTAGATCAGGCTGATGCTGACGGTTACAGGTCCATCGCCTTCCCACCGATAGGGACCGGGTACCTGTCCTATCCCTCTCCAAGAGTTGCTGAAATAATGTTGGAATGCATCAAAGAGTGCACATCACGAACAATAACATCTGTGTCCATTGTAATATACTCACAAGAAAGCAGCACTTTCCAGGTATAGATTATTGCCTTGTTCTTATTGTAAGATGTTAAATTTTCTCGATTACAAAACAAATCTGTAATATGCTTGGATTTATGAATAATACATAAAAATTGTGACTCATTTGAAGTCTTATTTTACTAATTCACATACGATGATCAGAAGAAATCCAAATTTAGACATAACATGGATGTCAAAACATTTAGGAAACAATCCATTGTCTTTCTCCTAATACCAAACAAGGAAATGTGAAAGATTAAAAAGATCTAAAATTATCACCATTTTTATAATCAGATCATCACTACAGTGTGAGATCCAGGATCTAATTTTGAAAAAAAAAAAACAGTTTATAGAAATGCACCTGTCAATATGTTTGCAAATAACTTTATAGTGTATTGTTTTATTTTCGTAAGAAGGAAATTTATTTGTTTGACGGATACTCTTAAAGTTTGTATACATGTATTTCATATGGATGTTTACGTTTTATTTCTGTCCCCAACTTGACCAGGGCTCAGAAACTAAGGCATGTTTTAAGATCCAAAGGCTGTAATAAGAAAAAATAAAAATTGAATGTTATAAACTTTGCCTTTCATTTTCACTGTTATATTTTATATACATTTTATTGTCAAGGACTTCCTAAACGCAGCAGGAAAGTATTCGTCATCTACATCAAACCAGAGTAAGTTGAAAATCTGTCTCCATTTTATTTTTCCTAATATAGTATATTTTATTTCTCAGAAAATTATGTTTATCTTTTATTTTCAGATCATAAACAAGGCAGTGCTTCCAAGGTTTCCAGACATTCTGGAAATAGTGTCAGACTCGGGTCTGTAAATATTAAAGTAGTTCTCGGTGCTCTAAACAAGGAAAGCGTGAGTATTTTAATGACGTTGAATTTCACATTGAACTTGCTTGCTTTTATAAACATGTATGAGCTGAACAGCGTAAATTTTAGCACAGATTTAAGAAAATCAAATGTCATCTTCAAACTGTTTTGAGAACATGTGCACTCATGGCCAGAAAATTATTTGGATGCGACATTACTAGTAGTTAAGGAGCCTAATTAAAAATTAAAAATTAAATGGCATCTTCAAACTTTTTTGAGGACATGTACACTCATGTCCAAAATATTATTTGGATGCGACATTGATTTAAGAGCCTAAAAGCAAAGATAAATATATGTACATATACATATTATATAGCTCATTACTATGTGTTGTAGAAGTGAGATTTACCAAGGTAATTAAATAAATGTGCATTATTTTAGGCTGATGTCTTGGCTCATTGTGCTCCAAAAGACTTGAACCTCAGCACCGGTGCTCTTTCACGGGTTTTACTGAATGATGCAGGGCCTGGACTGCAGACAGAACTCAACAACGTAGCGTCAAAAGGAATAAATTTTGGTGGATTAGTCATTACTAATGGATACAATCTGTCATGCAAATATGTCTTCCATGGCACTTTGCCAAAATGGGGAACACCCTCGCCTGATCCTTCTGGAGTTTGTTCATACTCTGATATTACATTCTTCTGTTCATTTGTTTCTCGAAAAATAGAATTCGAATGCTGAGCACGTGGTGCCAACATGCCTTTTTTAATTTTATTTCATAATTGGCTAACACAACAATGATATCTTTTCTAGTGTTTGGAACAGTTTGTAACCGGCTGTCTGGAAACGGCGAACTTTAACTCGATAAGATCGATAGCATTTCCAACGCTTGGTATTGGGGCTTTGGGATATCCTACAAAAAATGCGATTAAAGTTATGGTACAGAGTATCCAGAAGTTCAGCCGTAATCATCCACAATCTAGTCTTACAGACGTCAGCATTGTGATTTTTAAAGGAAGCCAAGATTCTTCATTAGTCCAATCTGTATGTAGAAATTTTTATCTTTTTTTAAAATAAATTTTGAATAAATTGCTGAAGTTATCCCTGTTGTATTCTAGCAATTCTAATACTTTTTTTTTAATTTAAAAAAGGGGGTTTAATTTTCTATTTAATTTATGACTTCTTATAGGAGCTTTTAAATGAACTTGGAATTGGTCAAAGTGCTTCAGGTATGTTCGTCTAGAATCCTAAACATTCATTTTTTGGTCTTTTATGCTTTATTAATACATACTAGCGTATATTTCTTTATTCCCACAGGTTCGACTTCCCAAGCAACATCAGCAGCTTCGTCCACTGGAATGTCGCGTACAAAATTTAGCAAAAATATTGGCAAAATTTCTGTGAATGTTATAGTAGGAAGTTTGCCAGATCAAAATGTAAGCCTTTTTAATCTGTTGCTATAAATATAGTATGACTGTAATTTCTAAATATATCAGAATTTGTGTAATGTAAAATCTAGGAAATTATCCATTTCTATACAAGAGCATACACTGTAAAACTATGAAGAACATAGATAGTTTCCCTGCAGTAATATTAGAGAACTCAGAAATTCATTTCATGTGGAATAAATAAAAATGTGGCTTAAATACACGAAGTACTATGTTCTAACTGCAAGACTTACATTACCAGGTTAGTGCTGTTGTCAATGCCATCGGACAAGATCTCAACATGAACTCTGCGTCTTCCTCTGCTCTGGTCTCTGCTGCTGGACCAAACCTCGTACAAGAGCTTCATCAAAAATGTCCTAAAAATAACATTGCTTTCGGTTTTATTGCTGTTACCAAGGGTTACAATTTGAAATGTTCCGAAGTTTTTCATGGCGCCTTGTTGTCGTGGTATGCTAAAGCTACTGGCAATACAACCCAACCAGATATTGTAAGTGTTAATTTCTAATGGTACGTTTTTGAAAATTGAATATTCAAGGTTTTGAATGGAACTGAACTAAATTTGACACTTTCAGATATTGGAGGAATTTGTTTATAATTGTCTAAAAACGGCCAATTCCCATGGACACAAGTCCATAGCGTTTCCAGCACTCGGTACAGGACAGCTGAAGTTCCCGTTGGACGTAGCAGCTGCTTGCACTGTGGCGGCAATTCGAAAGTTTTCAGCCAAATATAGCATTTCTGAAGTACGAATCGTATTGTACGGTGGTAGTCCAGACTTGAAACAATTAGAGAAGGTGGGTTAGATTACAGTTTCCTAATCTAATACGTTACTGTATATACTCATTTGAATTACGTATATGAATGTTAAAAAGCTCTTAGGCTTATATGTGAGGTCACATCTTCTCAATATAACCATCTTTGCAGGCATATAAAGATGAATTGTCTAGTCCTGGGAAAAAAGGTAGATTTAAATAAAAAGAATGATTCTCTTAAAATCATTTTCTGGATTAAAAGAATTTCGACAAAATAGTTCAAATTGTTAGCATTCCGTTCATACTTCAAATAAAGGAGTATTACGTTTACTTAACTTTATTTCCCTTTAGTGAGTGCTGTCGGTCACCCAGTACCGAGCGGACAGTCTTCTCAATACCATGAGCCACCGCGTGGAACAAAAGCCTGGTTAGCTTGGAAGTACAGGGAAGACATGAGGACACCAAAATACTGGACGAAATACACAAACACAAAAAAATTGAAAGACTGGAATTTGGATGTTAGAACAAATGTCCACTCTTTAGAAACCGTAGACCAACTGACTTTCAATTCAATAGGCGCTACTCTAAAAAGCACACTAGGTACTGTAAGAATAGTAAGCATAAAGCGAATAGAGAACGTGAGTCTCTATCAAAAATATGGCGACGAATGCCAAAGATTATTTCGCAAAGCAAGTGTTGAAGGTAACTTTGTTCCCCTCGAAAAAATGAAGAACTCGACAGGCTCTGTAAAAGTAATGAAGACTTTAGACCCTTCTTTAACTCGACATACATACCCAGAAATTAATGATTATTACTTTTTCCACGCAACAAAGGCCCAGCTTGTAGATGTGATATGTTCACAAGGCTTAGACAGTAGACTGGCAAATAATGGACTGCTTGGTAGTGGTGTTTATGGAGCAGAGGTGGCAGTAAAGTCCCATGCATATTCAGGTAGTATAGATAATTTCTCTCCCATTTCAGTTTTTAAAAATATTGAAAATTATTGAAATTTATGTATTAAACTACATGATAAGCATATACATGATTAGAAGGTTATAGACGTTTACGTGCTGTGCTCAATTAAATTCTGCCATGTAAAGAATAATCTATTTATATATTAGGACCAAACCAGAAGGGAGAACGCCCCATGTTTCTTATCAGAATGTGTCTTGGGGATGTGTACATGACTGGGTCAGTAGGACAATTCAGAAGACCCCCATGTAAAATATGTCTCTCGAATATTTGCACAACTCATCAAGAAACATATGACAGTGTAGTGGCTAACTTCCCACAACGAGAATTTGTTGTTTATGACAGGAATCAGTCATATCCTGAATACATCATTTGGTATAGATAGTCTACATGTGGATATTGAAGGTCCTATGTGCGGAAACTGTCTTGCTTTGCAGAGAAATGAAAACGTAAAACTTCTTTATTTTTTGAGTTTGTTTGGATTGGTTTATTGTGTTTTTTGTTCAAATATCTACCTAATTTGCATTGAAATATATTGTACATTATTTGCATCCAAGAGCAGTAGGGAGTATTTTTTTTTAACGTTCTTCTTGAAGGGATGGAAAATCTCGAGTTTTGTCGCTCTTTTGGTGTTTTTTTACACGCTGTGGAAAATATCACTTTTTTCCATTTATAAATTACAGTATTTTACTGTTGAAAATGTAAGAAATATTATTATTATTCTATTTAAAAATGTGTTGATATATGTTGGTGTTCCTGTGACAGTTTCAGACGATCTGCTCTTTTGCATCGCCTTCCTGCTAGCAAATGTATTGGTTAACAACTGTGTACGTAAAGGATGTATAACAATTCATACTTATGTTACGTTGTAAATAAATACACCGTCTAACAATTCAGATTTATTTTTTAATTGTCCTAAAAATGCCCTAAATATCATATCATGTTACACGCATTACCATCCTTTATATATGACATACAGCGCTATGACAAAAGTATTCGCGATTTTTCAAAATGGCGGACGTAAAAACGACGCGCTTCGTAAAAATAAACAATAAATTGTGAAACAATTAACGGAGTTACCTTTATTAATACTTGGTGAGCTGGCCCTTAGACTTGATTACAGCTAATAGTCGACGGGGAATGGATTCGTTCAGGGATTTCAATTTTGATATAGTTTTCATGGAAGGAATTCCAGATGTGTAAAATAGCGAATACTTTTGTCATAGCGCATTGTATGTTATGAAATACTACTACCAGCCTAAATGAAATAATTATTGCATGCAAGCCGTATGTAAATATCAACGGTGTCACTTTTCATTCGAATTGTTTTTACTGATTTTAGTGAAAATAAAAAAAAGGTATATCGCCAAACCCCATAACTCCGTCACTACCCTAACCGTGTCACTTTCGGGAAACTTCTCGCTGTTTGTAAACGAATGTGATTGTGACGTCATTTTTAACATGCTATAAATCTACAATCAATTGCCGAGAAATTTTGACAGTCAAATTCAAGGATGCGTCAAAAATAAATAACAATTATACGTGATCTATTGTATCTATCATATTTTATGTGAAATCAGTAAGCACTTTTTTCCTTAATGCGCTATTCCATCGATACGTCCGACATGTGCGTCAATATGCTCATTTTTACATGTCAGTCGTATTTATGAAGGTCTTTGACAAAGGATTAATAAGACATACTATATCAAATATGGCTAAAAATATTTTTATTTTTCGTCTCTTTATGCCCTAATACGCTACACATTGGAGATAACGTAGCGTGACGTTATTACATATAAAATAACGTTATATTAACGTTATTTTTTCTGTTGTTAATATTTTTCCTAAAATACAAGTTCATACTATTTTAAATCTTCAAAACTAATTTTCTATGTTTACAAGTTTAAGATGAAGGGAGAAAACACCAAACTGAAAAAAAAAAATTACAATCAATTTGACATATTGTAGAGGGCCCTGGTGACGGAGTTAGGGTTCATAGAACGTAATGTACACGGATGTGACACGCGTTCTATTTATAGTAGTTTTGTATAAGCACAGTAAATGATTTTTTTTTTTTAAATAGTTCTGAAAACAATGTTCAAGTTCATTACTAAGTGTAGCAAACAAGAAACAAATCCAAAAAATAATGGAGAGAGTAACCAGGCGTGTTTTCCGCTTATGGTGACGGAGTTTGGGTAGTAGGGGATAGATAACGAATAGTGATCAATTTCATAAATTTTGTAAATACATCGCATTTGAATCGTGAACAGGGCAAAAAAATCTGGAAATACCAGAAGTGGGATCAGATTTAAAGGAGGAAGAAGCTTCTCCTGTCGACTGGTCGTAGGTCCTCTGTAATTTTCAGTAAACGGAATAATCCGTAGTCTAAATAAGTGTAAGGTAAAACAACCATCTGATAAGAGAGATAATTTCCTAAGGAAATAAATCCAAGATGTCCGGTGATTTGACTCGCAAGATTTTAATAATGAGAAAAATTTTATAATATTTAAATTTGCTGTGCTTTCTACTAGACCAACTGTGAAATTGATCTGAATGCAATTTTCGTGTATACTCACGCGTAGAAATATGCACGGAAAAACTCGCGCTAAAGTGACGTCACAATGAGCTACAGAGACATTAATAAAAATGTAACGATATGGTAGCTAAACACAGTTTCGTATTCGAATAGCTTGATTTGAGTAGCAGGTAAAGTAGCTCTTTGAAAAGCTGGAAAATGTACCCTAAAAGTACAACAAAAAGAAACCTAAGGACTTGTTCTGTGAAATGCATAGCACTTATATTTTCTGATTTCTGCGCTGTTTGTGATCAAGGGAGCTAAAAATGCATAGGTGTACTACAATTAGACGCATAAACTTCCCTACTTCCCCCATGTTTCATGTGTCAAATACACCTTATTAGTAAGTGATAAATGCTATATATTTATAAAATTCACCATTTTATCTTTCTATTGATATATAGATGTCTATGTAACAAGTCTTCATATTATTTCTTTATGGGGGTCACTTTAGCATGTCCCTCATTTAGTAACGCCATGATAACGTCATGCATAAAACTGTGTTTTGCACCCTATAGGGCAGCAAATAATTCAAACATAGAGTATATTTTTGGTGCTTTTAACATGTAAAATGTAAATATAAGGAATGTTTCTAAGCTTAGTGTGAATTATCGGTGTGTAAATCACACAGACTAGCACGTAGGCATATTTTTCATGAAGCGCTAGCGAGCTTCATGAAATATACCTACGTGACAAGTCTGTGTGATTTACACACCAATAACTCACACAAAACTTTAAAAAAAATCCTTAAACATTTACATTTGGTGTGTTTTCTACTAAGCCAACTGTGAAATTGATTTGAAAGCCAATTTTGTGTATACTCACGCGTAGAAATATACACCGAGAAACTCGCGCTAAGTGGCGTCACAATGAGGCTACAGAGACGTTAATAAAAATATGACGATATAGGGCAGGGGGAAATTCAAACATTTAGTATATTTTTGGTGCAAATAAACCATGTAAAATGTAAACCTACAAGGAATGTTTTAACGTTTAGCGCTAGCGCGCTTAATGAAATATGCCTACGTGACAAGTCTGTGTGATTTACACACCAATAACTCACACAAAACTTAAAAACATACCATAAGTCAATCCATTAGGGCCCCGCTCTGCGGGCGTCCTATAGTGATGAGTCTGTCCGTCCGTCCGTCCGTCCGTCTGTAAACTTTTCACATTTTCAACTTCTTCTCAAGAACCACTGGGCCAATTTTAACCAAACTTGGTAGAAAGTATCCTTGGGTAAAGGGGAGTTTAAATTGCTAAAATAAAGGGCCAAGTCCCCTTACAAGGGGAGATAATCAAGAAAAGACAAAAATAGGGTGGGGTCATTAAAAAATCTTCTTCTCAGGAACCACTGGGACAAAAAAGCTTAAACTTTTGTTGAAGCATCCTGGGGTAGTGTAGATTTTAAATTGTAAAAATCATGACCCCCAGGGGTAGGGCGGGGCCACAATAGGGAATCCAAGTTTTACATTGAAATATATAGGGAAAATCTTTAAAAATCTTCTTCTCAAGAACCACTGGGCCAGGAAAGCTGCAACTTAAGTGGAAGCATCCTGGGGTAGTGTAGATTCTAAATTGTTCAAATCATGACCCCCGGGGGTAGGGCGGGGCCACAATAGGGAATCCAAGTTTTACATTGAAATATATAGGGAAAATCTTTTTAAAAAATCTTCTTCTCAAGAACCACTGGACCAGAATAGCTGAAACTTATGTGGAAGCATCCTGGGGTAGTGTAGATTCTAAATTGTTCAAATCATAAACCCCGGGGGTAGGGCGGGGCCACAATAGGGAATCCAAGTTTTACATTGAAATATATAAGAAAAATCTATAAAAATCTTCTTCTCAAGAACCACTGGACCAGAATAGCTGATACTTATATGGAAGCATCCTGGGGTAGTGTAGATTTTAAATTGTAAAAATCATGACCCCCAGGGGAGGGCGGGGCCACAATAGGGAATCCAAGTTTTACATTGAAATATATAGGGAAAATCTTTAAAAATCTTCTTCTCAAGAACCACTGGGCCAGGAAAGCTGAAACTTATGTGGAAGCATCCTGGGGGAGTGTAGATTCTAAATTGTTCAAATCATGACCCCCGGGGGTAGGGCGGGGCCACAATAGGGAAGCCAAGTTTTACATTGAAATATATAAGAAAAATCTATAAAAATCTTCTCAAGAACCACTGGACCAGAATAGCTGATACTTATATGGAAGCATCCTGGGGTAGTGTAGATTTTAAATTGTAAAAATCATGACCCCCAGGGGTAGGGCGGGGCCACAATAGGGAATCCAAGTTTTACATTGAAATATATAGGGAAAATCTTTAAAAATCTTCTTCTCAAGGACCACTGGGCCAGGAAAGCTGAAACTTATGTGGAAGCATCCTGGGGTAGTGTAGATTCTAAATTGTTCAAATCATGACCCCCGGGGGTAGGGCGGGGCCACAATAGGTATTACAAGGGGAAATCTGGTAAAGAACAGCATGGCCAAAGTTACTCAGGTGAGCGATGTGGCCCATGGGCCTCTTGTTGATACAGGGTATGGAGCACTCGTGATTTTTGTGCCATTTTTTATTATAACAAGGATGACAAAGAAGCCCTTTAGACTCAAACAACACATCCCTTAATAGTACATAAATGTTCCTCTTCAAAATAAACCCTTTTCAGCTACCTTACATTTTCATGTTCGTTGCTGAAAGCGGGGCCCTTTGAGATGGACACCATCTCAATGATATCTCATTCAAATCTAGTTTATGTTACAAATATTGACTTCTATTTTCTTTTCCAATATTTTTGATCATTACTTATAGTATTTGACTTAAAACATTTGCACTTAGTTATTTTAAACTGTTAAAATTGAGATATTTCTATCTCTTAATAAACATTTTTTTTAGAATGCCACTGATAGTAATTTATCAAGTGCTAGATGTAGAATTTTCATTATTGGTACATTTTTACCCTTAAAAATATTTTGAAGAAAGATAACTCTTGAGTTAAGTTAGTTTGTTGTTACCCATGATCCTAGATTTATATAAATTCCGGTTTATAAGAATAAAAAATAAAAGTTGTGGTTTAAACCAACATTCTCAAAGATTCTATATTATAAACTAATGGTCTCACATTTAGCCAACTGAAGTTCCATTTGGACGTAGCTGCGCTGTGGTTGCAGTTATATAAGTTAGTATGTCGTTGCCCATGACCTAAACGTGTGTCATTACCTCGACTCAAGGTCATATTGCAATTTAAGGTTAAGTTAATGGATAATATCGGGCCATAAACTAAGGATGCTTGGAATTAATTCAAATTTACGTTTTGCTAATGATCTCATGATGTGGAGGGGCATCCAGATATCATTGTATTTATAAAGTAGCATATTATTTCTTTTAGCCAAACAGAAGCTGCAACAACCATTGACATTGTGAACTTTTGATTCCTCCACAATATTTAAAGGAGCATTCAAATTTATTTGCAGCTATTAATAGATGTATAATGATAAATTACTAGTACATATGTGTTACCAGCAATTCATGTCAGAAAAATGGGGAATGGAAACATTTTGTGTGATCAATATAAAAACCTTTAATTCAGCATGTTTTAATGGGCTTAAAAATGACCCAAAAAAATTTAAAACAACTTTATAAAATCTGATTTATTATGAACAAGCATCTATTTATAGTATTCTATTATAAATCTGCACATTAAGTTTACACAAGATGACCCAAGCAAACTTTACTCTTATACAAAGAAATTTCAAAAAGTAATCTGATATAAATCTTTTTCATTATCAGTTTAAATGGTAAATTTTAAAAATCATCATTAGAAAAAAAATCTTCTAAATTTATAGATAAACATTACATTGTTCTCACTAACATTTTTTTTTTGCTCAGTGAAAAAATTAATTAATAACTAACTGCCATGCTCATAAAGAGTGAGTTCATACAAGTATATTATAATTAAACATGAAATGCAGTTATGGAATGGTATCACTATTATTCCTCCTCCTAGATATGATGATATTAGATGCAGCAAATGAAGAACATGTCTGACGACCCTCCTTTCACATTCCAACTTGGTCAAATCTGAAAAACAAAACCCATGAGGTTTTACTATTATAATATCCAGCTTACTTCTAACTATTAAAAGTACCAGTACATGTATTATTGACTACTTTATATGTGTTTTTTTTTAAACAATGATTTAATCTGACATTTTACGTTAGCTCTTGTTTGAGGATGCCTGATTATCCCTCACCTTCACTTTTTAATACCTACCATTTCAATGATGATGCCAACTACACTGTTCCCAAAAACTTGACCTCCTTTCCTGTTTTCTTAAGCTGCTCCAACAACTCATCAGAAGACAGTGATGATGTCACTTTGACCTTCTTAGTCTCAACATTGGTTTCCACATTAGTTACACTTACTGAAGAAATATTTAATTATTTTTTTATAACCAAAAAACCAATTAAAACATTATTGCAGGGGTTTAATGCCAGAGAGGGAGGGGTGGGGTGGGGGAATAAAATTTAGGACAAAAATGGAGAATCCAATAAATTATTCTATTGTTATAAGTTTCCTTTATTATGATATAGGAAATATATACTTGTTTGCAATAATCATATCTTTACAATGTAAATGAAAAATTAGGTCAACAGAATAATAGACTTCCCTTGTTATTTTGATCACCAGTTGAAATGATGATTAACATACAATTTACATTGTATATTAAGGAAGAGGCTACAATTGAATTTAAACACTGAGATTTTTCTTTAAACAATTCTTTCTTTTGCAAACGAATTTATAAATGATCACAAATGTTGTTTATTTCAACCAAAATATGAGTTTGATTAAAGCACTGTTGATGCATTTAAATAAATTTATTTAAATGCAATGCTTTATAAATTGTATCAAATTTCAAATTTATACAGGTATCTGTCTGACAAATCAGGAGTTCATGACATACTTTCAGTGTACACTGATTTTACCTGGTGAATGTCTTTACAATGTTTTGGCAGGATGAGTTACCTTTTACTAAAATGAATTAACATACCTTAGTGGTGCCGGATTTTTTTTTTTTTTACTTTGTTTACATTAATTCAGTATTTTAGCTTTTAAAAATGTAGCGGTGAACAGGTATATACCTGTTTTTTAAAGACATCAAGCTGTCTATATAATCATACTTAAGTCAGTACTTGTGTCAGTACTGTACTAGAACTGTATTACACTGGATGGATCAAACATTCTTGAAGTAGGAGTTAGCTGATGATTCAATATTGAAGTTTATAAAAAACAAAAACAAAAAACCAAAAAAAAAAAACTTCAAGAAAATAATATCAGAATAATCTTATATCATTGTATATAATTATATAATCTTATTTATGTAGATTTCACGTCTCACGTAATTAAAATCTAAACTTGATGAGTAGGCCTACTTACCACCTAGCTTTCCCAACACTCTTTTAGCGGCCCCAGCACACCCTTCGCAAGTCATCGCCATCTCAAACTCGTATGTCTGAAATATATCGATTCCATGTATTAATATACTGATTTACTCAATGATCAAAGCAAATTTAAACAATAATTTAAAACAGGTAATCTCACACACCTGTGACATCTTCCTTGTTAACGTGTCGGCAGCTGTCAAAGATGTGTATCTCAAGAACGGTAACTCTTGATTTACATCTATTGGTTTATTAAAGTTTATTAAAAATCAAAAAGTTTTTAAAAAATTATTCATAAATTATAATTAAACTATTTAACATAATATTCAGTTATATAGGAGCATTTCATTTCCATCATTTTTACCGTAATATATTTTTCCTTTTTTTATTTTCCGTTTTAAACCGAATATTTTATTTAAACATTTCAGCAATTTTTATTTACTTTCACTTTGTCTGAAGTCACGAGTTTTGGTTTCCGCAATTCATTTTCATTGTTCATCATCAAAGAGAAAGGAATAACAATGTGGTTGTCAGTTGTGTTTACCATTTCTATTATATTTTGTTTTGGAACTTGTCAATTTCCACCGGTAGATAATTACTTTTTCTTCCAGAAACATGAAATAGTTGAAATTAACATCTATCACAATTATTTTGAAATATATTTTTTTCCCCGACTTTTTTAAAATATATTCTCTTTTTCAGTTTAATGAAACGTGTATTTTCAATGCATATCCTCCAAATAAGACGTAAGTTTATATATAGATTACTTTTCTATAAGTATTTTATGGCTATATAGTTACCTGGTTACATGAAATACAGTACATGTAACTGAGGCTGGTAGTGTGACAATGTATCAGACACTTGATGAATGCATAATCAGTTATGTTTTAATAAATTTCATTTCATTGCAATTATTTCTGATAGTCCTTCATAAAAGGTGACACTTTTCCCCAAACATTATATATACTGTACATTTGATCATCTAACTGCAAATTTTACTATTGTTCATTCAATAGCAATTTTTTAACTCCATAAGTAATGTTAACTTTTGATTTATATTTGTTTTCTTTAATCTATCTGTTTTCCTTTTCAGGAACTGTCAATTTTATCTACAGTAAATAGTGCGAGATAAACTTGCATTGTTTAAACATTGATCTTGTCTCTATTTATATAGCCACTTCAAAATCAAACTTATCAGATTTCAATATCAACAGAGTAATCTTGATACTAAAGATTATGATAACCTATTTTACATTATAGTATTTATTCATATAACTGTCATTTGTTTTTTGATTTGATATAACCACAAAAAGTGGGCTTCTGTTATCTTTATTATTTTCATGTAAGATTGTTTATAATCATGAAGAATTATTGCATTCTTAATGCATGGATTCTAAGAATTTAGAAGCAAAAGGTGATGAGAAATGATTTTGGATGAAGATACAAACACTAAAGAAAAAAGTATTTTACATTGTATTTGTTTCTGAATATAAGTTCAGTAAACCTGGATTTAAAAATCTCTTGAGATAAGTAAGTTACTATGAGCTGTATACTAAGTGGACCTTCATTGGTAATTATACATGTACCCCCACTCCGAAGGAGAGGGGGATATACTGTTTTACCCTTGTATGTCTGTCTATGTGTGTAGCTGTCTGTCTGTCCATAACAAATTTTTCGTCGCAGTTTTCTCAGCAGCATCTCATTGTAGATGCGTGAAATTATAGCACACTCTTTGTTTAGGCATGCCATATGGTGAGATTCATTTTTGTATGAATCCGATGTCAACTTCCTGTTTATCTGTGCGTCTGTCCGTACCATGCATAATAAATTTTCATGGCAGTTTTCTCAACTACTCATTGCAGATGCATTAAATTTTATTCACACTCTTTGTTGAGGCATATGCCATATGATGGGATTCATTTTTGTATGAATCTGATGTCAACTTCCTGTTCATCCCTGTGTCTGTCCACAACTGAACTTGTGTAATTCACATCAGAGTGTATATTCACATGAGAGCGGGGTTATTACTAGTGAGCATTGGCACACAGACTTCTTGTTCTATCATTTATTGATAGTACGTAATTTTTGTTCTTTAAGACAAGTGTCACTTTTTGCTAAATTAAAAATTAAATTGAAAATATTCGAATAATAGAACAGATTTATTTACTAGCACTGGAAGTAACCCTAATTTATTAATGCTAAATTTAGAAAGTATTATTTTCACTCTAACAAATTTTCCTATGCAGACCTAAAATATTTACATTTATCATGCATGTTCAGGCAGTCTTTGGTGTATAGAAAATGCTATGTGTAATATGTGTATATATATTTCATTTATTTTTGTTAAAAGTGACAAATAGGTTGGATAGGCCTGGTGTTTGAGTATTTAATTTGTATTAAAAGTTTCTCATTGTATTGTTTAACATATATCATGATAATAAATAATTAAGATATTATTTATTACTTTTAAATTAATGTGTGAAATATATTTATGAGTGTTCATCTTATAGTCATGCAGTTCCATGGTATACCATAAACTTAGACTTACCAGCAAAGCAAAGATGGACTCAAGTTGGTCAAGATAAAAAAGTAGAGGTAGGAAACTTACACAGCAGTACATGTATCAAATCCTAAGTCATCAGTGACAGTTTCTTGTGGGGGGGGGGGGGGGGTATGTGTAATAGAAGGGAAGTTTTAAATAAAATCTTTAATTAAAAAGTGTTTTTAATATATACAACATAAAATCTACATGTGTCTATATCATATGCTACATGCTCAACTTGGTGTTAGTATAGCCTCATATACCAGTCAGTCCAAAAGTCCAGATGGTATCTGCCTATCTGGCATAAATAATTATTAAAAATGATGGTGGCCTGAAAAATTGCATGTCTCTAAATTTGAATTTTGAATTTCGGCTGTAAATTATTATATACTAGTACTGTCATTAGTAAAGTAATTTTTATATGTACACATACTACTATTGATTTGCCGAGCATTTATATAAGGCCAAATAAAAAAATATGTGTGGTTCCAGTTACCCGACCGTCCCTATTTTATACCCCGACCCTAAACTTTTTTTTGACAATTTTCAAATATCTGGAATTTTCCCCGATTTCCTTCATTGGCTCTGGTATTAGTTTTAGTTTCAGCAATGGTGGCCCTCTTTGACAACATCGTTTCAACACGCAGTACAAGTGTTTTGTCAGTTACAAATATCACCACTTGAAAGAAAGCAATAGTATTATCTCTCCAATATCACCAATAGTGAATTCAAGAACATTCAATGAGGTTTATTATACTTAAAAAAAAAAAAAAAAAAAAAAAAAAAAAAAATACAAACCTACCTACCTACCCTAATTTGTTTGGAGATGTAACCAGAACCACACATATTTTTTTATTTGGCCTAATGAAAATGCAAAATTTAGAATTTTAAAGATGTGTGCAGTGGATTTGTTCAATACCTCTTGGCCATTCATGGCCACTTTCACTTCCTTCAACTTTGAAAGGTATAGTGATGTATGTGTTGTATTCATTGCTTTTGATTTTAGATTAAGAAGCTAGTGGACACTTTTGTTGACTTTGCAAAAGCATGGAGTGAGAATGCAACTGGAAAAGTCATAAACTTCCTGATCAATGAAGGGGTGAGTTTTAGTGATTTTTGGTTTTCAAAGATGATACTGCTTCAGCAGACATATTTGTTACACAGGATTTTTTTTTTAAATTCTGAAATTTTGCGTTGTCAGACAGGATTTTTTTTTAAAATACTGAAATTTTCCATAGGGTAAATTAGATGAGACACTTCCACAACCTTATGCTGATGAAATGAGAAGTTTGGCTGATGCAACAGGGATACCCTTAGGTTTGTATCCATAAATATCAGAATTCCACAATATTGTGCACGTGCATGCTCTAAAATGAGTACATGTATATGTGTAATTATATTGATTTCATTTTATTTTTTAGGAGAAATTGTGCTGTATAACATATTTTATGAATTGTTTTCTGTGTGTACATCCATTGTGGCAGAGGACCCATCTGGTTGGTTATTTTCTGATCTATTAATTACTGATTTCTATGATGATATTTTTGATTATAATGAACCGTTTATATAAATATACTGTGAAAAGAACAGGGAAAGACAACTCTTTCAAACAATCAGAAAAGTGCATGATACATTGTAAATATACTAGCACTTAAATTCTTTTTCATGAGCCACTTAAATGTAGAGTATTCTACTTTTTTCCTATTACTAAATTTTTGACAGAGATGAAATGGCTGTTTTACATTTTGTTAAAGCTGCGCAATACTGTAGTGCACTTACAAAATAAACAAAAAAAAAGACTGAAAAACAATTGAATACTGACTGTGACAGATTTTTTTTTAAAAATTCACTTTCATTTTTAGGTAAACTATTCCATGCGAGAAATCTTGACTTTGGGCTGTTCTTAGGGTAAGGAAAGGAATATAAGATATACTTTATACCTTGCAGTTTTATTCATATTTAGAAGTGTTATATACTGAACAGAAAATTAATCTATGTTATTTAGTGTTAATCATCAATAAATTCAATGTTCATATATGATAAAGCATTGGACTTGCTGTGCACAAGTTTGCATGTGAGTTAGGTCCCTTAGCTTGCCACAAGGCTATGAAAACCTCTTTTTACAAATTATAACTTTAAAAGTAGATAATCATTTAATTCAAGTGAGTATTTAGTATTATGTGAGGTTGAAAAGAGAAACAGGATAACTATGTATAGCCACTCAAACATTTCAGTTGTACAATTTCTGAGGGACAAGAATACAAGGGGGAAACTTATTTTTGATACAAAATATCAAGCAAGATGATAGCACATCATGAACATTTAGGGCTGCAGAGAAAGTTAGCTTTTAAAAAGTTGCCAGAATTTATCTTGTAGATCTCTGTTGTAGTTGGGATACCAAAACAAAAACTTGGGAGATAACAGATGCCCTGCGTCCTACAATCATCAATTTGGACTTCCAGAGAGGAGGGAAAACTGTGTTCAAGTCTGTTAACTTTGCAGGATACATTGGAATCTTAACAGCTATTAAGCCAGTCAGTATTTAATGCAGATCAAAGGTTATTCCAGCATATCTGTAGCTATTTCATCCTTCGAATTTGTGATGGACCTATACATTTAGATTTGAGTGCAGCAGATTTGCAACTAATCATATATATATGTTTCTCATATTTTCAAATTTTTACTGTACATGTATTAAGATATGTCATATAAGATTCAGTTGTTTCCCTTATAATCATATATAAATGCAATTCAGTAGTGTATTTCTTACCTAAGCATGGCCGTAGGAATGAAGTGTTCCACCTTCATGTCACACCTAAAATTATCAGTAGTTTCTCAACAACATTACAGAACTGTTTCCTTAACTCAGAGAAAATGAACTTTATTAAAAAATCTTTGACAGGACATTTTTGTTATGTAGACGTACAGAATATGGGGTCCTTGAAAAAATGAAAAATATGCATTTTTTCAAAGACCACATATATTTCCGTATTACCCCTCGAAGTGTCTACATAACTAATATTATTCCTCTCCATCCTCCGTTTTCCTCACCCTCAAATCTGAACTTTGTCACTGCCATCTGAAATAGCCTTCTAAGTTCTTTCTCTCAATTCATATCTGCTCAGTACTTTATTCAGTATTTGTGTAAGAGAAAGACATACATGTATTGATATAAGAGTTCTTTTTGTGTTATTTCAGGGAATTTTCACATTAACTATGAATGAGAGATTCAGTTTAGATGGTGGATATATTGGTATGATTATCATGCATTTTGCAAGATATTTGAATTATTTAAATAATTATTTTATTTATCAAATAATTCCATTATTTATCAATAGTAGTGCAGTTTGATGGTGATGCAGTGAACTACATGTACTACAATACCTGACCATTGAATAAATCTTTAAAAAAAAAGTGTAAAAAGAAAAAAAAAGAAAACAAGGTCCTGTAGACAAGGTTTAATCAAATCATAAGGCTTAAGTTTCTCATACACTTCATTATTTACCTGTAGGAATCATTGAATGGATTCTTGGACTCAGGACAGGGAAATGGATGGGTTTTTTGACCAGGGAGACAATGCTGAATGCTGGTTCTTATCAGGAGGCTGTAGGCATGCTGTCCAAAACAGAAATGCTGGCTCCAGCATACTTCATTGTGGGAGGCAATAAGTCAGGGGAGGTTTGTAAGTTTTTGCATTCAACAAACAGTATTTATATGTATAATCTGGAGAGAAGAAAAAAAAAAGATATGATTGGTTTCAAATCTATGAAATTTATTTTTCACCAAATATAACACACTAAACCATAATTTGTTTTTAATTGATGCCTTGGAATTCAAATGTTATTAAATTATTTTTACCATTTAAGCACTTGGTGCTTTGATTCACAAAAATATGTTAATGTTAACTTGTGAAATTATTACTCTGCAGTTTTAAATTAATTATGCTGTTTCTTAAGAAATCACCCCCCCCCCAATAAAAAAAAGAGACTTATCAGGGTTAATTGTCCCTAAGAATTGAAATAGCAGCAGACATTAAATAAAGTAGAGTCTGGGGTCCCTCTCCTTACAGGGGGTTGAGGGGGAATACCAGAATAACCACGAGATTATGTTATAGGCGGGGAAATTCCCCAGCCCCCGGGTCTTCGGGACAACCCTGCTTATAAAATATAAAAAAAAGATTGATTATAAAATGAGAATGAAGTGATGCATCACATACACCCTCACCCCCCCCCCCCCCCAAAAAAAAAAAAATTAATACTTGTTTATAATCGCTAACAAACATGATGAATATCTCTTAGGGCTGTGTGATCACAAGATCTCGTGAGGCAGCCATTGATGTATGGGAGATGAGGAAAGCCAACAGTTGGTACATTCTGGAGACTAATTATGACCACTGGGAAAACCCCCTCTTCTTAGATGACCGCCGGACTCCGGCCCACAGGTGTATGCAGAAAACTACCTCACAGGTTTGTTTTGATACTGTCTAAAAAAGTAAACATAAAAGATAAACAAATACTAGATCTGAACCTTGGGATGGATTAATTGAATAATGTGTGTTAGATTTACAAATACATATTATGAGGTTGTCAATTTTGAATTCTCCTAATTAGCAAAGTATTTCATTGATTTGATATTTGTCTTTCTAAACTTCCAATAAAAACAGATCAAATTTGTCAGTTATTGATTTTCAATTCACATATAAGATTAAAAACAGAGCTAATTAAAGTTTGATTTGTTCATTTCAGAATGTGTCAATTAAAGGATTGTTCAATGTTTTGTCTTCAAAACCTGTTTTGAATAAGGTACATGCATACTTCCAATATCTCTGTGATAAATTGATTGTTATATCAAAAGTGAGAAACAGAAATTGATATTAAAGAATGTGACCCACTGAATTACAAATTTGCCTTCTGTGTAATTTTTACAGTTGACTACCTACTCTGCCCTGATGCAGGTCAATTCTGGCCATTTGGAGAGCTGGCTTCAGTACTGTCCAGACCCTTGTCAGCCATTTTAGTCACAGGCTTCAAGCAGTCGACAAAACATTCCATAGCTATATGACTGTGATAATAATAATACTCAAAATGCAATACTTATATGTTAATTTGTGCTCTTCAAATCATAAGCTCAATTTGTTTGAAATCTTCATAGTTTTTATTTTGCAATGTTGCTAAGGTTTTATAATAAGTTAAACAAGACATCTTATTGTGTACATTTTTTTGTAAATGCTACAATGTTTTGTGATATAGATATAGTTACAGCCATTGTTAATTTTTAGTTGCTGCAGAATTAAACAGTTTAATGAAATGAAAAACACAATTCGGGAAATTTTTCTAAGATCTAAGCTCTGATGTAGCCAGTTGAATGTTTGAGAATGCAGAAATTAATGTAAACTGTTACTCTGATCAAATCACAAAAATATGAAACCATAAATATCACTTTAGTATGCATGTACTTGAAAATTACATTGATGCTTTATGTTATATGTTGCTGTTGATTTTTTTTTAACTATAAACAATTTAAAAAAAAATAATTCGGATATTTGTTATAACTATTTCCTGGCAACATATTTTGTTTCAAGAACTGTGTTTTGAATCAAATCGATTTCTTTGAAGGCTGAATTTTTTTTTCATATATAGATATGTACAAAGAAAAAAAAAAGTTGCGCGAATACTTTTACAATATTGAAGTGTTGCCCTTCTGTCTATTACAAAGTGTTTCGGTGTAGTACATTAAGTCACTGGAAAGCTGTACTATTATTGAGAAGAATGGCACATTATTCCAATACCTTGTACGATTAAAAATTGGTTGATGAACAACAACAGCACACACACACAAAAGAAGACGGGAAGTGGCTCTTCGCAACAACGGAATAAAGTTTATCAAACTTTAATTAAAAAAAAAAAAAGAAAAATGGTTTACAGTGTTAGAGAACGTGGTTGATATTAAAAAATGTTATGTTTATGTCATCTCAATTCTACATTAATTTTCCAACCTTTAAATTTCTTATACTTTAAATGCCTGACATTGATATTTCTGTTCGTAGGAATTCTCTTTTTGGAGTTTGTTCTGGTGCATAACTATTTGCTAAATCTCTCACTGACTGTGTAAACAAATAAAAAGTCGAACATGAAGCCACTTAAGTCTTTAAATACGTTAAAGATAGTAGTAATAAAATTACACAAATCACTCTTGTTTCTAAAGTAAACTGAAAGGGAAAAAAAGATTAATTCATACTTCATTTATTTTTTGTCCCATCCCGCATTTTTTTTTTTCAAAACACGCTTAAGAAAATGACTGATTCATTACTTCAATTATGAAACAAGGTCATTATAATCCATGGCCGTAGGAGCGAAGGAGGGGTGGGGTGCACCCTTTCTATAATTGTATACATAGTCTAAAGCAAAGCTACATTATAGATGTGCCCTCTCAATAATTACTTCTGATGACTTTTTCTGGCTTGTCAGGAAATGTATTGCTTGTTGGAAAATTTTTGCTCGTTATTGTCCACCTAAACTGAACATGTCTGCCCCCCCCCCCCCCCCGCTGAATTTGCTTCCTGCGGGCCTGCAATATACCATGTTTATGTGATACATTACCAATTAAAATGGGAGGCATTTAATGAGGAAAGTATAAAAAGGTCACAATCGTAAAGCAAATAATAAAATATTGAAAATTCGATCCAATGTGTCAAATGCGTAAATATATAATCCATGTAATCCGCTATTTAGTTGACCCACACAAGAAAATATCGTCTCCAGAGGAAAGCACTTTGAAGTTTGTGTGTTTCTTCAAGACAATCGCATAAAGATCTCGTAATGAAGTCTCTTGGGTCAGAGGAATGAGTGACGGGGAGTTTAAAAGGCCTGCAGACTTTTAAAATGCAGAAAAATCTACAGAAATGAAATAGAAACATTGACTCAGTATAATCAACAAGGCTGGTCACTTTCTATTGTAAAATGTTGAATAGAGCAATACTTCGCAGCAATCTTTGTTTGATTGAGTTTAATAGCAAATATAACAAATAATGAAACCAGTGTGAGATTTTTTTTGTTCTGTTTTTGTCCTGATTAAACAGATCTGGTATTGAGTAGATTCGAAAGATGAAAGTGTGTGTCAGTCATTGCCCCAGGTGACATTGAGGGAGTATAATATTATTTCTGACGCTGAAAATCTCTGTATCTTTATTGCTTTTTAGATGCGTTATTGTGACGTCATAATGCCGATTATGACGTTTCATTAATTGTTCTTCGTAGGACAAAAGCAAAGGTAAGTCCTTATATTTTTGTCTTATTTTTTTGTCTCTAATTATTATATATAAATGGATGTAGGTTATCTGTTAAGAGTACAATCGAACTCCTCTTTTCTTATGTTGACACTGGTGTTCAAAAAAGCAAATCAAAATTGCATCTTGCGTAATTTAACCCATTACTCCATCATGTGTTACTAAGAAATGAAGTAACCAATTGATGTCGTCTTGGTTTTGAAGACAAGATGATGCTTAACTTCGGCATAAATCAGAAAGACCTTACACCTGTTCGCGAAAACAGAATACACACCTTTTTTGTGCGTTCCGTATGTTGACACATGCATGGTATATCTTTATATGTAAATTTACTTAGTCAAGAAGGAGGAAAAATAAACTAAAGACTGTCTGTTTCATGGTATAAAAATGATCCCTCTACATAAGATTTTTACCTCGAATATGGAGCCTAAAATGTTTTCATTTTCTCAACTGTAGTGTTTGCTGTAGAAAAATAATGAAATAGGAATTTTGATATTAAAACAGTATACTAGTAATTTGAAGGTGTAGATAATCCTGCACTTGACAGCGTTTTAGATTCTAAAAATATTTTCCAGAGAGAAATAAACTTCACATTTTATGAGATCTTACCACGGGCATCTGAAATTTTAGGTTTTATGTATCCCATATTCAATATTTTCACTTTTCAATATAAACCAATTTAAATCGCAGTCTAATCCTCTCGCCCGTTAGGTCAATCAAACTGGATATTTTACCGTTTTGATATATTAAATTGCATCCACGATTTTCCCCGTGCTTAGAGATGGAACAATTGATAAATAATATATCTTGAGAATATTTTTCTATTAAATAGTGTTGCAATTACTTCACAAGAAAAATTTTCCGTTGATTTGGTAAAATGACCAGGTTTTATTTTGCTATCTGATGTTTCGAAGGTGTGAATGCGCATTTGATTTATTACTCCAGATTACTGATCAATAATTTTTGTCCCATTGTAAAGTGATGGCAAAACATTGTCAACTGCTTGAGAGCAATGACTCTTGGCAATACCTAGGAGACAACCAGTAAGATTGGGCTGGAATAAATCTACTGGAGTGATACTTAAAGATACTTCACAGTTTAAAATTCGTCGGATCGTCCAATTCATGCATATCTTTACGGCAAACAAGCAATTGTTATCAACTTTTGGGAATTAGAAAAAAGTTCTGACCACATATCACTCTTAGCAGTTGCCGAGATGTAAATGTTAATTTCTTGAAAAACGAATCCGGAGTTTGTCGATATTCTGTGTAAGTGTTTTATAATGACATTGTTTTATTGCCTATTTCCTAAGCAGAAGTGTGTCGAATGATGCCAGATTTTGGATGAAGTCGAGATGAGTGAACCGCCGGAAACAGATCTCGATTATTACTCCAGACCCGAAAATTACACCGGTAGCAATCTCCAGTCCTTGCAGAAGTTCACCCTAGCCAAGCAAAAGCAGGACAAAGCTTTAAGTGATCAGAATGTAAAAGCTAAAAAGAAGAAGAGTGGATTTGATCTCTTTGCTAGATACAAACATATCTTAAAGGGATACATATCGGACGAAGAAGAAGAGGAGGAGGACGAAGAAGAAGAGAAAGATGAAGGCGCGGAAGAAGCGAAGGAAGATTCCTCAAAGAAAACTAAATTCGAGGATATAAAAGAAGAAAGTGAGGAAATTCAAGAAGATGAATATGACAAGGAGAAAAAGGATGTGAAAGAAAAAGATGATCAGACTGTTTCGCCTTCTGGAGACAAACCTTCCAAATCTCCAGCTGAGTCAAGGAGGCGTTCTAGTGCAAGTCCTTTCCCACCGGGATTCGAACCGACCCCATCCCCACGAGACAGTGTCACTAGTACCTCACCTGTTCCCCCCAAACCCAGGGGGCAACAAGATGTATCTGGGGGACGATCGTCAGTTTCACTGCGTTTTACAAAACAGCAGCAAATTGCTAAGGAACTACGTGCAAATGCCGTGAGTACAATTTACATTTGTTTGGGGAAAGGAATTTCAGAACTATAAAGTTTATAAATAACATTTATGCCTAAAAGAAATAATGTATAATTGACTGAGGTGCGTTTGCATCAGATAAAATTTGATTTAAAGAAACTCAAATCAAATTTTAAAACGTGAGCAGGTCTTTAAGCAAAAACGTTTAAAGGTTAAACCTTTGTCCTGAATAGAGATATGGCTAGGTTAAAAAAAAAGCAGTTTATATTCAGTAAATTTAATTGACAAAGCATTTCAGAATGTTTTGTTTGGCTTTAAATTTTTTTTTAGGATTAGACCAAGAGTGATAATTGCAAATATGATTGAGAACATGCACTGTATCTCCTACGGATGTATTCAGAAATAATATATAAAACATTTAAAAAGAAGGACAATTATAAAACAATGAATCAATGTTTTTGAGGATTTTTTATTTAGAATTTAACAATAACGCATTATGCCTTGCTCTGTAGTTTGGATGTACATGTACAGTCTTTTTCCTCTATAGAAAACGTGGTATTACTGTCGCATTAAAAAGCCGCATTATCATTTTCAGCTACGAGAAAAATTTCGTAAAGCTATTTTCTGGGTGAAAATTGCTCTCAAGTTTTCAAGTTCAGCCTCAGGCAGGTGAGAAATTTATTCATCGGTAAAAAGTTTAAAAAACAATAGTTACAGGCTCGTCTTTACAGATTATTTAAGAAATTAATGAACTCAAAATAATTATGTATTGTTTAACGGACTTTTAAGCTTTAATACTGTTCGTTATCCCCATATATATCATGTACGCAGATTAAATTTTTAAGTAGATGCTCTTGGTCATTAAAAGTTAGCAAATAATATTGAAACGAAATATCAGTATATCATAGAATTATTTTATCGATTTTGAAAAAAAAAAATCATTAAATATCCGATATTATATTTTGAACATTAATTGAAACAGCGACCCAGGCGAGGGTATGAAGACATTTATGGACATATCCAGCGAAGTAGAATCCTCCAACCTAAAAAGTTCAGGACTTTCATTTGATCCTAATTATTTCAAGGCAAACAAAGAGGTAGATAAAAAAATGTATTTTCAGAATACAACATAGCAAATTATATTAATATTGAAAATGAACTCGTTAATTCTTTCACGTTACCATATCATCAAAACCTATCCATAGATAAATTCCTCCAAAAGTTAAGCAATCGATTAATTCAAATTTGAAAGTAATTTGTCATCTATTCAATTTCCTATTCATAACATGTCTTCCAATAAGATGGTTTTTAGGATTAAATTTTCATTACAAGCATGCAGAAAAGTTCATTGACAAGGTATCCACGTTCGGGACTTGTTATCACTCGGTTGGGGGTCATGTATTTTAAATGACCAATTGACATGTCTGAAGGGAAACTGTTTCATAAAAAAAAAAAAGCCCCTCCAAATAATAAAAACGGGGAAGGTACAGTTTTCCCAATGGTTCAGATATGTGCATTCAAAAACAGATTTTCGTTTCTTGAATGAAAAGATACCACAGTTTTTCTTAATGGAAAAAGTCACGATCATGGATACCTTGTCAATGAACTTTTCTGCAAGCTTGTAAAGAAAATTTGATCCTAACGGTCTTCATGGCGAAAGAAATTGTTGATATTGAGAGCGCATAAGCGGCGCGTCCCCATACGAAAAATGGGGATATAGATCTTTGATGGCCTTAAAACGTTAGATGTATGGCTGTGTAAATTTGTTTTTCAGATAAATCTCAGTACCGAGGTCAAAGGAATCCTTAGTTTGCCATCAGAGCAAAGGACGCCCGAACAAGTCCAAACGGTATGAGTGTATACTGAACGATACTTAAAACAATTAATATGGTCCTTGATTTACTTGAATTGATATCAGGAGAGAGAGAGGGGGAGGGAAGTTTTTCATTCTGTTCAGAAATTTTTATCATTTGGCCAGCTGATTTGCGCAAAAACATCTCTTCATTCTTTTTTTTCTATGTCCAACTTTGCATGACCAGAATATAATTACTTCTTTTGTATTTAAAAGTTACCTTTAAACTCCATTACAAAAAGCCATTATTGGCTTGCTAGCCGTTAATTCTTCAACTTTAATAACTTTCACAGTGCGAAATATATTGAGCAATGGTTTAATTCACTCGACGCTTTCACAAAAATTACTTCTGAAAAAGTACTTTTAATGATTAGATTACGGGAATGTTAAACCAACCAACTTTTCCTAGTTTATTAACTTTTTTTTCACAGGCAATGTTTGGTCTACAAATAATGCGATCCTTTGCCGAATACCCTCTCCATATGCAGGAGAAATTGGCCAAAGTAGCGTATTTTGAAGTGTGAGTTGTACTTTGTGAATAAAATACCACAGTGACTGAAAAGAAACTCTATATTACACAAGAAATTTGCTAACAAGTAACTTTGGAGGCCTGTCACTCTGTTTTTCTTTTGCCAAATATTTAACCGAATCTAGATCTTTTTTATAAGCTTAAGCGCAAAACAATGCATTTCATATGTTTCTTCATATTCTGCTAATCACCGTTAAAAAACATAAAAAATTACCGGGAATCTAAGCAAGGCATTAGCAGTAATGGATAATTAAATCCACATTTTTCTTAGAATTAATAGTATGACTTTCTTATGGACGAGTGTTCGCTATTATTTTGTCTACAAAAACATGTACTTTCCTCCTATTCCAAATATACTATTCCATTTCCAAGAAAGAGTCTAATATATAGTTATGGAGTGATTGGCAGAAAATATAACATTTTAATTCCACCTTAATCAAATTCGTGTTAATTACAGGGTTCCGCCAAAACGAATTATCATAAGACAAGGACATTTTGCAGAAAATTTCTATTTCATCGTTTCTGGTCAAGGTAGGACATTAATCAAAAGTAAATACAGGTGTAAATTGTTTCCATCTATCCAAAATTGTACATAACATTTAACTGTGTAAAACGAACACATCCTATGCATATTGCTTTCGTGGAAAATTGCCTGAAAGTGTCTTTTTTGCAATTGTGAGCAATGCTAAGTCATGACATAGTAATTGTTATTGCAAACCAATAATTCTCTCTGCCTTTTATCATGTTTTTGTCTTAATATAAATTTTCCATTAAGACAAATGCTAAATGTAGAATTAATAAGCGCTGAAAGACAATTGGCAATAAGGAATTTCAATGAATACCTTTATTGTGTGTTTTCAATATACTAGTATACTTCTTCTTCTAATAAGGTCTAACTGTACATTCAAATATCTTTTTTTCCAAATAAAATTTAACCTTTTAAAAATAAATATTAATACAATGAAAATTTACATATATATCAGCCAAACCTTGAGTTCATAGAAAGTCACAATGATAAAGATTTGTACGATTTTAAATGTATAAAAAAAATCTAAATTTTATTTCTTTATAGCGGTCGTAACGCTTCTGCTTAGAGATCCTAAGACTGGGGCTTCATTTGTTAAAACTGCCACAATCATGCGAAGAGGAATGAGTTTTGGGGTAGGTATTGAAGAAGCATAATACATGTAATCATTAAAAATAAACATCAAATATATGGACAATTTAATTAAAATTAGATCTTTGATCCACTCCAATTACTAGTAGATCTCTATGCGAAGATCCTTGTCTTACAGATTAATACAAATAAATTTGGAATTTGTTGATTTTTTTCGTACAGAATTCAAACAAATTTTTATTTTTTAGGAGTTGGCCCTCCTCCACCATTCTCGTAGGACTGCTACCGTCACTAGTCAGGGTGAGGTACAGCTACTATCCGTGGGGCGGGTTGATTTCTTTGATATCTTCATGAGTGGGGCTGGTCCAGGGGAAATACCGGATCACATTAAGTTTATCAGGTAAGTGTTTTGGTCTGTGACCCATCATGAAAACGAAGGAATTTTATAAATTAAAAAAATGAATAGGTCTCGCAAAGGAGGAAGGGGTGTTTAAAGATGGGGATGGTGTCTTTATGAGAAAATAAATTCTATATTGTTCTTACGGTCAACGATTGAAACATCTTCCCAAGGCAAGGATTTCTGATCCACTTCGCTCCACATAGGCTACTAGTAATTTAAGTCACAATTAAAATGGCAAGGCTTTATACATATTACATGAAATATTATGAATACAATTTTCATACTATGTACTGAATTTATCACTGTTTTTTTTCTTTCTTTTTTTTATTAGAGCATTAAAGTTTAATTTGTGACATGGTTTTAAAAATACTTGTGGTTGAAAAAAAATTAGAGTTATATTTAACCAGTACCTCTTTATGTATATTAGTAATAGAGGAACTTAATTTGTAAAATGCATCGTCATGTTATTTTGGTATCATTAGAAATAATAACTATTATTTACAATCCTTTTAAGACACTTGAATTTTGTATGTAAGGAGATTGTTTTTTAAAAGTTTACTGTTTGTTTAAGCTTAGTTCAGCATGTCGGAAACATGCACGAGCAATAAATCCTATCTAATAAGATTGATTACATACTTTCATTTTTATAAATATATACCAAGGTTAGATTATCATCTAAGATACTTAAACAGCTATTTCTAGGACTGTTTTTTTTTTTCGTTTATTTTATTGGGGTGTTTTTGTTTTTATTTTATTTTTTCTTATTGTTTTTATTTATTTAATTTCTTTTAATTTAAACCGGATTTGTGTGGATCGTCTAGTTCTTTGCACTTATAATGAAGTTTTACCATTTCCTTTAATTTTACCATGCAGTACACGTTTTTTTTTTTGCCCCCTTTCTCTCTCTCTCTCTCGTTTTGTTCGTTCTTGTGGTTTACATTTAAAGTAACTGCTTTTAAAATTGAAATAACATCTAAATGTACATGTATGTAAATTTATTTAATTTAAATATCTATTCTAGTACCTGTGATTTTATGAAAGATTGGCCATTGGAACAGCTTTTAGAAAATCCACAACACTGTCTCTTACATTTCTTCAAGTAAGTTTAACAGCATTTAGGCATTGATTTATTATCGCTTTATTGATTATTTATTAATTATAAATATTTAATTATCAATAAAATAAAATTTAAGTTTCGGTTTAATTTTTCTTGCAGAAGAAATGTGGTCATAGTTAGAGACAGTACAAATTCTGAATGGCTGTACGTCGTAAAATCGGTAAATCGTATTTTTCTTTGGTGATACACAAAGTGCTCATCTTATGGTACCATGACCTAAACTAAGATCGTAACAAGATCGAAAAGCCCCCCCCCCCTTTTTTTCAGTTTTTTTTTCTTGAATTGATTTTTAAAAATATGCATATTTTTTCCTATGTATCGGATTGAGTGAAATTCGTGAAAAACGGAGAGCTCCTTATTTAAAAGCTTGCCATTTCAGTTGTAAGCATTATCCATGCGAACGCAGTTTTGAAATCCAGATATTTGACTATATAATACACAATCCAAAGCAAAGTAAATTCTTCTTGATAACTCAGTGATTAATTTGGTTATTGTTCTTTCAACAGGGATTTTGTCAAGTATTAAAGCAGCTAAAAGGCGTTACTCCTAAGATTGGATGGAAAGAAAAATCCAACCAAAGTAAAATAGAACTTCCAACACTGGAAACTCCTTTACCAGGTACGATGTGCAGTGGTTTTAACCCCCCCCCCCTTTCCACAAAAACAGTCTAAACAGAATTTGGTTTAAAAAGGTAAACTTACCTTAATTATGCTTTTTTTTTTTAATATTTCTTTTTTACCTGTCAGGTCCAAAAGTTGATACCTGGAGAAGGAAGAGAAGAAAAACAAAGTCTGCCGGCGATGAAAGACGGCTAGTAAGTTTTTAATTCTTATGATACCAAACCTGACACAACAAATTGAATTTTAAAAATTAAAATTTTGATTAAAAAAATTTCATTTTAGGAAAATCAAGAAAACCTGGAGCCTGCTCCTGTGCCACAAGCCATTCCTGGTCCCTCAACCAAAAAGTTCTCAAAAGCTGAATACTCACTAAACCCTGTCACTAAAAAGGCCCATCTGGTACGCCCTTGTCTTCCTTGTACTGGTTCAAAATGGCGATTATCTTTTAAGATGTAGTGTTTAAGAAATTATTGCTTCAATAATAAATTGCTCGTTTAACAGTATAAACAAATTAGTACACCTTCTGCAATGGTACTATGGAAAGCCAATGTTATCAAGTCCTTTTCACATAAATATTTTACAATTTATTTTTATTGCTAAGATATAACTTATGACGATGCCTTATGGTTTAATTAAAAATAACAGAAATATGGGATATATAACAGCTCTTAATAAGTTATTAGTCCATGCTTGTTTGAATATTTGTATTTTAGATTCAACAATTGTTTTTTCAGTCTCCCATAAAAATGTCAAAATATGACACAAAGAAAAAATACGAAGTTCCGGAGAAATGCAAACCTCCCAAACCAAAGGAGCCTCCGAAAGACCTGCCCCCTAGCAAACCCCCTCCCGTATTTGTCCAAGTCGGAAGTCTCAAACCCAAGGATGTCTTCGTAAGATAAAAATAATTTAAATCAAACGAAACTCTTTTGCATGGTTACTTAATTCTGTTGGCGAAGAGTTTTGTGATCCACCCTTCATCTAACAACGTGTTGATGATGACGAAGGGAGCGGATCAGAAACCTTCGCTAGCGAAGATTCTACCGAAAGGTTATATATATATATATATATATATATATATATATATATATATATATATATATATATATATATATATATATATATATATATACTTCCTTTTCATCCTTTACAGGGTTTGGAGACAATACAGTTTGAGGACTCTATAGAAAATCCACAGACGGTGGTTACTCTGGTAAGGATTTACCATTCTATTCTTCAGATCGTTTTTAACCCTTCAAACATTTTGTACAATGTAGGTATATAAAAAGTCGGTCAGAAACGTAGCCCTCTAAGTTCTTTATCCTCCCTTTCAACAACTTTGTCAATAAATCTTAATTGACACCTATGAAAAAATTGAAATTTTCACATGAATTTTTAAAAAAAGATTTGAAAATTTGCTTTTACTGTAATGTAACCATTAACTTTTTTCCTTAGGTATCCAGAGGAGCTGAATGTATAATGCTGAACAAGGAATTTTTTGCCAAACACGCGAACGAACAGGTCAAAAAATTGATACGTCATCAAGTCCGACCGTACCCAGATGAAAAAACTTTTCAAAACAACCTTCAGATAAAAGAGAACTGGGAGTTGTACAAGAAGAGTCTTATCGATGATCTCACGAGTTGATCAACGTCATAATTAGGATATCGTCATCATTGTGCTAATTTTGAGGGTTTTCTCAAAAAACTGATTCAAGAGAGAACTTTTGTTATCGTTTAAATTTATATAATGCTGATTGTTAACTTTTTTATGTGAAATATGAGGGAATGTTATTTTCTCAAATGAGATATGAATCTTTTTCTTGTTGAGTATGAACTCCGAGGCAGTATCCAAATGTTACTCGCTGCATAAAATATCTTTAAATACAAATGCATTTTAGTAATTGCCAATAAAATTTATGAAATGTTGCCATTGTTATGTGCGTACGTTATCCACGGGAAAGAATACACAAAGATGATCGCAAGTTATGCTTTATTTTTTGAATACCTAAAATTACAAGAAACATCAAAATAACATTAATTAGAATGCCGCGGGAATACTCCAGGACAGTCCAGGTATGATAGATTATCATTTACTAAAATTTAAATTTACTGGGTGGAAGTAAATAATTCAAAACAGGACTACTCCCACCCAGTGAATTCAAAATTTAGAATATGACATTACATTCCTTCTCCGTTTATCCATTTATAAGAATTTAAAAGGCACTAATGCCGTACAAGTACCTTATTTCAAAGTCAAATGAAAAAAACATCTATAATAAATTATGTCAAATTAAGGTACCACTGTTCATACCGCGCACATCTTCAACAAACGAAGGAATAAGTACAGTTAAGGTATCACTACTTAGTAAGTATATCAACAAAGGGATAAGAACAATAAAGGTACCACTATACATACCGTGTATAGCGTCAATAAATGAAGGGATAAGAACAATTAAGGTATCACTATACATACCGGGTATAACGTCAACAAATGAAGGGATAAGAACAGTTAAGGTACCACTACGTAGCAAGTATATCTACAAAGGGAAAAGAACAATTAAGATATCACTACATACATACCGGGCACATCGTCAACAAATAATGGGATAAGAACAATTAAGGTATCACTATACATACCGGGTATATCGTCAACAAATAGAGACAAGTCACTGTAAGGGATAAGAACATTTAAGATATCACTACATACATACCGGGCATATCAACAAATAATGGGATAAGAACAATTAAGGTATCACTTTACATACCGGGTATATCGTCCACAAATAAAGAGACAAGCCACTGTACATACCGGATATATCGTCAAAAAATAAAGGGATAAGAACAATTAAGGTTTTTTTTTTTTTTGGGGGGGGGGGGGTTGCTCACTGAAATGAACTTTCTACAATTATGAACACTTTTTTATAACATAGAATGGAGACAAAATTTTGCAAATACACGTGCAATGCTTGGTAAACTTCGAGCTAAATCATTGTTAATGGCTAAAAGAAGGAAATATTTTGAATTTGGAGTTGTATCTCTTATAATTAGCAGAGGTTTAGTCTACCTTAATTAATGGATGTTTGCATAGCATCCGCCATTGTTGCAAGAAAAAAGAAAAACTAATGCCACAGGAATCTAAGAATCTTATCCTAAGTTTTGTTCACTAAACTAGACGCTTTAGTAGATGTGCTACTTGAACTTTCCTCTAGCTTCTTGGTCCTAGCTCTGGAAAAGACGCCTCTAAATCTGCAGCAAACTGTGAACATGGTGAAAATCTCTCTGCGAAACTGCTCACATGCTCCCACAATGATCCAGAAATTGATCAAAGCTGCAGCCGCGGACACAATTTCACGAAATTTGTACAGTACTTTCATAGCCTCCAGATCCATTTTGCCCCACACGTCATAGATCTCCATTTTGGTTATGAAAGTGATGATGAGATTGAAAAGGCCAATTGATTTCTTTATACATTGGACCAATAGGATTATGAGAATAGAGCGCGTCATCATTTCAATTTTCTGCATCCGACCTTTGCTTTCGTGGATGTCGGTGGACTCGTTTCGGGTGATCACCGAGTAGATAATGTAAATGCTAGAGATAAGGTACACCAAGAAGGGAACCAGAGAACAAATTGGGTGGTATGTATCGAAAGCCTTAGTGAAAGCAGGGTTTCGGTAAACCATACAAAGATCCTCGTCTCCGGCGATGGTCGAGTAAATATAGGTTTCATAACCCACGGGTTCATTTGACCCTTCTTCGTAGTAGTAATAGTAGTAGTAATAATAGAAGTCCGAAGGACTGTAACCGGAAGAAATTAAATAATCTCGGTACGAAGTGAACTTACCCGAAAAGTAGAGCTCTGGGAATCGGTAAAGAAACGCCAGCAAAACGCTCACGACAACAGTCAGAAGAGATGCCTTTGTTGTCAAAATCTCTCTACTTTTGAATGGAAATTTTATTACCAAGACTCTCTGAACAGCAAGACATGCCCACAGCGCCTGCGCCACGGAATAGCAGACGTTTTCGCCGAAATCACTGTAGAACAAAAAGATGCAGTATGGCAGAACAATGTCTACGGTTCCCGATCCATATGTAAAGTAAATGTACAGATAGTTTCCGTACCTTAGAAGGGACTTTAGGGTATCTGAAACTACTATCCCGGTCAATATTATGGTCGTGGGGGATCGCATTGACTTCCTCATAAATGTAATGACAATAATAATGGTAGACAGAAAAGACAAGCCGATAACAATTGGTCCGTAAATGAAATCAACTTTGCCAACTTCCGACACCCGTGGAAACGTGTAACCTGGGAGAGGCGAGGGAACTCTTTCTTCTTGCGCGGTTGTGGTACTCACATTTCCCGAATTTTCTTCTGTCGATGATGATATGTCATGACTGTCCATAGTTGAATCAAATGCCGTTTCGGTTGAAGACACCGAGTTTGATTCTACTGGAACAGAAGTGGTTATCGAAAGGTTTTCTTCACTTGCAACTGCAATGATTGTCTGCTGATCATCGGTTGATACCTCCTCGCTGCTTGGTATAGAAGTTGGGGTATTCAAAAGAGGTAATACAGTTGATTGCATCGGTGAAAGGATAAAAATAAGAATGGCTGCAAAAGTTTGAAGTGTCATTATGCCGTGATGTCTGGAAAAGAATACCACTCTTGTTCAAAATTCCGTAGAAGTGGTTGCTGCTCAGTCTGTCAGTAAGAGAACATTCAACAAGTGTAAAACATTCTTGTACTTTACATTATGAAATGGTACTTCGATTGGGATTTTGAGCTTATGTCGCTCTAGAAGCTGGCCATCGTCTTTATTTATAAAATGAAAAAAGGGAGAGAGGAAGCAACTATTGAACTAATGACAATTTTAAGTAACTTACCCCGAATGGTTGCTTACACGTGAAGCCTAAAGTTTGATGTGAACAATACTACAAGAACAAATACTCCATATATCTCTAAATAACATCGACGCCAGTTTTAATCAAAACTTTAATGATTGCTACACTTTTTCATTTTCTTCTGCGAAATCAAAATTGCAATATATTCGGAGTAATAAAAGCTTATTTAGCATTTTTTTTAATGAAGGAATAGGTCGTAAAAATTTTGCAATAAATAGGAACCTTTTTTTCCCAGTTGTTTAGCCATTATGAAATATTTTATTGTTATACATGTATAAATAAGAGCACAAGAAAGAGCTTTTCAAAAGTTTTCTTATCTGAGCAGAATGACATTTAAGTAAGCAATCGGAGCAAAATTTCTCTGCTGACTGTTGCACAACCCTTACTATATACAGTGTATGACACATACATGTATAAGGGGCATTCGTCACGTCCTATCCAAATATATATATATATATATATATATATATATATATATATATATATATATATATATATATATATATATATATATATATATATATATTAACCACCCATCCCCCTTTTCTTTCTTGGCTTAAGCTTAAAAAATGGATATCTTCTCGTTAACAGTTAAAATGATTATTATTTTTAAAATAATCCTTACCTCATCATTTGAACAACAGGACGAGAAAAAGAAATCATAATTATACGTTTCTCTTATTTTTCTCGCTTGTTAATGTATTTTTCTACCCCTCAAGAAAGAGAAAGAGAGAGAATCTAGATCCCTCCCGAGGCAAAATCTTTGGGTGGTTTGGGTAGAAAATATGGCTGATGTATATATATAAAATATGTTCAGATGATACATGTACGAGTTTATTTTCATCCATATATATCGAGATATCATGCATTATATGAGAGTATGTGGCAAATAAAATGTTCGCGTATTTAATTATCGAAAAGCCACAAATGTATGACCACACCTGACAACATGGTGAAACTTGCTGAGCGACCTTCATTATGTGGAGTGCGTGTGTGTGTGTGTGGGGGGGGGGGGGGGTATACCACCAAAGTAAATCTGAGATATGTTAAAAAAGATATTACGGGTGATTTTATGAGACACATAGCTTACTCGGTATTTTACAGGGTTTACTAAAAATAGAATGGGATTAGAAAATTTTTAAACGTACTTTCGGTTTATAATAATCTATACTTTGGTATTGTGAACACTAAGGGAAAACTTCCGCAATTGAATATTGTGTAAACATGGCAGGTATAGTAAAACTTACGGAATCTCTCTCTCTCTTTCTCAGACTTAGATATAGAGAAACTACGTCAATTTTGTTTGCAAAAAAAGTGTCTGCAACAATATTATATTGCTTACAATGGTTTTGAATGAAATTGTTTTTAACATTAAAATAAATGGAGTTTTCTTTCAGAGGGTGGAGTGCCACAAGAAGGAGAGGAGCGGTTACCCAAACTAGAGGATTTCCTGAACAATGAGGAACTCAGGCGTCTCTATCAAGTACGATATATACATGTAATATCTTCTAGCTGTTTTTACCATAACGACTCCGATCATTTAAAGGGACAAACTTCAGCTGCAATATTTACATGTACTTGTATATAAAGCAGACTTGCACATGTCTGCAGAGTCCTGACAAATAAACAGAAGCATTATAATCATACTTTACTGCATGGTTAATATTCTTCTTGAGCCAAAATATTTTCTTGAAAATGAGAATATTTTATTTGTAGTGATACTGATGTCATATTTATTAATGTTTTATTTAGGACCCAGAGGTTCAAATGATTTTTACTGAAATTGAAAACAACCCTGCCACAATACATCACCATCACAATCACCCAAAAGTCCAGCAAGTTCTGCGACTGATTCAGTCCGAATTTGACCGACAACCACTTTCCACGGTAACAATTACTTGTAAACACATTAGGATTACATGTGAAAATGTAAATGCATATATCTGCTTAATTTTATTTTAAAATAAATTAAAAAAGAAGCAATAAGGAAAATATACCATTCCTATCCTCATTAATCTCAATCATCTCAGATAAAGTATTCAATGCAAATAAAAACAAAGTTATTGGGAAAAAAAGTCATATATTACAATTGTAGTTTTAAAATGAAATGCAAAATTTATGCTATTGCATGTTTCTGTTTAAGACATGCTCTGATTATATTCTATTCCCACACTTTTCTATTTATTCTACTGTTCATTCTTTTATTTTACTATTTAAAAATAATTCTCACTACTTTTTCTTTGATCTTAACTCTTCCTTACATCTTAGTCTCAACAGTAAAGAGTTAAAGAATGTAGCAGAAATGACTAGGAAAAAGTAAGTAAAAGTGAAATAAACTAGAACAAATAAGATTTTACAAGTAAATCATACTAAATGAGCCAAAAAAATGTTGTTTATCAAAGATTATTAGTATACATGTATGCACAGATAAAAAATATTGTTACTGTGATTTTTTCAGTCTAGATTTGCATTTAAATGTGAGCATTAACTATTACTAATAAAATGCTCACCTACAGATGGCATGTCATCTATTTATTCTGGTAAATTTCCAACAGTTTCCTATTTTCCCTACTACATGTCTTTTAAATACATGTAATAACACCCTCTTTTTTTCTTCAAAATACTTTTTAGTAGAGTAGAAAGTGTGCATGTTGGTACACACGTACCTGTATAAATTACAGAGCCAAGGAGAAGAATTTGAGCAAATGACAAGGCCAACAGAAAACAATGACGATATTGACATTGAGGACATCATAAAAATTATAGAAATGGAGGAAAACAGTCCAGGACATTCCTAATGTTTGCTGAGGGGACAACAGGAACTTCAGCAGAAAAAAAATCTTTAAACTTCATAGAATGATCAACTCTGCAGTATTAAAAATCCACAATAAGAAATCATTTTTTGTCTTCTTTTGTATATATTTATTTAAATGAACGTGACAATTTTACATGAGTGATGATTTTTTGATGAGTATTGTCTATGACAATATTATAAAATGATGAAAATTTCACTTTTTGCCAATTATGTCTTTTTCGTTATTGTTTCATGTTGATATTAAAATCCTTTTGTTAAATGTTGCTGTGTTTTGTTTTATCAATTTCGACTCCGCAAAAGAATGAAATGCTCTCTGGACTACATGTACATGTAGCTACTGCACAAATAGATTTCTTCAATAAACTATCCTTCAATCTTGAAAGTTGATCTTTGGAAATGTCAATTTTCATTGATTTTCTTTTTTCTTCTCTGTTATGTCTACTCATTTCTTTTTTAAATGGAGAACACTTGTGTTGATCCTTCATTGTGACTATACCCTTCCTCATGCCTCATCCTCACACTTTCATTCCTCACTCCTCAATATCTCTTTTTCTTCACAATGTCTGGACGCCAATTTATTGGATGTGTTTCTTCAGTCTGAAAAACATATCATGCAAGTATAATTAATATTAGATATTATTGAATTTTTACCTATAAATCCACAAAAATCATAATATTATTGCTTTCTGACTACTGTTATTTTGCTGTACAATGCAATTATATTTTTCACATTTGTTACAACTTTAATGGTTACAGCAAAAACCAGAACCCAAATTTAAAAGAACAGAAACTTACAGCTGAATCATCCTCCTTGTAAATTTTAATGGTTTTGTCTGCCTCTGTAGTCAGCAGACGACTGCCACTCTGGTCAAAGGTCATAGCAAAGATTCCAGACTCCGAATCAATGGATCCAGGCTGGGCTGCTGCTTGGACTCTCTGAAAGTTGTATCCAGTTTTCCAATCCCAGAAGTACATTGAGCCATTGTCAGCTAGTTAGAATAAAAAAGCATGTGCTTTAAATTTCAAAGATAGGCACATATTGGAGCTAGCTCCCCATTCCCCGGGGGGGGGAGGGGGGGGGCTGGAAAGCTTCATGACATCACTGCTTCTTATCCTTATCATATGTATGCTTTGACAGTAATTTATCCTTAAATATACATGTACACATATTTGGTGGACTGTATCAGTTAATATCTTGAGAAACTTGAAATACAAAAGCATTTCCTCTTGGTGAAAAGTTCGAATCATTATTTCTGGCGTAAATTCAAAATGTGCATACCTCCAGACACAAGGACACCATCAGCATTGCTTGCCAGAGCATTGACAATGGCATTGTGACCAGAGAGATTCTGTATAAAGTCTCCATTGGGGAATTTCCACTGTTTGATATTATCTGGTGATGCTGAAGCAAAGGTATACCTGAAAAGAAGTACAAATTACTGATGGGAAAGACCATCTTAATTCCAAAGATTCCAGAAGTTTTTCGAAAGAACTTGATTTAAAAAACAGCCAGTCAGAAGTGAAAATGTTTTTGTTTTTGTAAATTTTATTTGAATGGGGGGGGGGGGGGCTTCAAAAACACATATGTTCAAACTTACAGCTTAGGGTGGAGGGAGAGTGCTCTGACACTCCTCTTATGGTTGGTTAGTGTGACCCTTGTCCTCCCCATGGCTAAATCCCACAACCTGATTGTGCAGTCATGGCTTCCAGTAATCACCTTAAAAAAAAGAGATGTTTTTACACAATGTACATTCATTGAACTTACTTTGGAAAATCAAAAGCCATAAAAAAAATTGATAGATCTCTTTTTTAAAATTATGTGTACCCCTGAAGGATCCTTCAGAAAATCAAAATGGTCTAAGATCTCCATGCTGCCTCAGAATGATCTGATTTAACAATGAACTCTAGGATACCAGAGGTTTTCTGTTGGGATGATTGCAGTTAAGAGTGTTCACTTCTGTTTTATATAGAGAGTTCTAATTGGCCTAAGGACATTAAATGCCTTTCTTTGTTATTTTCCATTTTGACAAAAATCTTTTCTATGCTACATGACAATGATATCTAACAGTGAAAAACACTAATAAGTACAACAATGGACATACGTATATTCTGCAGCTTTCTCTTTTCAATCCTCGGCTGAAATTATTGTAGTTTATCATTTACAAACTAAATTCCCACTGAGAAAAAAAGGACAGTTGCTTAGCAGAAACATGTATCAGTTCAAAGGTAATGGTCAGGGTCATCTTCAAAGACTTTGTTAAAAAGCCAATATCAGTGCAAAGGACAGCATTGAAAGCTTCTCATAAATATTTTTGGTAACAATTTCAAAGGTCAGAATCGAAGACCAATATTAACTTGATAGCAGTACATGTACATGCATTTGATTATTTATTGTTTTACATGTACACCTCCTGCGAGAATTTTTCATTCATACAAGACATAACCAAATGCACATTAAGAGCTTTAAATTTAAACCTTTACTTGGCATGCAGGGCAAATGAGCAGTGAGGGTTTAATGCCTGCCACACATAGGGCCTCTGTTTTCTAAGATTTCACCAAAAGACCATCAACTTTAACTTCAAGTGCTTGGTGAAGGAACAGTTGTTACCTACTAGTATTTTTTTAAGATCAACTTAGGTCTGTTGCAGCTGAAGCACAAACCTTCAAACTATAGAGTAGGCATTCTGCCAAATGAGCTACCATGCCAGCATTTGCAAATCTCATTCTGATTTACTAACTTTAAAGATGATGATTATCAAAATATGTAGATCATCCTTTACTTGAATAATTTTTATTTACCAATTTCAAGATTAAAAAGTCAAAGACAAGGTCACCTCCAAAAACTTCAAAAATCAGAGGCCTGTTCAACAGAGCAGACGTTCGCGAGCGCTTGTGAACATTTCTGTTTGAGGGATAAGGAATTTAGGCAAGCGCTCGTGAATGTTCCCCTGTTGAACAGGCCTCTGATGTTCATTTATTTGTATATATGTATACATTATACCTAGAAAAGCACACCAAGAACAGACCTTCAACAAGATTATTTGTAGAGATATCAGCTTTGATTTTGTGAAAATAAAAATTCAAGTGCAAAAGCAATGAAAACTGTAGTTTTTTTGTCACATAAAAAAGTTCACACACATCAGTCTGATGGCAACCTGTTTTTGTAACATGATTGATATTGTATATCAATGTTTAAATCTGCAGGTGATAAAAGATTTTTTTTTTTTGCCTTAGTCAAAATCCAAATTTGCTTCATTCTTAAATTTGTACGAATATCAAACATTTCATGGACCCTTAATTTTGTATCTGAAAAGATTTTCTTTGTAAAATATCCCTTGTTTCTTGAACTTTTTTTACATTACTCAAACTATGAACAAACAGAATTCAAATACCCACAAGTTACTCCCTAGTAATCAGTAATGCCTAGTAGTCCAGCCAAATAGCACAAATTATCCCCCTAGTAATTCAGAAGTCTATCATGTATTATGTGATAACTATAGACATCTCTCTCACCTGTGGTTCTGCTGCCTGACACCTGACCTCAGCCACTGTGTTGTTATGACCCACCAGTGTATGAACACATGCTTTGGTCCGTATGTCCCACACACGGGCAGATCCATCCCGCCCACAGGTCAGTAACACATCTATTGTGGGATGGAGGTCCATTGAGTACACAGCACTTAAATGACCATGGTAATGTCTGATTGTCTGTATAGAGAGATGATAAATAAGCAAATTGTGGAATGACCTAATTAAAATTATGGCTATATCAAATTGAGGCAATACTGTTTTCCTTTGAAGAAATGCTTACTTTATTATACTCTAAATCCCAGCATCGAACCATTTTGTCCTCTCCACAGGAAAACAAGTATGGCTGTCTATGACTGACCTTCACCCCTCGTACAGTGCTGACATGACCAGTCAAAGAGAGCTTGAGAGTTCCGGAGGCCAGGTCCCAAATCTAGTTATTATAATTAATTAACAACTAAATATTACAACATATTTACTAATCAGTCATTTATGTGCATGATAAGACCAAAGACTCAAATAGGTACAATAGAGAAGGTGCATTTCCTCAACATTTGCACAATAATTGTGCATGGTTGAGGTAATGTTGAAAGCAATGCACTGCTATTACACATTATAAAAATTAAAATGGATAGAACTCAGCAGTTCCCAAACCTTGGTGCACTTTGGTTACAAAAATATTCTGCTGTTGAGACTTTCTCCAAAAAATTATTTAAAATAAATTGTGAATCTTCTTTATAACATATTCTTGTAATAAATATTAAAACTAATATTTCAAAATTATATTTTCCACATTTTAGATATCGATTATGAAGTTTTCATTTTAGAGGAAGAAAAACACACCTTAATAACCCTGTCACCGGCTCCAGTTACAAACCACTGGTTACCTGGTTCTACATCAATGCACCGGACCCAACCAAGGTGACCACTAATAACCTGATTTAAATGAAATAAAAATGAACTATACCAGCAACACAGAGTGCAGGAGTAAGAAAACATTATATCTAAGACAAAAAAAAAAAACACTTGTATAAAAAAAATTCATGTTATGCTATAATTACTCATATTCAATGAAATGTACTAAATTGTATAAACAGCACACAATTTGAAAATAAATATGGAAATTTATCTGGATTTATATAAAGATTTACAATTGAGTGTATAAATTACCCTATATAGTTTCCATGGTGGATGCCAGGCTGGTTTAGGCATTGTCATGGCTTTCTTTGGAACAAGTGCTTGTTGATTTCCTATTGAAACTAATGCCTGAAAGGAGAAAAAAAACCCAAATCAAATCTGTTACTTTCTTCTATGCTAAGATACTTTTATTTTACATTTCCATTTGCTTTGAATAAATTTCAGATCTGAAAACAAAATTCCAAAAAAAAATCTAAGGCTAAACCTTTCAAGCTCTCTACCTTCTTATTAGACTAGAGTGAAAATCAGAGACTTTCAGAACAGTAAGTCATGTGTAAATCATGTCATCATGACAGAGGATTTAAATATCATAATGCTAAAAAATTTTAAATCATCAATTATATTAACAGTAAAAATATATTGAAACTCTGCATACCTTTGATGGATCAGATTTTTCATGATGTGTCCTGATATCATGCATGCTAGCCCCACTTGGAACTTCTTTGTTTCTATTGAAAAGAAAAATCCTCACAACTTAAGTGTCTTTAAAGCAATGACATTTACTATAAAATTATTGTGGAGAATTAATACATTTATTACATTTTTAACAGTGAAATAGTGTAATTTATTAATGGAATAAAAGTGATATTCTTTCACTCTCTGAATAAATATCAAAATAATATTCTTTCACACTGTGAACATATATCAAAAGTGCAGCAAAACTCTCAATTTTCCTTCTCTTTACAAAGAGTTATTTTAAAAACTATTCCCTAGCCTTTTATAAGATAGCAGGAGTAATAAACCATCCTGACAGGGACCTAAACTGTTAAAGTTTCTCCAAATCCGTTGTTAAAATCCATGTTTACAATATTTAATCTCCTAATTACTTAGATGTGACATCTCAACTAATAAAATATGAAATTGCAGCCTATGACATTATGAAAAGACAGAAGCAAAGAGAAAATCAAAGAAAATGTAATAAAAAGAAAATTCAAGATTTTGTATTTGGATATTGAATTTACTTCACTCATGAAACAGGATTTTTTCTTCTTCTATGTGTATCAAGAATCTATGTGTTAATTAATACTATAGTTTGAATACGATTTCATTTCAAGTTATGATTGGTCACCTGTTTTTTTCATAAATAGCCATTTCCATCTGTCCTGTGTGACTGGGATCTGTCTGCATCATTGTACCATCACTTAACTGCACACCTGTCAATAAATAATAAGACTGTACTCTCATGAGGATTTTTTTTTATTCAGCATATATTCCCATCTAGTTTCATGTTTGAATGAATTAAAATTTATCATTTATAAGCAGTAATTTTTTTTTTGTGGGATGATAAGTTGTCTAATATAACATTTAAATCAAAATTGTTCTAAGTTGATTTTCATCTCTACTTCCTACCTTTTAAAAATTCTTTAAAAATAAATTTATGCTGTGAACTTATGGACTTGACCCAGGTTAATTGACCTTGCTTCATGATTGTGACACAATCACTCATACATGTACATGACCTCCAACAACACATTATAAAATAATACATTGTATCCTCATTATCCTTTCAGATATGAAATGATGCAGACATATAAACTGACTAGGTAAGAAAACTTAAAACATGGGCAAGAGAGAGAAATCATCTCTCAAAATTTACCTGGTCCTGAAGGATAAGGATGTGTTCCTTGAATAGATGTTCCATTTTCTGGAAGAAAAGCAGAAAATTCCTTTTTTTCAAATTGTACCCAAAATACGGAAAAGTAGTAAGCATAAAAGTAATTTACAACAAACATTTACTATGTCTAATAATCATTTAATAAAAGTGAATGATGGTCTTTCTAATCACTTGATATAAAGCCATAATAATTATTACATTTAAGAAACAATATGCGTTTACGATATTAATACAGTAAAACTTGTCTAATATGGACTCCACTGGTTCCACAGAATTTGGCTGGATTAGACAACGTTCCAAATTATACAACATTTAAATTTATACAGTTGAATTTACTGAAAGGAACTTCAAATTTACATCGTACATGTAATAGATAAGATTTTTGGATTATACGACATGAAGACTAAACAAGTTTTACTCTATATTATGAATAATACTGCCTGGGTTTATCATTTCAAGACTAGCAAGCACGTTTACATTTACTTACCTTGCCACTGATGGTCATTGTATGGCTCTACAACATTGCCATGACTCTTTCTCTGCCCCTCTTTTGGAAGGTCTTTAACAAGTCCATATTCATCTGATAATTTTATTTTTCTTCTTATATCTTCACTGAAATTTGGACAAGCATTAAATACCTAGCTGCAGTTTTTGTTTGTGTGAGTGTGTGTGTGTGTCAGACTGTCTGTGTGTGTGGCAGGTGTTAAGTTTCACTGATTTGATAAAAAAAAAAATATTTGTTCTAAACATTGGGCATAAAAATTTGGGAAAACTGAATATTTGTTAAAATCAATGTATATTATGAATCTTTACATTTCATGTATTTAATTATCAGGGGTTCTTTAAGCCAGCTTTCAGAAATATTGTCCACATGATACAATTCATCAAATATTTATACCTACTGAGATCAAATTAGATCTATGGTATATATAAAGATATGTTCTTGATTGCATTTCCTACTAAAGAAAATTTTTATTTTCAAAATTTTCATTCTCAAATCTCCTGGACAAACTACTGTAGAATCATTTTAATTCATGGGGGTCAATGTTCATGCGCAAGCAAAATTTTACTTTTTCATGGGAATGTAAATTCATGGGTTACTCATTTATACGGTATATTCAATGAATCAATATGTTTAAAAATAAATGTTCGTGGGGATGTAATTTGGTGGGTAAGGGTGACCCTCGAAATCCACGAACATTGGTCCCCCACGAACAATGATGATTCCACGGTAACTTGCTACTTGGACTCCATAGCACACATTCTTCTCTATCAATCTACATACCTTTTGGGGTCTCTGGCTGGTGTGATTCCCTGTTCTGATAAAAACATATCATGAGTCCTCTTCAGGGATCTGAACACTAGTGTATGTACTGAATGCTTCTGTACCTCCTGCAAATAATAAACAACTTGATAATCAGTGTAGTCAGATATTCTTTGAGTATCTATTTAATTATAATGACTTAAGAAGTAAAACATTTCATTTGTATACTTTCAGGCATCAGTAATGTACCATCTATTATATACTCAAAGAATTACCCTTTATAGTGTTTTGTCTGTAATAATATATATGTTGTATGTTATGCCTATTTGGGACATCACTGAATTTTTTTTGTTTGATGTACTCTGACCCATGATTTTCAATATGGGATAGGTTGATAGGTATAGTTTTTTTCTTTTCTTTTTTTGAAAAATTCAACACATAAATTTATGCAATATAAATTATAAAATTACAGTCATAAAATTTACTGATGTTTTCAATTATACATCTCACAACTAGACAGATTTAATATTTATTGCTACTTTCAATCTAAACAGCATGTTAGGGATAAACCTATGATAAACCTTAACTTTAAAAATGATACGAACAATCTGTATTTCCCAAAACCAGAAAAGAAAAAAAAAATTTAAGTGCTGAAAAAATGATAGGGTAGGGGCAATTTCGACGGGTTGCAATTTTTTGTCTTTTTTAAATAAAAAGCAAAATTGTGAAAAATTGCATTGAAAAAGCTACATTAACCTTACTGGGGTAGCTAGATAAAGGTACGGTAGGTAATTCTAGCTACGTAGCTAAATGTAGGCTAGCGATTGTACTGGACCTGATGGTAGAAGTTTGTTTAAACATTTAATTTAAAATTTAAAAAAAAAGATTTCAAAGATATTCGGCTGTAATTTAAAAAAAAATGAAATAACATTGCGTGCTACAATACAATTAAATTGTATTTAGATGGATATCTAGTTATTTACAAATGCAGTTTAAAAACATAAAAAATAAAATGCATAAGGAAATTCGAGTGAATCACTTCAAAACCACCGCAAATCAATTTCTAAGGAAAGAAGGTTACAAATCTGCACTTAAAAGATTATACTCAATATAAGGATCAGACATGAAATGAATTCGTATGAATTTTTACCTCTGTAGACATATTTAAAACAGTTTTCGTTAAAAAGGGATGATCGATGGAAAAAATGCGTCTATTTTTGTATTATTCCGTACTACGAATAATTCCATTTCAAGCATTTAAGTAAGTCGTACGTACAACAATTCGTAAACGTAGTCAAAATGGCGGGAAAATTATAAACTCGTCTGCAAACAGCAAACACGTCTGCAACTGCTGTTACATTGTATGCATGTCGCAGACGAGAGGTGTTCCATTCAAACGTTTGTTTTTAAGGAACGGGGATATCTAGGTAACATTTTGGAGTCTTTAACATTAATATCATTCATCTGTTGTTGTTTTGTCAACCTGCTGATTGTATTGGCTAAAAAAATGATCAAACGGAAAAAATATCCATTCATTCGTTATAGGGCCTACAGCTGTTTAGACCTATCCACTTTGGATTTCTGGAGAATGGAAGAATGTTTCACTGATTCCCTTATTGAAGATGCCGTACAGTTTTTGGATGTTACTGGAAACATTCAGCGAATCAGAGACACAGCTCGTAAATTTCTGAGCATGTCAAAGGTAAGTTCACTAGATAAATGGAAACACAATCATTTTTAAAAAATTAATATTTCATTAAAAAAAAATTTTAAAGGCTAAATCCATGACTGTTGCTGGCATTTTATTTTTCCACTAGGCCTAGATCTATATTTACTTCATTGAAAAATGCATTTTTCTAAAATATTATTGCACTGTTATATGTTGCTCATTTTTTATATAAAACACCATATAACATAGAATTCTTTGCAGTTTCTTCACATAATTTCAAAATAATTTTATCTGTAGGCATTGCGGTGATATATCACGCATCAAATGCGAAATAAAAATTTTACGACCCTAACACTGTCTGATAATAGTAATTTGAGGGTAGAAATTTTTGTCTTGACATTTTAATAAATTATTTTCAAGGATTAATTTCATTTTTTGCAGGAATTGTTGGTCTACAAATTTGAAGTTGTTGTTGATGCCATAAAGTTGATGGACTTAAATGGTATGAATTTTAAAAGTACTTGTAGTTCGATCCATTTGGTAAATAATAAGAAGATGTGCTGACAAAGTAGTCATACTACCAGAGAAGATGTTTACATGCACCAAGTCTTTTGATAAATGCTATGTGCGATGTTCATAAATGTGGTCAACTGGTCATATTATCTTCAGAAATAATCCTTAGTTAAGAACTTAATACCTGTTATTTCAACAGCTTCCCTTGGAAATCTCCTTATCTTTCATCCCTCGAATGCAGATGCATTATTTAAAAAGGTAAATGTTATCTGATCATAATTTCTTTATCATGTTAGACAAAAAAAAATTGATTCTTCATAATCATACACAATTTAGAGAAATAAATTTATTTTGAGTAAATATTTAAAGTGAGGATTTTAATTAATATTTGTTCCATTTTAGGTGGTTTGTATAATCATTAAAGAGCTAGGCTTGTTATTACCATGCATCTCAGAAAACCAGATCACTGTGAGAACAAAGCTAACATCATTACCAAGATCCAGAGGTATACTGTTACATGTAATGAAAAATGTATTTATATTTATCTTCTCATACAAATATATATTTTAATTTGAGAAACTTTGAGCATAACTGTTAAAAATGGATAGTTTAATTTATCAGCAACAGAAGTCAAAACATACAATCAACTGAGCACTTGTGGAAAAGGATATGTCTGCTGCACTGGTGTTGTAGTTGGGAAAACCGAGACATCAAAATACACGTAAGAATTAGAATAATATGTACATCCTATACTAACATATTTTTCTTTCTTCTTTTTTAAAATTATGTACATAATTTATGCTCTTTGACATAAATTGATTCAGAAATTTTATTTTTCAGTCAAAGTACACAGTACATTTGCACAGATAAATCTTGTGAAGGAAGTGAGGAAAATCATTTCATTAGAATACATGTTCCTGGAGCTCTAGAAATTGAAACCATTAGGTGAGAGGTATTTTGTTTTTTAATTGATGGAAAAGAGGGTAAATTTTTTAATTTTTTTTAAGGTTATGTCATTTAATTAAACAATACATGTATATGGTTTGATCAAAATAATACAATTGTATGTGTGCAGTGCAGAAGGGGATGTACTGGTATATTAATTTGTGTGTGTGGGGGGGGGGGGGATGCAATTAAAACAATTAGTTATTGCATCAAAATACATGTACCTAGCACATGACACGTGTAATGCAATACAAACAAACTGCAAATTAATTTTTACTTTAAAAATAAACATTTACAGGAAAGATTTCAAATGCAGATTTTGTGGACAGATTTTAGAAGAAGTTGTCTCCTGTAGGCACCTATCGGGTGAGAAAAATCTCCTTTTTCATATTTTTTATTAAAGTATATTCCTAGCAACTTTTTAAGGAGTTGGCATTGCAGCACATTTTAGAAAACAAAGTTTAGTTTCAGTCTGGTGAAGCTTTTGTGATATATATGTCATTATGAAAGATGATGTTGCAATGGTGCTCATTTTTTTTAGTGATTGGGAATGTATGGTATAAGAAATTTTACAATTTTAATAGATAAAATGATGGCAGAAGTGATCCCAGAGAGCTACTTGAAATGCAACAATCTCTCAAGATTCAAGCAGCAAATAATAACATTGCTGTTAAGAGGTAAAAACTCTGAATATCAGTATTAGTTTAGCTTTGAAATATTAATAATCATAGTAACTGAAAATGTGTTTTCATTTTAATGAAAACACATTTTCAGTTACTAGTACTATAATTATTTAATTAATATTAATTACACAACTGTGTTATTTTTATGTTTGATGAATATATCCTTTTATGAAAACAACAAAATGAAAACAGACTTTAAAATAAAATTTATACAGTATTTGATTAAGATTTAAAAATGTCTTTACCACTGTTTATGCTTGGAACATCTATATAACAAGTACGAAAGGAACTCATCTAATCTATAGCTCAGTAAACTTTTTGTTCATTTTATCAAAGTTTGTCCATTATCTGTTAGCAGATATAACTTTTATTTAGCAAAACTTTGCAGCTATTGTGTCAAGTAAAACATGGTGGACACATAGGGATAGCTTTTGTCATCTTCCTTTTGGAAGGATTCACAATTCACTGAAATTAACTGCAGCAACCCTGTTTCTTTGGACACTAGTTTTCAAATTCAAGTCTGCCATAAAAAAATGATTTTAAGGGGGAATTTAAGTTTTTAGCTTTGTTAATCAAGGAATATGCCAGTACATATCATAATTACATGCACAGGATGGAGTTAGCTGCAGGGTGGAACAATGGAATTTTAATTAATTATATGTATTCCATAGTATACAAGCAAAAAAATCCATATAAAATCTTCTTAAGAACTTTGTAAATTTTCAAATTTGTGAAAATTTTATTTTATAAGAAATATATCATGACGGAATGGAATGCAGATTACAATGGTAATATAGTGGTAATTGTGTTGATAATGCAAGGATGAGCTTTAGCACTGTGGTTCAGGTGAGTGTTGTGGCCCATGAACCCCCTTGTCTAATTATTACTTTAGATGAACTCACAGTGGCTCTGAAAATAGGACAAAAGTACACATTCATTGGAATAGTCAGAAAGGATTCCTCTTCTGATAGAATCATCACAGCCATAGAGGTAAGATATCCGAACTTATAACAGATCACCAATTTTTAGTATACTGGTCGAAGACTCAAAAGTGTTTTATTTTGATGAATTCTTAGACTTAATCAACAAGTGATATTTTGGATTCAAATGGGCTGAAACAGCCTTTATACCTCAATCACATTTAAACTGATGGTCGGATGACTAGGATATCTTTTGGTTGGCTGAAAAATACACTATCGCATTCTTGTTATGCATTATTATATTATTTTTCAGGTGAACAATGCGTTGGAAGTAAGTATTGGAAAATTGGATGCCTCATTTATGACATTTGTATTCTACATTCCTCTACATATAAATTAAAATGTTGAATGCCTCAGTGCCTCAGATATGACATAGTACATAATATTCCTTTAAATTAGTTTTTTATTTTTCTATTTTTTTTTTTAAATACATCTTTAAAATTTACAGGATTATGTTTCAGAATGTACAAGTATACCAAAAAGTATTGAGGTATATTGTAAATGTATGTATTTAAAAATTTAAAGAAATATGTTAAAGATATCTTAATCGTACTTCAAGCATTTTATCCAAATGTTCCGTTCTAGCTTCTTTAATTAATGATTGAAATTGATTGAACTTTTATTTATCATTAACCATGTTTTTTTTATTTTAGATAAGAGGAAGTACAATTTGCCCAAAATGTTGGCTTACGTCTTTGGAGGTACATTTACATACTACGTTTAGAGAAATAAATAGATGGGAAAAAGTTCCTGTGTTTCAGCTTAACTTTCACGGATTTGGTATACTAGTACATTTCCGATATGTATTTCATGATAGAAAATACGGTATTATAATAAAGAGCAATTGAACAGTGTGTTTTTCATTAAAAATACCTTCATAAGTTAGCAAACTACTAGAGCCAATATACAATAAACCAGAGAGCTGAAACTAAAATGCGGAGTAATATGACATAGAACAAGCTCTCCAGCAAATCACTTTCGTCTGATGCTCTTTTTCTGTGAAAATAACAATTATGGGAGATTCTTATCATTACCCCCCCCCCCCCGTTAACGTTTAACATAAAAATGTTAAGTAATGGGGTAAAGTTATCCAGAACTTACCCAAACTAAGTAATATAAGAAACAAAATACTAGTAAACCCCAGTACAGAAACTGGACTATGGAGTAACACCCCTCTTGGTCCCTTATACTATCATAATAAAGATTAGTATGAGAGACAATATTATTATCTGTACAGAAACTACACAATGGAGTAACATTCTTCTAGAAGGCTATGAACTTAAACAACGAAGAAATTCCTCTAAAAGGTTATGAACAGTTTTCTTGAGACAAAACCTTTACTCTGGAGTTAATTTCCTCCAGAAGACTATGTAAGAACTGAGCAACATTCCTCTAAATTACTCCGTAGATCAGTTTCTGTACGTGGATTATTTCATGTCATTAATACTATTTTTTAATTGGCGTTAATATTCCGGATCCAAGAAGAATAACCTTCAAAAGGAATGTGTCTACTGTATGTATGTATGTACACACTACATTGTTTTGTTTTTGCTTCTTGAGAAGTTCATAACTTTCTAGAGGAATTTAACTTCATGTTTTTATGTGACTAGCATAACTGCATGTTTATAATCTTCTAAAGGAATGTTATTCCGTTTTTTCATTAGCCTTTGATAGGAATGTTACACAGTAAAACTTGATAAAGTCTTCTTGAAGAATACATCTCCGTTGTTAATTTTTCGTCTCACCAGTTCTGTTCATAGCCTTCTAGAGGAATGACGCTCCAGTTTATAACTGCCATATCCTACTCTGTCGTTTAATTTTTGTCTTTAAAGAACTGTTTATAGATTGTAGAGGAATGCAGGCCCGTAGGAAGCAATTTCAGTTTCGGGGGGGGGGGGGGAGGGGGGGCACAGTCATACATATTCAGTTGGGGGCACTATCAACTACCAAAAATTCCTTGACAAGCAAAAAAAAAAGGTCATCAGACGTTTTTATTGAGGGGGCACAAGCTAAAAGTAGCTAAATTTTCTATAGTCATCTATATATCGGCAAAATTATTGGGGGGGGGGCACGCCCCCCCCCCCGGTTCCTACGGCCATGGAATGTTAATCCAGAGTAACATGGATAATGATAAAATAATTGATTTTTAATAATTTCCGCCGTTATGATTATTTTTCCACAGAAAAATAAGCATCACCGGAAGGTGGTTGCTGGAGAGTTACCTTAGTTTAGTTTTCATTGTCTCGAACCTGGAGTAAAATTACTTCGAGATACGGTTTTTGTTTTCTGGCTTATTGTGTGTTATCTCGTTTACTTTGTTAACTTATGAATAAATATTTGAATAAAAAAGATATAACTGAGTTGTTTTGTTTTGTTTGTTTGTTGTTGTTGTTTTTAATTTTATTATTATTATTATTATTATTTTTTAAATTTTTATAAGGATACATGTATGTATAATAGAGTCTGTGAGGAAATATTTATCTTTTAAAACTTAAACCTGTAAACGTTAATACCTAAGGAGATGGGCGAACATAGCGTATAGAAAGCCTATAGCTTCAGATATATAAAAATCATGTTCAGTTTGTGAATTTAGTATTTAGAGTAAAGTTCTCATTATTGAAATTTATGAAATTGTGATAACACTTTTCTGAGGAAAATTTTCTCGGCAAAATTTATTCTTTTATTGAAAAATTAATTTGGTATTCGTGGGTTCGAACCCTAGCAATAAAAATCCTTAGTATTATTTTCTTTCGAGACTAGCACGCTAACCACTAGACTACACAAGTCCTGTTTGAATAGTGGCATTTAAATCATGTTTGTGATATGACCCTTGACTTAATGGACTTCAAGTATTTCTCGAAAAGATGCGAATGTTATGTCATAAAAGTATATTTTTGAGGTATAGTGGGTCATTGCTCCATATTTTTGGTAACCAAAAAATGTATATTTTTATGCAAACTTTGAGGATTAACTTTCAAAAAGGTGGAGCGAAGACCCACTCATATCGAAAAATAGTATTATAGTATGAGAAAATGACTTTTTGCTCGCTTTAGTGTGTGTCTGATATTTCACAGGCAAATAATTTCAATCTTTGAGGGATTTTTGCAAATTATAGAGATTTTACATAAAGTATAATTTAATGTTAGACGAAATATCAAGGAAAATTTTGATATAATTGAAATTTAATTTTTCATCTTCATGTTTGTCACACTATAGGCTTATCGCTCGTCATGTTCACCCATCTCCTTTTTGCTGTCCCTTATATATATCCTAATATAAATTGAATGTAGAAAGTGTTAGCTTAGTTGATATATAAAGTATAAACATATTGGACTAGACCATACAAAGCTTGATTCGATGTATAATAGAGTTGTATTTGCTATTTTCAGTATATATTTGACGTAATGCTAATAAAATGAGTTGAAAAGATAAAAAACAAACATGAACTATTGAATAAAATGTTTGAACTAAATCCTTTGATTATTATTCAGTTTTAATTATAAGAGTTACCTCCTGTTGAAAAATCTGGGGAAAAAAAATAAATTTCTCTAAAACTTATCATGGTAATGCATCAAGCTTCTGTGTATAACTAGTTTATAAAAGAAATTTTTTGCTAGTGTGTCTTTTACTTTGATCCCTGAAATATCGGCACAATTTCCTTGATTTAGTTCTGTTAAGAATTTATTTTGGGTTAATTATGCATCAAATACCTTGAACTATATACATGCATTTCGGTATTCCTTTATGGAATTGAACTCGTGTATAATCTATGTTTGAAACGAATGTCTAATCAAACATGTACTTATGTTGCATATTTCTAGATCAAATCTGTCCTCCGGGAACATATATGAAGCTCAAGTTGTCATGTTTGCTAAGTCTAGCATCAGCATCACAGACACAGGTACTGATTTTGAACTGAATTATATTAATTTTATTAATGTTTGTCTTTAAAGGGTACAACATGGGTTTTATCACTTTTATGTAACCTCTAGTCAGTGGATAATTTCTTTAGTTACATGTATATTTTTAAGAACTAGTATCATACTAGTATCAGGCATTCCCATAGGATCTTGTGACGTTGACACATAAAACTCATAAGGACTGAGATCTTGCATACAATAGTATTGTTTAGACTTATCTTCTTCTATGCTTACTAACACCTAGCTGACAAAGTGTGTGCACGATGCCCTCTTGTTGCAGTGTTCTTGTATTATTTTGGTCTCCTAATGTTTAAAGCAGCTTTTGTCTGTATTACATAACAATAACACTAGATCATTGAGAAAGAAATCCCTTTTAGAGTCATAACTCTAGTTGAGAAGCATAAGAGATCATATCGGAAAAGAATGTTAAAACATGAATAGATGTGCTTGTTAGCCTCACGAAAATCAGTTTATATTAGGCATTTTTATAGAGAAACTTGAGAAGCTTACAAGACGTGCATATATAGATCATTTTGATACAAACTGACATTCAGAGCCTTTTGACGTAATCGCTCACCTCAATAACCTTGAGATGTCTGAGCTAATGCCTAAATTCGTAACATCTACAGGTATCCCAAGATAGAGTTTAAGAGCTTATCCAGTTCTAAGCTATTATCAACTTCGCCAGCCAAGGGTGACGATTCGCTACTCTGCGACGAAAAGAGTAGCTAGAGGAGCAGATCGTCATACTTGGCTAGCGAAGTTGATTTTTTTTAAAGTATTGGATGCTCCATTGTACCCATATTTTACAAATGTGTAGCCATGCAGGTCAACGTTTTAAAGCAGAGGCATTTCCAGTTATTTGTTAGCCTAACACGAACACAAGGATAAAATGCTGCATTTGGGGATGTTTCTACTTTAGTATTGTTTCTATGTGTTTTTTTTAAGATGTGTAACTAAAACACATCGAATATTTATTTTGTTTGATACTTCACCTTGCTTTTATAGATTGTATATGTTGAATGTTGATTGTGCATGTTTTTTGGACTTTGAAGCTATTACATTCATTAAATAATTGAAAGACTTGTTAATTTGTACATCATTATTGTTGAAGAACTTGAGTATTTCAGTATGCAAGAGACAAATTACTAGTAAATTTCTAATGCTATATACTATAATATACAATGAAAAACTACCTTTTTGAGATTTGACACCATATACCGGGTACATGTTTGAGGGTTGTCCCAGAAAAACGAGACATTTTTAATATTTTTTGTTTCATTAATATAAATCAGGTAAAAATTGCCATGCATTATCATTATCACTTTTAATGTTACATAGAAATTTTAACAAAATAACATAACAAAATAACTCTTAGTTTAAGGAATCTTACATGATACATGTAGCTGTAGGCGCGACACGACGACGTTAAAATGTAGATCGTCGCGTTTGTGAATTTGTAAAGAAGTGGGTCTTTATTTCTAGAGTTTGAAAAATTTGATTGACTAAAAAAATTGATACTACATTTGATTTTCAATTAATCAAAATTTTCATCTTGGACATACTAGAGACATACACATGTAGAGAGATCGCGAAATTAAAGTCTTGAATAGGAAACTTCCCAAACCCGATCATAAACTTCTCCAGAAGTTACACGGCGGCCTCCATATACGACGACAAGCTCCGGACTTTTGACATATTTTTGGTCTTGCAAGCGTCTTTACCTTCGGATAACGTCATGTATTTGCCAATTATGATGTTAAATAAATGAATTTTCAGATATTCGTATTCCAGATCGATGTAATTTTTTTGTCACGTTGGATTTTGGTACACTCGATTAATACCGATGATACTATTTTTCAAAATGAAAAAAAATGCGGTGCACGGACCATTGATATAAAACACTATTTAAATGCCGTTTAAATATACATTTGCCATTAGAACCTGTTAAAAATGTATCATTTCACAAGAACGAAATTATCAGATCCCAGCAATGTGCATTGCTGGGATCTGATATTGGTCGAGTAGCTTATGAAATATTTCAAAAAACGGCGGTTTTATAGGACAACCATTTGTTACACAGGTCCAGCATGTACATGTGCTAGCCATTGGTAGAGACACAGAAATTCTGCACAGATTGCTCCAGTATTCTGTGCAATTTACTAACAGGAGTTTAGTATTTTCCTCTGGAAACCATCTTGTATCCAAGGTTATACCAGATAGATACAACAGTTCCAGTTATTTAATTGAAGGTACATGTATACTTTAACTTTTTAAAAGAATATTTGTACATGGTTGAATTTGAAGCATTGATTAATAAAGATTTTGATTGTAGGAGGTACACTGTTGTTAGCAAGTGATGGTATTTGCTATCTAGGGGATGTCAGCAAATTCAAAAAGCAAACCTTTGAGAAACTTCAATCTGGTGAAACTTTATATACATGTTTCTGACTTTCTTGTATATACTTTGTACTAGTAGTCTTGAAAGAATGCTAATGATACTAAATTATTAAAATTATTATTAAATATAATGTGGTTTTTTCATCTAAAATTTCTGGAAGTTTAAATGATTTTCAGCATTATCGAGTGGAAAAGTGCTGATTGATATAGACAGTAAATTTACAAAAGGGCTGGCTGTATCCATTGAGCAACCATTAAAGTGTAGTGTGTGGGCTTATACTGACAAGTTACACCAGAGTAGACTGAAAGAAGAATTCTTCGGAGATGGAGAAACGAGCTCTGTTCTGAGAGCCTTGTCAGAGTAAGATGCTAGAGATTAAAAAACATTATTTGCAGGTATTACCTTTTGCAAGAGTAATTTATTTTACGATTTGGAGTTTTAATGTTTGAGTATTATCCATTGGATAAGACATATTAACCACAATTTCGTGACACAATGATATATTCTGGTACAACACTGCTAAATGGCCATAAATGCCAAATAAAGATCTAATTTTGGAAAATTACACGGGTAAAATATTCTTGAAGGGACATAAAGCAAGCAATATGGTTTCTGTAGACTTTGTGGGGTTCAAAATGCTGACGATTAATATGGTTTCAAAAAGTAAAAATTAACCATGCAGGGATTCTAATTAACCAAATAATTTTTCAGAGGTTTTAGCATTGTTCAGATTATAGATGGGGATGAGCTCTCACACAGTGAAGAAGTGGATTTCCACACCTCTTACCAAACCCTGAAAATGTCAATGGAAGAAGCAGAGAACAGTTTCCATTTTCCTGTGTCCTTCAATGATATCGAGAAAGTAAATTCATTATTTTTTCTTTCTTTTACTCGAGTATTCATGGTCAAATTAATCATATTTCTATCCTCTGTACTTCGGTTTTTAATTAACATTTTTGGTCATACATGTAACTTTTCAACTCTACGTTGACGTTGATTCTGACCACACATTGGCTTGAGGTCTTAGCTTTTTTAAGGTTAATCATGTTTAGAGGTTGAAGGTCAAGCAGGGATTTGGGACTTTATGTTAAACAAGTATATCACATTTTAGATACAATTAAATGATTTTGTAGAACATTCTATTAAGAATGTGAGAATTCTGTGAAGTCTACATAATCATTTATTTGACATGCATCTATATTCGAATACATGCAAAACTAATTAATAAATGATTCCAGTATTTAAAGCACTCCCAAAATCTTCAAGTGAAAATGAGCTCAGAAGCTGAAAAACTCCTTCATCGATATTACCTTGCAACAAGGAAAGCCAGAAACTTGTCTAATGGCAGCATTATAACATCTAGTGCTTTATCTGCACTGTAAGTACCTGTACATTTTGAAAACACATTAAAAGAAAGTGACTATAATGTAGGGGAAAAGTCAATCCATCTTGTGATATAAAACTTTTACAGGATTTCACACACTGCACAATAGTCATGTACTTTGTGGTAGATTTATTAAACTTCATATGTAAACATTTGTAGAATATCTATGGCAGAAGGTCATGCAAGACTTTGTCTTAAAAGCTATGTAGAAGAAGAAGATGCACTTGAAGTAATTCTGTTGTATGAGGAATCTTTGACTGCCATGTTTGGTACATGTAGTAACTACATTACTATTACTATATTGTAAAAAGTAAAGAGTGTTTATTGTGTTGATGTTGATTTATTAAAATTGATAGAGTTGATATATTTGTTGCTAACTAGGTCCCTCAGTATTAAGTGTTCCTCCTCTGCCACATATCCCAGGAGACCTCATTGATGACTACCTAGATAATCAGGTATTTTATTCCAGCATTGTCTTAAATGGTCCATTTAACTTTTGGTAAGACACTAAAGCCATTTGCAGAAAATTGTTTTCTTTATTCCAGAAAAACAGATCTGTCTTACAGAGATTCAAAGCTAGATTGCAACAATTTGGTGACTTGCACCCAGGACATGAAGAATGATGATATTTGTATTAATGTGGAGTGGATTTGGTAAAGTTTTAGATCCTTACTTATTGATTTCACTTTTCTTGGATAGTGGAATATGTACTACTGTAAAAGTACTTCTATTAGGCCAAAAAAAAATAATCAATAGTTTCTCAGGCACCGCCGCATCAGGTCAAAAACGGCCGCATTGATCAATTTTATTGACATTTTGAAAAGGGAAATAACTCAATTTTCTATTTCTACAAGTTCAAAAAGAAAATTGAGTTATTTCCCTTTTCATAACAATAATAGATAGACGTTTTTATTAGATAAACAATATTCTTCTAGTCTATACAGTCCTTTATTAACTAACTTTTAAAGAAATGTTTAGAATAACATTATTTAAAGTTGAATACATTATAATTAGTATATTAAGAGAACAAAAAAGTGAGAATCAGTTTATATCATCATTTTGTTGAACGATGGACATGAAAGAAAGATACCTGCTAAAAAAAAAAAACCAAAAAAAACCTGCCTGCTGCATTGAATTTTGAAATTTTTGGCCCGAGAAACTATTAATCAATTTTTTATGGCCTTAGTGGAAGTCAATTTTTTAAAGAACTTTTTTGCACTGCTTCTTGTCTGTTAACTCATGTACATGCTAATACATGATTAAAACTAAAACATAACATGACTTAAGATTCGCATGCACTAATTCATGATTAAGCTAATCAGTTGATGAGGAATGTTGTGATAAATTTTGAGTGTGGTAATTTTTAACATTTTTTTTTCTTTACCAATCAAGTATCTGCATGCAATATGATTCTTCTTTGATGGTTGATAATAATGGTGGGTATCTGTGTGAAGATTTATACTTTTATTTGTCGAAAAATGTGACTAAGGTGAGTTGTTTGGCTCATTGGTCTTTTGTATGGGTTGAATGATATTTTGAATGCTCCATGAAAGTTTTCTACACTGCAAAAAAATTAGAACAAAGTTTCTTTTAAGTATTTATTTTATTAAAAGTGTTTTATATAAAAAGTTATGATATAGAGAGATAAGTTTTACAATATATAATATTCAAAACAATTTTAAAAAGGTATATATAAAAATATATATATATCATAGCTACATATAATTCAACTGGTTAAGACAACTTACTTTTAAGACTTGAGCAACCTCAGTTAAGTTACAACTACAATGTTATAGATATTTAAAACCTGAATATTAAACACTGAGAAATCAGTGGAATTTTTATGATATACCTTTTAATATAAAAAATATCATCATCTCGAATTTATAAAAAATAAAAGCATTTAGACAAAGTAGTATTCCAGGAGATACGTGTCATTACCCATCTTCTACAGATTTTCTATAGACGTCTGTTCCAGAAGCAAAACTGTTTATTTATAAACACCTTTGCTGAATTGCTCAGTTGTAAGGTGTTGGAACACTGCAATTGCTGTAGTACTAAATATTTAGAGGATGAAAAATGGTGAAAAGAGACTCAGCATTTCTGTATTGATATGTATAATTTGCAGATATGAGCAGTAACATCTATTCATATATAAATATATACCCTTCTTGTCATCAACATATATTGCACACTCGGAAGAATTATTTACATAGAACAATCACATTAGAAATCTTTTTCCTGGATTGGTGAAGTTCATGTTTTGAAGATCATTTTTGTCATGCTATACTAAACATTCTTCTGTTCAAAAATATTTGGAGGATTTTATCAAAGTTGCAATAATGCAAATGTCAATAGGATTTCCATGTTTTGCATGGTTTTAAAAAATCCATCACAGTTATTTTAATGCCTTAGAACTAATTATGATTATAGAATGCAAAAAAATGTTTTACTTGTAATAAGATGGTTTGTGAAGTTTTTGAGTCACTTGACTTTGTGTCACCTCATTCTAGAACAAAGCTAGAACCCTGAAATGAGCTTATTTTATAGATATAATATCACAACACTTAAAGGATATAATATAATACAAATGGTGGGGGAAAACAAAAGCAATATAAAGAGGAAAAAAGTAAAGTATCTAAAATATTGAGATAATCACTAAATGATATTTTCTTGTCTTTTTTTCACAGTCTTTGATCATAACCATTTTTTTCACTCTCAACAACGTAAGGTTTGCCTTTCTCAGAGACATATCCCATGTTAGTTGCCCCTTGAGGCCCTGGTCCATCCTTGCCAAATTCTGCAGCATGTCGTGGAGAGTATCTGCCAACTCTGTCTTCATCCAAAGCAGGTCCCCAGTCTTCCTGAGGTTTTAAAGCATTTAGAATCTAAAGAAACACCAAAATACATATTAAATCTCAAAACAAGAAAGCACAAGTGTGATCTATGGAAGAATATTCCTAAAGATGCAGGACTGGAACAGGAACAATAGTCAAATGAAACAATTATCATTTCAATGAAGACTGAATTTTTTAAACTTACTCCACCATATCGGATACTCTGGACAATCATTCCTCCCAATATCAGTGCCAATGGTGATACTACCATAAGCCAACCAAGACCCTCAGCAAATGATGGGAAAATGTATTTGCCTTCGTATTTGGAGTAGTATGCAGGAGCATATGTAATTCCAGACATAATCACAATAAACTGCAACATGAATTGATAAGTTGTTCACATCAAAGCTTATAAATTGTACTGAATATGGGGGAACAATGTGCAGAATTAAAATATGTGGAAAATGAGGAGATATCATTGCTACTTACGATAATTGCGACAGGTGTGATGAAGCACCAAGTCACAAACCAGTATACCCAGAAAACTTTGGGGAATCCACCCAACATCATTTCTATATCTTTCCTGAAGTTGTTTACACCTGTGAATGAATGGGAAGAAATATCCCATGATAATTAAGCAATCCATTTAAAAAAAATCATTAGAATTAAGTTATATGATGTGCCAGTTTAAAAAAAAATCATGTTAAAAAATTGATAAACATATACAAATACATGTCTGAAACCATGAGTTTACCAAATTATATTGTGTAGCTTCATTACTTACCATATACATAGCATATGGCTACCAATTCACACAAGCTGACTATCATCAGGTTGTAGCTTCCCGAGTACCAATCCATTAACGTCAATACATAAATTCCTCCCTAACAAGACAAAAATACCATATTCTCATGCTTTAAAGCTTCCTTCGTAAAATTTCAAAATAAGTTATGCAGGTTGATAATAAAGTCCCATTTTATAGTAGATATCTTGAGGAGAAGAGATCTGCTGTACCTTACAGACTTGGGGAATTCCCAATACAAATCCAATCATACATGCTGCAAAAGTAAAGAGAGTCTTATGTCTCCTGAGGACCCGAGGAAAGACATCTGCAAACCCACTAATGACTGTCTCCATCATTGCAAACTGTCAAACCAATATGCATTGATTATTTAAAAGAAACAACATTGTATAAATTTTACTTAGATAAAAAGTATTTGAACTTAATTTCTTAGTAAAAATGTTCTCACAGTGCCAGGGCACTGCTTTAATTAGTCTTTACCTGACTGTCAAGTCCAAGGGTGAAAATCATGAAAAAGAAGAGGAATGCAACAATTGGTGGCCATGGGTCTGCTAATTTGGCAATTCCCTCAGGATAAGCAACAAAGGCAAGACCAGGTCCTAGAAAAAAAAACCAAACATACAGTTAATTTTTATCACATTGAGGAAAATCATTTGTATAAGTGTATATGTCTCCCTTATTATTTTTGAAGATATTTTTTTTTATGTTTATTTACCTGAATCTGCTACATCTTCAACTTTCCTGTTTGTGATGTAAGCCATGTGGCCCAGCAATGAGAATATGGCAAAGCCAGCAAATACACTGGTACAGCAATTGATTAAGGACACAATCAGGGAATCTCTAAAATAAATTAGTTTTAGCATTAAAAATGCTAGCTATTTGCAACATTAAATAAGAAATGAAATTTCCTCTGAATTGGTTGTTAATATTTACCTTAAAGTATTATTTTTGAATTTGTTGTAACTGGCCATAGTCAGCAAGCCTCCAAAGGCTACACCCAAAGAATAGAAAATCTGAGTTGCTGCATCTCCCCATACCTATTTGAATATTCAAGCAGGATTTTTTAGATGAAAATAATTTTGCTAGCTGAAATCTATTGACACTCTTTAAATAATGTTTAACTGACTACCTTTGGCTTGCTAATTTCCTCCCATTTTGGAATGATATAGAAGAGTATGCCGTCATAATAACCATCCAAAGTCACACCTCTGATCAGGAGAATAATTAATACAACATATGGGAAAGTGGCAGTAAAGTATACAACCTGTACAGCAGAAAAAAAAACACGAGTATAAGAAATGATATTTCATGTTCATGAGATGATGCTCTATATGCTTAAGAATATCAATTATGAATAGGGATGGCAATCGGATAAATTTTTGTAAATGGTTAGTCGTAAATTCCGACCGAGTAACCGATTAATTGGACAGACAAGTTAAATTCATGGAAAGCAATTTGTAAGAAAAAATCTGAGCTATGATAGTCATAATTCTTTACTTTTCAATCGAAGTAGAAAGAGATATTTAGCATGATAATCGGAATCAAATTACATTTTCAACGGCATTCTTACATCTTACTGTTTTCTCTTCGTGGTTATGTTTATGCATCTTTTTTAAAAATTATTTTTTATCAACCACTGATCATGAGTGGTGATTTCGCAACTTGTTTCAAAAATCACTCTTACGGCACATACATACGTTCAAGGAATATGAAGATACTTTCGTGCAAAATTGAACGTAGAGTGAAGTTTGCGCCATTATTATCTTGCCGCTTCGGAGGGATATTTGGATGTTTAAAAAAAAAAGAAAAGGGAAGAAGTGTAGCTATTGTTTGGATTCGGGTTTTGTACTCATGGAAGTAAAATTTCATTGCCCCGCTCTCTATAAAAAGATGGCCAAGGGTGGTGACATTTTGCTGAAGGTATTGCAAAGTTTCGCAATGATTTATACAACTAGAACTAATACTTTGTAAAACATTGCTGAGTAGACAATCAGTTGCTGTTTTTAAAGCATGAATTGGAACAAAACCAGAATTTTATTAATACGGGGTGGGGGAGGGGGTACTTAAACTTTTATTAGTATGCACGCAGGGTTACAAGCACTATATCACAGGAACTTTTTTTTGATGGCGGCGGATTCTTGTGCATTATTTAATATGTCTAATTCATTGTTATAGATATAAACACGATACCTAAGAGTTTTATAGGAGAAAAAATATTCAAAAAATTCTGCTACAAAAATATCGACAACCCGGTTACGATTAGTCGGTTTACCGTTGTCATCCCTAACTATGTGATCATTTATACGTAATTTGTACAGAAGCTTAAGATTTGCTTCAGTTATACATACGAAGCATCCTGGGGTAGTGTAGATTCTAAATTGTTCAAAACATGACCCCCAGGGGTATGGTGGAGCCACAAAAGGGAAGAAAAGTATTACATTGAAAAATAATGAAAAAAAATCTGTAAAAATCTCCTCCTCCAGAAAAGCTGAAACTTATGTGGAAGCATCCTGGGATAGTGTAGATCCTAAATTGTTAAAATCATGACCCCTGGGGTTGGGTGGGGCCACAGTAAGTATTACAAGGGGAGGGGAAATCTGGTGAAGAACAGCAGGACCAAAGCTACTCAGGAGAGCGCTGTGGCCCAGGGGCCTCTATTTTAATGTTTTTCCTATAGCTTAATTTAAACTATGTTATGTTTCACCATTGTAAATAAATTGCAATCCCAAAAGTGCTGTGTGTATTTTGCTGAGAGAAAGAACTTCAGTGAATATTTATAAGGAAGGATTTTCATTTTAGTTTGTTTGAATTTCTTTTAATCACTTTGAATTGTTAGGTGGCTATTATCTTTGCATCACTCGATCATGTTAGACATTTCACTGGAAGATTCTAGTATCCTCTGGTCATTTGTACATGTAAACTACGGTATTGTAAATATTTTTTTAGAGATTGTATTCTTATTTGTTGTATTTGTTTATTTTATACTTTCTTTTTCGTAAAGATAGTACAGATGATTCTAAATAATAATCAGCCTGCATTATAATGAAACAAAATCTATCTATTTCATATGTTTATATAATATAGTGAACTTACTTTGCCAGATGATTTTACTCCTTTCATTAGGCAGAAGAAAATGAAAACCCATGCAAACAGTAAACAGATAAGATTTCTAATGCTGACATCTCCAATGTCATCCAAACCTTCAGGTGCATCTTGCAGCTGAAGCACTTGTCTTCTGTAATTCACATAGAAGAGAAAATGCATTATGTTTCGTATTTTTATCAATTTTTTTATAATCATCTATCAAAAATTACTAGTATAAGCTCCAAGTTAGATTTATTGTTTTACCATTATATTTTTAGTCTTCTATGGAGTTCGATTTTATTTTGCTGTAAAAAATTCGCGTGGTTTAGATGTAGCTTAATAATGCATGAAAGAAAATTAGTTTTATGCCGATCACTTACGTCCAGAACTCCTCACTAGCTGTTCTAAATTTTCTTTTACATGCTTCTGTGAAGTTGGATTGTAGGATTGTGGAGTTGAATCCTGAGTAATTCGCAAAGTTTGTACCATAGAAACTATTTACGTCTCCCACAGTATTGTTCAGACAGTCGTGAAAATTTAGTGCTGTCAGAAAGAAAACGATAGTCTAAATTATTCGAAGACCAAGGGTTTCTTTTTAGCTTTTCTGATAACATTTTCTCTGTCGTCCGTCTGTTCACATTTTCGACTTCTCCAGAACCACTAAGCCAATTTCAACCAAACTTGCCACAAAGCATCCTTGAATAAAGGGGATTTAATTTTGTTCACATGAAGGCCCACGCTCTCTTTTAAGGGGAGATAATTAAGAATTAGTGAAGATTTGGTAGCATCTTTAAAAAATCTTCTCAAGAACTACTGGGCCAAAAAAGTTGAAACTTAGGTTAAACCTTAATTAGATAGTGTAGATTCAAGTTTGTTCAAATCATGACCCCCGGGGGTTGGGTGGTGTCACACTGGGGGATCAAATTTTTACATAGGAATATATGGGAAGAAAATCTACTACTCAAGAACAGCAATGCCATGATTAGTCATATTCATGTGGAAGCATCCTCTGGTAGTGTAGATTCAAATTTGTTCAAATCATGACCCCTGGAGGTAGGGTGGGGCCACAATGGGGGATCAAAGTTTTACATAGGAATATATATGAAAAAAATCTTTAAAAATCTTCTCAAGAACAGCAAATGCATGATTAGTCATATTGATATGGAAATTTTCTCAGTGTAGATTCAAATTTGTTCAGATCATGACCCCCAGGGGTTGGGTGGGGCCACAATGGGGGATTTTACATAGAAATATTTTGGAAAAAATCTTTAAAAATTTTCTTAAGAACAGCAAATGCATGATCAGTTATATTGATGTGGAAGCATCCTCAGGGTGTGTTCAAATCAGATTCAAGTTTGTTCAAATCAAGACCCCGGGGGGTAGGTTGTGACTACAATGGGTAATCAAAGTTTTACCCAGAGATATATAATAGAAAAAAATTTGATAAAGAACAGCAGGGCCATATTGACTCAGATGAGCGTTGCAGCCCATGGGACTCTTGTTTAAAGCAATGCTTACATTAGTCTTATGTTAGAAAGTGTCCTGTGTGTAAGTGGGTAGGTGGTTCAAATGTGTCTATGTTAACTTTTCATGTTTCTTATTTCATTAATTTCCTTACTTAGAAGGCTTGCTGTTTTGTTGCCTTCGTCCATCTCGGATAATTTTGGATATGGCTTAAGTCTGCAATCGTCTGTATTCCATGTGTTGTTGCAGGATTGCCATGGTAACACTGTGTCTATGCTGACAAAGGACACAAACATATAGTAGATTGCGTACATGATGATGACGTTGTAGTAAATGCTGACCATAGCACTAATCAGACACATGGCCCAGCCAATACCTGGAATCCAAGGGGAAACAGAGATATAGAATAGTTTTACACTCAAGTATAATGAAGAATTTCAAAGCAACCTATGAATTTGTTTTTTTAATCAGAAAAGTCTTACAACTTTCACAGTGTTTATTTACCCATGAAAAATGGACTGACTTTCCATACTGTGACGGGACCTTCAGAGGCGAATTGGCCGAAAGAAAGTTCCAAAAAGAACAGTGGAATTCCAGCGATGACCAACATGATTGCATAAGGAATCAAAAAGGCGCCTGCAAATTTATATTCAACCATACTAGTCTTCAGCAAAGAAAAAGTTAATGCTTAACCTAAGTATATTTTTTTATCATGTTACATTTTTTAGCATTGTCAGAAGATAAATTGGTATACGTATTACCTCCTCCATTTCTGTAGCAAAGGTATGGGAATCTCCAAACGTTTCCCAAACCCACGGCATAACCAATACAGGACAAAATAAAGTCCAGTTGTCCTGTCCAGTTGCCACGCTCTATTTCCTCCTGCCCCTAAAATTAGAGGATTAAAAATATATATCTGCAAGAGGACAAATGTGAATGAGGATATTGCTTTTGTGTGGTGTGTCAGTTCTTGTTACCTCCAAACGATTTCTACTGTTATTTTGAGAGAAAAAATGTTTCATATCAAAGATGTTTTTGTGACTCCTTATTTTTTCATATACAGTATATTAGGGTAACAAAGGGTCTGCCGTGGACAGTAATTCTCAAGGGACAATGTAACCAATTAAATAGATTTTCAAAAAACTTTACCTAATTTCACACCATTCCTGGTTGATTGTAACCAAATAAAAGATGTTTTGAGTAAATAATTTTCGTAGATTCACTTACTCGGCATTTCATGCTGCAGGGGACAATATATTTAATATACAGGTCCGATAAAATTACTCGTTCCAAATTGAAAATTGATCTTTTTTTTCTTTCCAAAATTAAGGCTTTAAAAATCCAAAATGACAAGCAGATTCAATTTTTCAGTGTGTTGTTATCAGAAATCTGAATTTTCATATTATAATATTTCATTTTTTTACAATTTTAAATCCTTATTATACATGTGATTGAAAGGGTATAGGAGCCTATATCAAAAGGGGTCAATTATATACCTGTGCTGATATTTTCCATTTATGGAGAAAATACAGATATGTTCTCGGATAAAAGAACTTGACAGACTTCTGAATGCCTTTTGACTTTGAGTCTGTCATTCCCTGGCTATATAAACCTGCCAAGGGTACGGATGAATAAATACAATGTAGGTAAAAGCGTGTGCTTTTTATTGTATAAAACACATTCAATTTTAAATCTTGGTTTTCTTATGCATTGCTTATCATAACGGCTTTAACATATCAACATAACTTTTCATTAAAAATGTTTAAAATATTTTTGGGGGGAGAAACGAAGAAAATATATGATTATTAAATATATATACATGTCAGTGATACGATTCTGTAAGCACCAGCCACGCATCTCATTTCAATACTGGTATTTAAAATTTGTAATACGACCCTTAGGCAACTTGACATCACAAGGATCTTGAAGCAGATTTACACTTAAGTCAAATTTTTGATCACATGTAAAATGTTTATGAACTTATCTTGAGAAAGAATGAGAACAAGGAAACGATGTCTATTTCTTCATGAAGAAGTTGGAATGAGATACTGATTAGTTTGAATACCACTTAAAGAGGGAACGGGGTTAAAAAGTCCCTTCATCTGATCGTTTCCTTTTATTCGCTCTTAGCATAACGCAGGATTATACTTTTTCAGTCCCCGTTTTTAAATCCGAATAGTATACAATTACAAATTTGTTATTGCATACCATGGTCTATTTCTGTCCCTAATATCGTGTATTTAAAACGGCTTCTGAGATGCATATATGGAATCCTTGCATTGTCGAAGTAAAATATCAAGGCAGTGCACTGCAAACTGTATGGCCAAGCAACCTTTTGGGAAATGAATGTGATATCATAATGGTCCATAACTTTTTCCCTACATTTCGATATAGGTAAAAAGAACTTGGAAAGGAGTGCATTTGACCTCAACCAAAGTTTTGGCGGGTCTAAAAAACTGCATAAACCTTGGCAGTCATTGGAAAAATAGCCAATTAACATACATGTAGCCACAAATAGCGAGGCAAAACAATGCTCTGAACAAAAATTCATTCCGAGTTTGAATTTAAAACTGGTTTCGAGCCACAAAGAAGAAGCTTGGTCGTCCAGCACCTCTCGACTTTTCATTGAAATGTCATGCATGAACATTCGAGGTCATTTGAATAAACCATGCTTGTATAGTGCATTTATCTCAAGTTGCGTGATATTTTTGAGAAAGTTCAATTTGACCGGTACGAACTATATTTCTGAATTACTTTCTCAAACAATTACGAAGCCTATGACTATATAAAACTACTGAAACTTATTGAAATGTCCATCCAAATCATTTTTTGATTATATTTCTTAGGAGTTTCATATACTGCCGATATATATGGAGTAATTCCAAATTTTTGCTCAAAATTCATGTTTTGAAATCTTATTCGCAGTACAATATGTAACTATATAATTATTGATAATTTTGGTGTTTGTTATTCAAAACCGATCAAAGGTTGTTTTTAGCTCACCTGAGCTGAAGGCTCAAGTGAGCTCTTCTGGTCGAAATTTGTCCGTTGTCTGTCGTTGTAATTTTTTCACATTTTCATCTTCTTTTCCAGAACCACCATGCCAATTTCAAACTTGGCACAAAGTATCCCTGGGTAAAGGGGATTCAAGTTGTTCAAATGAAGGGCCACGCCCTATTCCAAGGGGAAATAAATAGGAAATAGTGAAAATTAAGTGGGCTATTTTAAAAATCTTCTTCTCATGAACCACAGGGCCAGAAAAAATTGAAACTTATGTGAAAGCTTTCTCAAATCATGACCCCCGGGGATAGGGTGGAGCCTTTCTAGATCAAAGTTTTACAAAGGAATACTTAAAAAAACTCTTTAAGATTCTTCTTCCAAAGAACAGCAAAGCCATGATTAGTCATATTTATAAAGAAGCATCCTCAGGTAGTGTAGATTCAATTTTGTCAAAACCATGACCCCAGTGGGTAGGGTAGGGCCACTATAGACAATCAAAGTTTTTAATAGGAATACATAGAACATTTTTAAAAATTCTTTTTCGCAAGAAGAACAAGGTCATAATTACTCAAATTTATGTTGAAGCTTCCTCAGGTAATGTAGATTCAGATTAGTCAAATCATGAACCCTAGCGGTAGGAACATTTTGGGCAATCAAAGTTTTAAACTGGAATACATAGAAAAAATCTTTAAAATTATTCTTCTCAAGAACAGTTAGGTCATGAGTAGTCATATTTAGATGGAAGCATCCTCAAGGAGTGCAGATTCAAGCTTTTCCAGATCATGACCCCGGGGTAGGGTGGGGCCACTATGGGCGATCAAAGTTTTTCATAGTAATACATAGGAAAAATCTTTAAAATTATTCTTCTCAAGAACAGCGAACCAGTCGTTAGTTAAAGTTATACTGAAGCATCTTCAGGTAATGTAGATTGTAATTTCTTCAAATCATGACCCTCAGGGATAGGATTGATCTATAATGGCCAATTTAAGTTTTACATAAGAATATATAGGAAAATTTTTTTAAAGTCTTCTTCTCTAGAACAGCAAAGCTATGATTAATCATATATTTAAAAAAGCATCTTCTGATTCAAGTTTGTTCAAATCATGACACATGGGAGTAGGGAGAGGCTGTGGGTAGGACGGGGTAACAGTATCTTGATTTTACATAGGAATATACGAAAAAATCCACTGATAAAGAACAGGGTCATATTACTCAGGTGAGCGTTGTGGACCATGGATCTCTTGTTTACATTTTTATGTATTTTCTGATCTAGGGACTATTAGGAAAACATTGCGTTTGACAATTGGTTGCATATTCCATTTCAGACAGTTTTTTCCCCTTTTTGTTAATGTGTATATACCGTGGTTATTATGTTACAGATATTTTCCCCATTGATTGTTGACGGCCAACTAAGTGTCGAGTACTTGCTTTGTTGATCTTCACCTTTTATATCAAGATCTAAACTTCGTTGGGATTTGAAAGGAACGGGAACATTTTCATTATACACATGTACAAAACCGGTACTAGAGTTTATCGGATCATTGAACACAATCCTCTGAGAAATAATACTTGCACATATACACCTTCTTTGTACGTCTGAAAGGTTCTTATCCGCTCCAGTTAAGCTAGCACCATTTCATTTACCTCGGGAATTTGAAGATGATTTAAATAAATATGAACCTAGGATTACTCTTTTGTAAACCAAAAATTGTTGTTATATTAACTGCTTGAGAAATATATAAAATTGGAATAAAATGAATATTCATGTTTCTATATATGAAGGATTGTTGTTCTGTATAAGATGCGTATAAAATCTAACTTTTGTCCTGTGACTATATTTACATTCCATACTTATAAGAATAAAACAAATTCTCATTGCACATTTCATCAACAAGGCACAGCACTTGAAGGAACGCTACCTGCATTATAAAGTCGTTAAGTGCGTAGATAAATGAATTTCTTGTGGAAATTTTTCTGTGGTTGATATAAGTCCTGTTGGTTTATAAGTTAACCTAATTCTAGAATACCAAGAGAGATGTATAATTTATTTTCTTATTATTATTATTATTTTTATTATTTGATTTCTTTAATACTATAATATGGTGTGTTTCTGAAAAAAAAATCTTTAAAGGAATTTTTACATGTTTTTCTCTCATTTCAAGTTCAAGTTGAAAAATAAACATTATGTTTGCTTCGTCAAGTAATTAGAACTTTCTTTTCCCCCCGAAGAAATATGGAGCAACTACCGATGGTGTTTTTGTTGTAAAGTATTGTCAATGGCTACTTTCGTTCGGTGGTCAAATGATTCATCGTGTCCCGGTGACAATCTAAGTCCATCCAAATGCGTGGACATGTTGATGAATTACATTTATTTTCATCTGTTTTCTAGTTTGACTTATGCCCTAGGATGTAAACCGGCTGTGACTTTATAGATCACTATAACGTTTATTCCTCATGGTCAAATGCTAATGCAACCATATGCTGGTGAGATGTTTACATCGTTCGATTGCATTGTTTACGAAAAAAAAAAACCTTTGATATATTTCAACAGTTACTTATTTTTTCATATGATAAGAGTGGATTGGGGATGTCTTTTTTTTTTTATCTCTTTTTAAAGTAAACGATAATATGAAAAAAAAATTCTTTCCGATGATCCCATCTAAAATTGTCTACAAGATACAAATGGAAGGAAAAATCAGATGCTATTTTATAACCTGCTACTCTTCAATCATCCCTCGTCCAACTCGATCCGAAATTACTATATAACTTTGATATTAATATATAAATATGTACTCAATCAACCGTAAATAACAACACAGACACGCAATGTGGCTACTCTATTTCGTCCATTTTACTCTTCATATCACTGTATTTTCTTTAATAGATTTGCACTTGTGCCATTTTATTAACTGTAAGATTGATATATGTTCTAACATGTTGCATACTAGAATATTTCTCACATCAATGAACAGGACATTTTCGCCAACATACAACGGTAGCTTTTTCTTACTGATTGGTATTTGTTTATGCTGTTTATATTCACTAGGTAAATATTTGCTTTTTGTTTGTATGGATTTAAAACTAGTATAAAAATATCCCCAGTGTCAAAATTATTTTTCTTCTTCTGAAATATTTTCTTGCGCCTATTAAAACCTGTATATTGTGAATATAAAGAAACCCAAAATAACCGAAAACATATATCTTTTCAAAGTTGAAGAGTTCGTGTGTTGGTGTTTTTCAATAAATCTTATTACGTTATTATAAGCTATGTGCTTTTGATGAAATTAAAAACACTCCAATATGTTAATTGTATATGCATAAAATTCATGCACGTAATATGTGGTTGGAAGTCTGTATATCTCCTAGAGAAACAAGCTGAGAAATAGTTTTTAAAAAAATGAAGTTAAAAAAAATTACTTACCATAATTGTGCGGTAGTATTGTTACCTAGGGAACAGCAAATTCTACATATGTTTATAACATATATTATCCACAAGATATCTAATATGTCTGGTTAAGCGACCGACCTCCTGTAACCAAAAAAGTAAGAAATTTACATAGAGTCACGTGATTATATGACGCCTAACCACGGAAAGTAGAAAACTATTTAAAAGACATAAAACCCTCCTGTAAAAAAAATTACCTATTGGATACACAAATTGTGTGGTAATTTTCCATCAAGCAGAACTGACACATAGGTGCACAGTGAAAAGAATGGGGAGATACTAAAAAAATTAATGTTGAGTCTATATGTAGATTTAATTTTCTCGTAGAAATTTTTATTTCAAATCGATGTTGTTGACGGAATGCATTAACGGTGACCAGTATTGTTAGTGCTTTGTGCGACCTCGGTCAGCCAGATTTGTTATTCATCTAAAACTGACCAACCAAGGAACATAAAAATCGAAGTGGATTTTTAAACGAAAACAAACTCAGTGTCGTTAATAACACGCAAAGAAAGCCTACACAAAGAAAGGGCTTGGAAGAAATAGTTTAAATACGATTTGAGGGAAAGCCTCTTGTGGTATTGAATCCCTTTCACCATATTCAAATGGTAATTTTAAGTAAACATGCACAACCATCCGTAACCACCCTTAAGTAGATGATTAATATATTCATATTCAATGGTTAAAAATTCATGACTGTACATAGACCTGTCAGACGGTCAACATAATTTACGTAATTCTTTGATGTATACATAAAATATAATTCCCAAGATTGGCATAGATTATTGAGAAAAGTGCACAGGGACACTAAATCTTTTGCATACACCTAAAACTGTCAAAGATGTGGAGTTCAAGGCAATATATGCATATCGTATGCAATAGTTAGTTAGATAATGGTATTATTTTGATAATAAATTTGGGGGAGGGGTTCATTCTCAAGGAAATTAAAAAAAAATATTCATGAAAATTGGGAACTACTGGAAAAAAAATTTTCAACCAAATTTTCAGTTTTTATCATGAATCATTACTTGGAGTGTTTACATGTTTGCATGCTGAATTTAGACTTACTGGAAATCAATGTTAAAAACTCAATACGAGAAGAAAAGATATATTGGTACAAAATTATGTTTCCAGTTTCGGCTGACTACATTAAACATCTTTTTTATTCATTTAAGTTAACGACAGGTTTAGGAACTAACAGTTTTTACATATAATATATGTTTTACATATAGTTTTAACAATAACCTTTTTATTAGTGTAGTAACACAAAAACTAGAAAATTGATGATTGTATAGCTTGGTTCTAGAACTCTATCTTGTTCGTTCCTTGCTTGTTCTAACATTCATTTGTGATAACGCATATTGCATTGAACTCCCCTGCTATAAATCACTCCTCCAATCTTTAACAAACAAATGAAGTCCTCTGTGTTCTAAATTTTGTATAAATTGTTTCATTACATAACAAGATTCCCATGGGTCTTAACAGTGTTACACAGTGCCAATAGGCCACTTTTTCTAACCCTGGGTCTGACCTACATTTTCCGGAAAAGTGACAAGGTTCAAGTTTCTGGAGCAGGTCAGTTCCCAAGTAGCTAAGCCACATGCTGACCAGACTTGCGAAGATGATGCACCTAGGATGTATTCTACTAAACATGCTTCAGATGCTGTTTCTAACCTTCATTTTCAGATGAAGAATCGAGCAAATTAGATTTTTTATGGAGCAGGTCCATTCCAAATTAACTATTATGTCTACTTGGACCAAACTTGCATGGATCAATTGATACATCTAGGGATGTACATTTACCAGGCATTGTTTGCATGCAGCATCTGACTAACCTTGATGATCTGACCTACATTTTAAGGTGTACGAAACAAAGATATACGAGTATAGCAGATCCATTCCCAAGAAACTATCAATACTAAACAAAATCAAACTTGCAAAGATGTGCATCTAGGGATGCACATTACCAGATCATTTATTTAGTGTGAAATATAGATAAGATGCTGGGTATGTCAAGGTGAGCTTTGAAATCATTGATTACCTGTGTTTCATTTCATCTACTTATTTTAGCTGTACTGGTCAGAGACCAGAAGAGCTTATGCGATAGTAAGGTGTCCGTCGTCCGTGTGTCTGACTGTAAACAATTTTTCAAAACTCTACTCTTGCTACAGTTTTGGTCTGTTTTCAATATAATTTGGCATACAAGTAGACTACACTAAGATACATAATTAAGTACATCGGTTTTTGATTTCGATGAACGGTGTTGCCATGGTTACTAAAAATAGATTTTTCTGTGAAATTCGTTTAAAACGCTACTCCACCTACATTTTTGGTCTGATTTCAATATACCTTGGCACAGAAGTAGACTACACTAAGATATATCATATAGTGCATCGGTTTTTGATTTCGATGAACGGTGTTGCCATGGTTACTAAAGATAGAAATTTCTGTAAAATTCCTTTAAAACGCTACTCCTCCTACAGTTTTTGTCTGATGTCATTATAATGACACACAAGTAGACTACACTGAGATACATATTTTAGTGCATTTGTTTTTGATTTCGATGAATGATATTGCCATGGTTACTAAAAATAGAAATTCCTTTGAAATAACTTTAATAAGCTACTCCTGCTTCAGTTTTGGTCTGATTTCAATCTAATTTGGCATACAATTAGATTACACTACGATACATAATTTAGTGCATCGGTATTTGATTTATATGAAATGCGTTTCCATGGTTACTAAAATATAAAAATGTGAAATTCCTTCAAAACGTAATTCCTCCTACAGTTTTAGTCTGATTTTATATAGCTCGGCACACAAGTAGACTACACTAAGATACATAATTTGATGAATTGGATTTTGATTTTGATGAATGGTTTTGCCATGGTTACTAATAATAGAAATTTTTGTAAAATTCCTTTAAAATATTACTTCTGCTACAGTTTTGGTCTGATTTCAATCTTATTTGGCACACAATTAGACTACACTATGATACATAATAGTGTATATCGGTGTTTGATTTCAGTGAATGGTGTTGCCATGGTTACTAAAATAGAAATTTCTTTGAATACTTTCAAAACGCTACTCCTTCTAGAGTTTTCGTTTGATTTCAATATAACTTGGCACACAAGTAGACTACATTAAGGTATAAAATTCTATTTATTGCTGCATGTTGCAAAGTTTCAATTCCAAGTGCTACTTTTCCTTTGTTATACGAACAGACCAGTAGAGCTACTGTCTTATCAGAGACTTCTGGTTAAAACTAGAGCGCTATTTGGTCCAAGTGCAATGATGCACACAGATTTGAATTTACATTTGGAACATTTTCTTTTGAATTTGGCAATTTGTTTAAAGATTTTTTTCAAAGTATGAAATGAAGAACCATGCCCCTAAAAAGAGGAGACAATAAAGAAGTGAAATAAGGCGGGTCCAGTAATTTTACAAAATCACTAGGCCAGCAGACAACAATTCTGTGGTGAATTTCTTACACAGCGTGAAAATAATGTATCAATGGGCCTCAGGATTATTGCGGGACTGCAAAAGGGGGGCAATATGAACCAAGGTTTTGCATTGGATATGAATAAATTTAAATTGAAAGACACTCAAAGACCAGTTGTTCTGCACTTTTATATAACAAAGGAGCACCTAGTACGTGACGTCTTGATGCTGAATAAAGTAACCCACTTGTTGACTTTAAGTTAAAGTTATTTAAGCTTGACCATTAAATGTTTAAGCCCGGTCTGTTATATGAATATATATACCTAGAAGTGCGACATCATTTTAAACAGTAAAAGCACGAGAAAGAGAGAGAGAGAGAGATATCCCGCAATTGTTTTGTAAATTGTATTGTGTCTATACACAGTGTTTACAAATCTTGTTTTTATATTACACAATATAGTTAAGAAGACATGAAACTTTATACTTGGGAAAAATGGTACAAGAAGAAAATTTATGGTGCACATAAAAGGGTCTTTTGCCACAGAATAGAAGACGAGATGTTATCTTAACCTGAATTCGTGATGTTTAAAGAGGTATTTAGAAAATGTCAAGGCGTCATGTGATCTGTATTTTTTATGAGGCGCCGTTTTGGTATTTACTGCCATTAAGTTATATCACCTATTTGATTTGAATTGGTGATATCACCTATTCAAATAGGTGATATCATCGAATAGGTGATATCACCTCTTCAAATAGGTGATATTACCTATTCTTTTTGAATAGGTGATATCACTTATTCGAATAGGTAATATCACCTATTCAAATCAAATAGGTGATAACAATTCAAATAGGTGATAACACCTCTTCATTTTGAAAAGGTGATGTCATTTATTCGAATAGGTGATATCGCCTATTCAAATTATTCATGAAATAACAACTGCTCCCAAGACGATATGGTATGTAAGTACCCGGAAGTTAATGCTTTCGAAAAATCTCGTGAGTCACGTGACGAGACTTATACAAAGTTCAGTCTCTTTGAACATACGAGGGTCGTTCAATATATTATGTCCTGAACTATTTGCCATAAAAAGTAAGGATCAATTCATGATTATCTATATGCTTTTTCGCATGAATGGATCTTTAATTAACTGACAACCGTAATATGACCACGTTTTATCATATAGTTTTATTTTGAGAGGCTGTAAGATAAAGACTATTCGAGACACTGCATGTAAAATGACTAATAAAGAATCTGCAAAGAGGACTGAAGTAAGAAGATTCATAAAAGCCGGTGTTGTACTTGGTAAGACTCCCAAAGAAATATTTACTGAAATGCGTGATGTTTATGGAAACCAGTGTTTGTCATATAGACAAATGAACAGGCGGATTACAAAATTTAGACATGGTAAAATGGAGATCAAAGATGAATCCGGTCCTGGACGTCCAAGAACAACAACTGATGCAATGATAGCTAAAATTCAAAAACTTGTTACCGAACTTGTTACCAAAAACTTGTTACCTGTTAGACAAATAGTTAAGTTAGTAAGGCATATCTTCGGGGACAGTTCACACAGTTTTGAAGAAACATTTTATGCTCATTTAAAAATCATTTTCTGAAGAACAGCAAGACCATGGTT